GGCCTTGAGCTTGCCCAAGCAGGCCGCTGAGCGGACTCGTTGAGCCGCCAAGCAAGCTGCTGAGCTGGTTTGTTGAACCGCCAAGTTGGCCTTGACCTTGCCCAAGCAGGCCGCTGAGCGGGCTCGTTGAACCGCCAATCTGGCCTTGGCCGAGCAAACTGGTAAGTTGGCTCGAAGCAGAGCCGAGATTGCCGACGCCTTGAAGGCTGGAAGGTAGGAGGCTCTGAAGCTGCTGCGGCGAGAGTCCCGTGCTTGTAGAGAGGCTGGTGAGGTACTGATTGGCCTGCAGCGAAGTCAGGGCGCTGGTCAAGGCGCTGACCTGCTGCTCGGGCGTCAGACCAGAGAGCGACGACTCGAGCGATCCGAGATACGGGTTGTTCGAAGCGCCTGAGATGGTGGATGACGGGATGCCGCTGCCACTGAGAGTGTCGGACGCGGTGCCGCCGACATTGGCGCTGAGAGCTTGAATTGCGGCCTTCTGTGCGGCACTGAGCCCGGATTGACCGCTCGATCCACCTGGGAAGAGGAAGCGAAAAGTGGATTAATGGCTGGCCCGAATCCGGATCTAGCGCGCCATGAGAATCACTCACCATTTATGCCTTCGAGCTGAGCTAAGGTAGAGGGCGACACGCCCTGCAGCTGTCGTTTGCTGTTATGAATGGGAATGGGGCCGATCGTTGACTGTGGCGCTGGCGGAGAGAAGCCATTTGACCTCAATGCTTGACCACTACTGCTGCTAGTAGCATTCTCAAGCTGCTTGATCTCGGCCTGAAGCTTCGAATCCTCATCTTGGAGCTCAGCAAGTGTTGCATGCTTTCCCTTCTGCGCTTGACCCCTCTGGTGCCATCCGCCGTCCTCGTCGTCACCGTTGTAATCGTGAGGCTGCCTCTTGTTGATGGGAGCGGTGGCCTTGCTGCCGTCCAACTCGTCGTCGGCATCGCAGTCAGAGTCGTTGGCATCGGTTACATGCTTGGTTGCTTTGGTGGCATCTGCATTGTCGCCGTTTGCACCGTTGCTGGAAGGCCCACCGCCGAGGTTGAGACCCAGGAGACGCTTGCGAAGGCCAATGTTGAGGAGGGAGCCGTAGTAGCCCGGATTCGTGTCGCCTTCGATGGGATTGCTGCTAGTTGAGGACTGCTTCGGCTTGTTGCTGCCGGATTTGTGGTTCTTAGATTTGGGGTTGTTCATGATCTTCTTCTTGCCTGTGTCGACTGCGGCACTGCCGTAGTTATTGTTTGCAATCCAAGCATTGACGAGGTAGCCATCTGAGTCATGTGAGTTTACCGGGTAGCCCGTGTTGATGTCAATCAAGTTGCGCTGGACGGACGCGCGGCGCTTCATTGACTCGATCGTGTCGGGGTCAGCAACATTGCCGTCCTGCTCGTCGTCTGCGTCATCGCCCTCGTTGTCACCCGTGGAAGGAGCAGCGGGGGCGGCGGCAGGAGGTGCCGACGCTGGAGCGTGGGAAAGTACGGGGCGCGAGGACTTCTCGTCCTTGCGACGGTGGAAGATGCCGGCGGTGGTAATGGCGTTGTTGCGTTTGCCGAAAGAGCGGGCTACCTTGACAGCAGGCTTGTCCGCAGCCGGACCGCTCGGCAAGACGTCTACGACCTTCTTCCCGGCGATCACGCTCTCCTTTACGGAAGCAACAGGGGCACTGGGGACGGGCGAGCGAATGTGCAAAGCGCCGTCGATGATTTTCTCATCCACATGAATGAGATCATTGCTGTAAGGCTTGGCAGCAGCATGCTGTGTCGACGCAGCGGCAACGGCGCCGGCGGTCGCGACGAGGGCAAGTGAGGAGGTCTGAGCGGTGAACTTCATCGTGATGAGAGCTGTGTTGTGAATGTGAAATAGGTGAGACGATTGGAGAGTGAGCTGTACTTGTAGGTATAGCTGAGCAGGACCGGCTGCTGTTTGCTGATGACCTGATGGAATGCCCGATGAAATTAGTCGATCAACGACGATGGAGTGCGTGCAGCGGGTATCGAGGATGATATGGTGCCAAGTGGGGTTCGCAGGCCTCAGGATCTGATCAACAGATTCTGACTAGATGGACGTGGTAGAGATGTGTTGGCAGAAGTTCCAAAAAGTGACGAGAGGGGTGCCTGCCCCTTTATATATCTTACTTTGTGCGGCCAAGGTCAGTCGTCCGTGTCCTTGCAAGTTGTCGAAGTTGCGAAACAGTCGACTGCACAACGAAGTCACAGACTGGTTGTGTTGAGATGCTTGAGAACCTACCCGTAAGAATGCACATACGGAGAAGCAAGATAAATGGGATGAAAAGGACGGAGCAGATGAAGCAATGCTGATGAGGGGTTGTCGGCACAGAGCATTGAACGATGGTCGACTGAGGAAGGGATGGCACTGCATGGGCATGGTGAACTTCGCCAGGAAGATTTACAGGGAAAACATACGGCTTGCCTTCCAAGGCAGTCGGCACACCTACACGCTCCAAGCAAGTGAGAGACTGATATCGGGGTATGGGATTGGTTGGATGAGGAGTTGAAGGACAGATCACCGGTCGGCTGAGCGGGCGGTCGAAGATTCTGCCGGGGTCCACAGGAGGACGCCTGTCGGTCTGCCGTACAGACCGGCCGGTCCCTCGTCGACCGGTGCTGCGCCTTCTCCAATTCTACTTGAGTGTTTGCAAGCCTATCGCATGCCACCAGTCGTCCAGAGCCCAGCGGCGTGCGAGATAGTCTTTCCAGGGGTAGTGCTAGGACCGTAGAACGAAGCTTCAACTTCCACTTACGGCCAGACCTGGCCAGCCTGGCGCTGTCCTGATACGAAGTCGGATGAAGTGGGAGAAAGGTCAACCCCAAAAAGCCCAGACGACTCCTTAGCTAGCCGACTACAATTGTAGGCAATAAAGCCGAACGGTTCCTCCCGCCAGCACGCAGCCAAGACCATGCAGGGCCATGCCAGCAAGCCGTGACGTGCATGTGGGCCAAGAAAGGGTTTGATGCTGCTATCGCCTTGATACCTCTGTTCACTTGAGAGCAGCTGAGACTCACGGAAGGAACGGTAAGGGTGAGCGGCTCGAGACTCTTCGCTCCCGTGCTCATGGCTTTCGATCGTGCCCTTTTCCCTCGCCACCTCACTGAAAGCATGAAGTACGTACGGCGTGGCTCCAACGGTCAGCGCATGTGATGTCGACATATTGATGACTTGGTTTACACTTGGTTGGTGTCTATCGACGTTGTGGCAGTTGAAAGTCTAAAGTGTGTTAACCAGTCAACTGGTTGATCGCGCGACCTCGGGCGGTTGAACCTGACGTCTCCACAACCGCACAACTCGTCAGCCAGGACTTGGCTCCACACTACGTAGTGAAGACATGTGGCAAAGCCTGAGGCAATCTTTCTTTTTCACCCTGCCCTAGTAAAGAATGAAATACATTTGTCACGCGTCGCGTCTTCCACTCACGCTCACAAAATTTGCGATGAGAGAGTCATCATCGATGAAGAGAGCAACACTGCTTTTTCGTCATCAGCCTGGTTATTGTGATAGTGGAGTTCGGGCTTCGCCACTACCACGTCCTAGCACTCGCCCCCATGGAAGGAGAAGGCAAACGATTGAACGGAGACTCAGCTATATCTTCTACATCCACTATGGACGCAACTGATGCTGCCAAAGCGGCAAAGCACTCTGCCTTCCTTGACTGGTTCACTTCTTCCGGTGGTATGATCGGTGTCGACTCTGCTGACGGCAAGCCGCTTTGGACGCTACACGACTACCGCAAAGATGGCATGGGCACCGGATTGAGGGCACTAGCCGCCATGCCAGAAAACACGCTTCTCTTCAGCCTGCCTCGCTCCATGTTGCTCAACACCCGGAATTGCCCACTACCCTCCCTGGTGCGGCAAGCGGAGCTCGATGAAGGCGACGCGGGAAAGGCAGGCGTGCCAAAGTGGGACCAGCTAGAAAGCAAATGGGCCAGTCTGATCATTTGCATGCTGTGGGAGCGAAGACGTTCCCTTGAAGGCAGAAGTAGCAGCACCGAGGGGCAGACATGGGGTCCGTATTTGGACGTACTTCCTGTGCAGTTTGCGACGCCGATGTTCTGGCCTGCGCAGGACCTGCGCCTTCTCAAGGGTACCTCAATAGAGAGTGGGTTTTTCTTCTTTATGTCGCGTTTCACCGATCAGGAACACCTCGCCGTATTAACGTTTCAATTGTGATGTCCACTGGCAGATAAGATCGGACAGGAAGAGGCAGAAGCCGAGTACAGTTCGTTGATCCTGCCGCTTGTCAACGGCAGACCTGAGCTTTTCCTGCCGAATGCAACCTCTATAGAGTCCGGCCTTGCGCAATTTTACTCGCTTGAATTATTCCACATCATGGGTAGCAGGATCCTCAGCCGGAGCTTCCACGTAGAGCCGTGGAGAGAGGAACACGCGAAAGGAGATGATCTGAATGCTATGGAGACGGACGACGACGAGGAGGAATACAAGGAGGGGGACGAAGCGGAGGAAGAAGACAAACTGGAAGCCGTCGAGGACATTTCCATGGTAGCCATGGCGGACATGCTCAATGCGCGTCCGGGCGATTATCACAATGCAAAACTGTTTTATCGCCCGACTCATCTGGAGATGCGGACGACTCGGGGAGTAAAGCAAGGGGAGCAACTATACAACACCTATGCAGACCCGCCGAATAGCGATTTGCTCCGACGGTACGGCCACGTTGACACCAACGCTGCTCCCGACGACACAGATGGCACAGACGAGCTGGACAATCCGAACGACAATGTTGAGCTACATTGGGACCTTGTAGCAGAAGCTGCCATGCGGTTGAAGGTAGACGCTTTACAGGGCAACGCTCCCGATGCCTCATTACTGACACGTCTCAAGTCGCGCATCAACCGCTACGAGTCCGAGGGGCTGATGCCAGACGAGTGCATGGTTTTGTCGTATATCCCACCACTTTCGGCAGCGTTCTCGGACAGGGAGAGCATGCTCGCCTTTCTCGATGACGAGGATGGAGAGTATGGCATGGCTGAATTCTGCACCGCATGCCGGCTCATGTGGGTGGACGACACGACGTACGAGAAGTACGAGGCACGTGGGGAGGAGATGGAGGCGGAGTGGAAGACGATCTTGAAGGACAAGTCATCGCGAACTACCGGGGGCACACAGGGAGGGGTATCGGAAGGCCAAGCGAATGCCGACACGGCCGCGAGCGAGGCAACACTCCGGATTCTCTGTGCGCGTCTCGCGCTGGAAGCCGTAACCCTCCGCCTTGCGCAGTATGAGACGACGCTGGAGCAAGACGAGGACGCCTACCGGTCCTTGCCTCACTCGTTGCCGCACAATGACGAGGACTTCGAACCCGCCAAGGCTGCAGAGCGATCTGCACTGCTCAATCGACGAAATGCTCTCGTCGTGCGGGTCGGCGAGAAGCGGATCCTCTCGCGCTTGCAAGTAATTTTGCAGGCGGCTGTGGACAAGTACAACGAGAACACTGGCGGCGACGGCGGTGCTGATGCCTCCGGCGCTAGCAGCGGGGGGCAAAAGCGAAGAGCTGAACAGGATGGAGATGGGAAAGTGATCAAGAAAGGGAAGATCTGAGCGCACAACCCCCGGGATACCGTCCTTGTAGACTCGCATCCTATATGACAATCCCGAATCTCATTCAATCGGAATTTTGACTTCTACAGACTTGCGCTTGCACGGCGCTGTGCTGACTCATCCACCTCAATCGCGAGACACGGCAAAGTAACGAGCTAGCAGGGAAAACATGGGATGGGGGAAGTAGAATTCGGAAGGAACAAACATTGATACCACAGAGTACGTAGTGGAGGAGGGAATCGGTGCATGTGTAATTGTGCGTGTGCTCGTCCGCTCTGGGGGAGCGTTTATTTGATCAGGCGGGAGCGTTCTGGCACGGGGACGAATTGTGGCGGGGTGGAGGTGCGCAGCAAGGTAAAGCGAATCGAAGTGTCCTTTCGATGTATATTCGTGCGTGTAATGCGGAGGTGTGGGCGAAGCGATAGGCGTGGATGTTGATTTGGGAGATGGGGGCTGTCGGTTGCGAGTGCGTCGGGTACGATGCAGATGTTCGATCAAAGATCGCGGTCCGAGTTGGCAAATGCAAGTGGGACGTAGGAAGCCCCTGATTACATCAGCGGTTCCAGCCAAAGGAGGGTGCGAGACGGCAGGCCAAAATGTAGAGACGAGACAGGTAGAAAGCGCGTGTGAGAGGGGAAAGGGTATGAAACGTTCGCCTTTGGGGCGATGCGAAATTCCAGGTCGAGAAGATACATCGTCCGTTTTCCCATCATTCAGTGGCCTGTCCTGAGTTCAAACAAGTATCCCGACCTGCGCCTGCGGCGCTGCTCCTGCTAGTCCGCTGCTAGCTTCGAATCCGGGACGGTGCAAGATGCCAAGTCATATCGCGAGTACGAGCGCGACCGCGTGCACAGCGCATTTATCCTTGGCGCGCCTTGTTCTGCGCCTCGGCCTGCTTGATCCTTGCCTCAAGCGTAGTAGATTGGTGCAGTTGGCTAGCGGTCAGGCGCTCACGCTCGCCTGCACGGTCTGCGAGCCTGTCCGAGTAGCGCATCCCGTCGGCAACACTGCCTTGGTACGACGAGGTGGTGCGTTGCAGGTCTCCGCCACCGCTGCGGTTCGTGTCAGTTCGCTTGATCTTCTTGTCCGAAGAGGGGGAGGACATGCAGGATCCCTGGAAGAGCGGAAAGTAAGGCGATGCATGGTGGGTGAGCATAGGGTTCTCGAAGACGGAGCACGTCGACCAATGCGATGCATATGCAAGACGGCAACGGCGGGGTCAACAGCTCGTAGATCTGCTTGGGTTGCAAAAGCCAGCACGAATGCTGGCCCAGAGCCCAATAGCTTCCAGACGTGCTCATCGAAGATCATAGGCAGCTCCAAGCTGCTACTCGAAGATACAACTCCACCTGCCTGAATCGAGAACCGCACAGCCAGCGAGAAGCAAAGAATGCATCTTAGCTCACTGTGTTTTGCTACGCTGACCTGCGCGGCGCTGTGCACCGACTGCCCAGCTCCCTTCGGTCCAGTTGGTTGCGAAGGGGTTGGGCAGCAGTGGGTCCGGCCCTGGCCGGCATCAAGAAGAGTGGATGAACCTGTGGTTTGCTTCCACGGCTTTTGGCGAGTTGAGCTACACAGTCGTCGTGTATGCTCTTCGCTTCAATCTCGAGCCCGTTCGGAAGCTCTCCAACCCCAAGGTTTACGGTAGAGATGGGCTTTGATGAAGGGTCGATGACCCTCAAGGGCTGCGAAAATCTGACATGCCCCCCCCTTTTTGGCCGTATGACATGTGATATCCGCCCACAGCTCCACAGTCACGCCGACAAATGACCAACGATCAAGCACACTTACCATGTTGGCTATGCGGTTGCGGTTGCGTGTGCGTTGAGAGAGTTATTTGTGAGTTGTGTCTGCGTAGGTGGTCAAGAAAGACAAAGCTTTTGGATGTTTTGAGGAGGTGAATATAAAGATAGAGGTGCAAAAGCTCGATCTGCTGGAATGGAATGGGGTGTCCATAGCATAGCTGCTGCTCTCTCCCCTATATAACGCAAACTGCCACGGAGGCCTGGCTGGCTGGCCGTGTTGCCTGGCGTCTCAGTGTGGCTGCTGGCTGGGCCCGCAGCGACAAAGTCATCCCGCACCCAGACGGGAACCGGAAGGCGAAGGACCGGTCTCACACACAAACGGCAGCCGAGCGAGAATGCATTGTGGGCACAGCCGCACAGTGCCTCTCTGCTGCTGCATTCTAGAAGGGCTACATAACCAGAACGCACTCACCACTAAAACAGGATGTCTGACGCACTGTGACGCGCTGTGACGGCAAAGAGAGCACGGGCCGTCCAAAGTGCACAGCCGCCAGCGCTCTGGTGTGACGCTGGTCCGTCGACCATATGTGAACGTATCCAAAAGTCAAACACGGGCGCTGTGCGTGTTGAGACTCAGCGGCCCAGCACCGCGCCAATGGCCCATGTCCAAGCATTGTCCAAGCGCGGAGACGAGCATCCCAGCAGTGACCCAGCCCAATCCAGTTGAAATTGATGAGCTACACGTCATCACACGGACGCCGTCAGGCGCGTAGCGACTGCGCGACTCTCGTTTCTGTCGAGTCACGTTCTCCCTCTTCACAGCCTTTTTAGTTTCTAAGACCGGTTCGAACTCCAATCACATGGACCCCACGCTGTTCTCCACTCTGGTCGGCGTTGCGGAGCTGACCGGCAAATACCTTGATACCCAAGCCGCGCCACGCCGGATTTGGTGAGGGGCATGCCAGCCGGCCTTCAAGAATTCGGGGGTCTGTCTGCCTTGACCTTCGTTGCCTTATACCTGTCCGTCCATCTTCACTCCCACCGTTTCTCGCCCCTACACCAGTTTCACTTGCATGTGCTTGGCAAAGCCCCTATGCTCATCATGTCCAGCGATTCGCCAGCCAATATTTTCCGACCACGCACTGCACCGCTTCTATGCTTCAAGATCATCGCGAGTCGCGTAGGTCGTCCGCTGTCTTTTTTACATGAGCATGAATCAGCGGATGCGGGGACTATTATCTTGCAGGGCTTGGTACCGCAAATCTCCCAGCAACCGCCACGTCCGACGTCCATGATGATGAAAGTAGAATCCAACCCCCGCGGGGGAGCAGCGGCTGCTTCGTCCGCGCAATGCACGAGTTTTGTGAAAGTGTCGAATATAGAAGGCGTACAGGCGAAGCCGAAGCCGGACAATACTTGTGTGCGCGCCTTTGCCATCCAGATGAAGGCCGGGACGTGGCACGAGGAGGCAACAGCGGAGGGCAGCGTCACGAACATCGTTCATTATACCGTTTGTGGGCCTACCACTTTCTGGTTGTGATCAACATCTTCGCAGAGCTCATCCAATGGTTGAACGATCAGTGAAGCGTCATGCACACTTTTATCTCACATCTGGATGTGAGCGCGAACCAAGGATGTCATCGTTTGAAGTGTTGGGAATTGCCTCATAAAGGTTCACTACCCAAGCTCGTTGTTAGCTGCGTCATTGCCGCTGTAAATTACTGTGGACAATGAACGCCAAAGGGAAGACCTCTGTAATCGTCTGAGCTAGCGAGGGATCAACGTATTCACACGTTCAAACGCTCTGCATACAGCAGGGACTCCACAACGAGAATCCAAGGGCGGAATGGGACCTAGTTGCGATATCTTTCTTCGCAAGGGTTGCCTCTTGTACGACTCCGTCGACGCAAGTGATCTAAAGCTGCATTGGACGCTCCGGCCCCGGCTTGGCTTTGCACCGACGCACCTGCATCCAGCTGCCAACCCTTTGGCATCTCGGTTACGGCTTCTACGATCTGACGTTGCATGGGCCGTGACAAAGCCTGCCGCTCAGTTGTTGCAAAGCGTAAGATGTTCGTGCGAAGAGTTTCCTGACCTCTTTGATATGGGACCGGAGTCTTAGACTCTGCCTTGGACTTTTCTCGTGATTCTCGATTGAACACGCGCCGACAAGACTAGAGTCTGGGGGATTACAACGAAAAGATCGCATACATAAGCAGCCCCCTTTCACTACTGCCACCGCGGTGACGCTCATTTTACGGGTGCGCACGTTCCACCTGCCAGATGCAATTCATCGGGGGATAAATCAATTTTAAATTTTAGCTGCAGAAGCTCAGGCCCGATTGCTATGGCGATTGTCTCAACGAGTCGATAGGGCAACAAGGAGAATAGACTGTCATTTTGAATACATAAGTCACTAGCCTCTCCCCCTCTCTTTCCTGCTGTGAAGGGTTAAACGCAAACACTATTTCTTCGTGTCCTCTGTCTCCCCCGAGTCGTTGGTCTTCACCTCGTCGAAGGGACAGATTCCTCTCAGCATGGCACCGCTGGCGCTCACGCGCGCCGTGTACGCGCTTCTGCCACTGGCCAGCATCGCAGTGGCTGCATTCGTCTTCCACGAGTCGATTCTCAGAGGCCATGTGGTAAGTTCCCATGACCTGAGGATTGCCGGATGGCAGTGTCCATGGTTGTTGAGCAGGCACTGAGCGTAGATGTCTTCCCCCCGCTACCTTGGGTCCTGCGCGCGCTGGAACTCCAGGCAGAAGCATTCCAAAAACAGCAAGCCTTTTGCAGTGTGCCTGGGCGTCAACGTCTGCCAAGCGACTTGACGCGCAACCTCATCCCTCCTCTGGACAACTTCCTCTGCCTCGTCATTCCTGCCGCAAGAGCAGCAGTAGCGTCCGAGACGCGTCTCGGCTTTCAGTCGTTGGGATATGCGGTCATCATACCCTTGTTCTATCGCCTCAGTCAACTAGCCATTAGCCCAAATTTCAGCAACTTCGTCTTTGTCGGCGGTGTCCTACCCCTCGTTTCCATCTTTCTAACACCCGTGCTGGGACCGGGCGTCGTTGCGGCTGGCATCATCGTGCCGCTGTATACGCTAGGCATGGCTCTGCAGCTAAGGGTGAGTGATCCGGCAAGATTTGGAGTACCTTTCTTGGATTCAGACCGACAAAAACAATGTCCTCGCTCCCTGCACCACAGAACAAGATCGCGGACGTCAACCCGCTGCCTGTTACGCCTTCCGCTATCTACAGCGTCAACATCTGCACCTTGTCTCTCGTCTTCCTTATCTTCCTTGTCTACTCCCTCGACCCGACGTGGGCCACTGACTCTGGCCGCTCCAACTGGCTTGCAGCAGCCATTTTATTCTCCCTCTGGCCTTTGTACACGGGCTTCACGGTGTCGCGCGCCGCCTTCTCGCGCAATGCTCCTGCCGACGAGCAGCAGGCGAGAGCCATGATCAGGGAAGTTGACGCTGATACTATCAGTTACGGCTTTGAACGTATTTGGGGGTAGTGAGTGATTCCGGAGACTCGCACGTAGTGCCCTTTGATCTCCCTTTTTGACGCTGATCATGCGTCTCTCATGGGTGGCTCGCATAACTTCACAGCTACCGACGGCTCGCTCTCGTCGGCCTCGGACTCTGGTACTTTGGCCTGATTAGGATGTACATGCTCCTCTCGGACCTGCACTCACAGACGTCCATGTTCGAGTCGCTCCGATCCGGCCAATTCTACTCCGTCATCCGATCAGGCAAGGCGCGCATAACTGGTAAACAAGTCATCGGACAGGAAGAATACAGCATGGCGCTCAACGTCGCCGCGCTCATCTTCAGCGCATTTGTGATTTTGCTCATCGAGCGCCTGAGCATCCGCAGCGTATCCGTTCCGTCCTCTTCGATTCCTGCTAAGCGTGGAGCAAAGGCAGGTGGCGCCAGCGCACCTGCAGAGCCAGAGGCGGAGGCGGCGGGTGTCGCGATCCACCCGCTGACCGGTGCACCGCGCTCGGCGCTCGACACGGAATGTCAGCGCGCTATTGCAGGCGCACCAGCCGGGTTACCAGCAGCTGAGATCGGCTGGGGCATCCTCGCCAGCTGCCTACTGGGCGGGCCAGGCTTTGGGCTCCTGCTCTGGTGGTCCCGGGGCGAGGAGGAGATGGGCTGGAAGGCGAGACGCGCTTGGAGGCAAGTCGTTGCTGTCGAAGGCAAGGAGTGAGGGCTGCATCCGAAATGTTATACGATCTTGGCGTAAGGACGGGTGTGACGTGCGCGTGCGGCACCATGCTCGCGCTCCCACTTCGCAATGCCAAGGGCGTGAGGCTGAGTGGAAGCATAAAACCAATCACGTGCAAATGAATTCGATACCATGCATGCATTGAAGGACGATGAATGTGGTGCAAGTTAGCGGGACAAGCGCAAGTAGATAGATCATGCACGATTGGTTGTCGAATAGTCCCAAAGCTATGTGCGATGCACCCTGGAGGATGCTTGCTAATGCTGCGTTCGCGCGCAAGGCCGAAGCGAGTTGGGATCAAGTCCCCGAGCCACCTCTCCCTGAATCGTCTTCGTAGCAAAGGGGGTTTCCACACTCGCACCTTGCAACTGAGCTGCCGCCCTCCGATCCGTCTTCATCATGATGGTGGTCGAGAGGACGCGGCGACGTGGATGGATGCGTGGAGGGCTTGCCCATTGCGGCACGATGCGCCCTTGCCTGAGCGCGCTTGCGCGTTGCAGCTATCTTCTTGCGATTCTTGATCGCTCGAAGCATCAGCGGGGGTTCGCCGTATAGCAGCTCGTAGTCGCAGAACAGGCATACCCATTCATCTGGGAAGAGCGGGTTCGATGTCGATGGATGATCCAAACAGCCTGCTGGTACGCCGCTCGCGTTAACACTCCCGCGTTGATGACGAGGCGGCTCTGATGGTGTGCGGGACGGCACATAGTTGCTCTTGTGATGAACATTGTTCATGTTCGCCTTCTTGCGACGCGACACCTTTGACCCATTCTGCACTAGAGGCGGAGATTGTGTCTGAGGATTCATGGGCGACCCGGCGTCGAGACGGGACTGTGCGGAGCCTCCGGGCTGGAAGAATGCAGGGTCCTGATAGCTCGGTGCAGACACAGGTAACGGCATGGGGGCTCCACTTGTTGCCTCTGGAGCGAGAGTCGACACAGGGGAGAAGCTGGCCTGCTGCGCTTTCGATGGTGCCACAGGTAGAGGTACAATCGATAATGCGTTGCCAGCCGGTGTGTCCGCCGAGTAATGTAAAGCCCCCATGTTGGGTGACGTGAGCTGCAACGAATCCTCGACCGAAAGCAGTGGAGCAAGCTTCGAAGCTGTCGCAGAAATTGTCTTTGCAAGGTTCGAGGTGACCGTCTCGGCTGCCGGATTGACAAAGCTTTTGTTCCACTGTGCCTGGGCGCCAGTGACACTGCGCATGTACTGCTCCGGCAGGGCTGCTCTTGCAGCTGCCAGTGCAGCGGCAGCGCTAGCAGCAGCATTCGGGTCGCCCGCATCGATTCTGGCAAGTGCATCGGTAGCAGCGGCGACGGCATCATCGATGGGTCGCAATGATTCGGACAAGGTGGATTGCATATTGTCGATCTCTTTGCGCATGGTGACCAGTCTCGTTGTGCTCTCCGATTGACAACTGTATTCGAATTTAGATAGGCTAGGGACGGAAACAATTGTGTGAATGGATGGTGATGTACTTGGCTTCTCATCTCGCGCTTGATTGTCTGCGCTAGATGATTTGGCGTCGCCCTCATCCTCATCCTTCGGCTTGTCTTTGCATTTGTTCTCGGAACCCTGTTGACCCTGCAGCCGGACCTTGATCTCCGCAAGGGTCATCTTCTTTGTCCCACCAGATTTGCCAAAGGCTTGCGCTTTCTTCTCTGCCTTGCTCGTGCGCTTTTTGCGGGCAGCGGCTGCGACAGCAGCGGCAGACGCCTCCTCTTTCTCCTTTTCCAAGCGCTCAGCTTCTTCCTGCTCTCTTGCTTTTGCTCTTGCCCGCACAGCCCTGAACGCTCGGAATTTGATCTTGACGAAGTTTCGGAGATTGAGGCGCTGCATTGCCGAGTGCGGCATGCGAGCAGATGGATAGACGATACGCAGCTCATCTTCATCGTCAATGTCAGCCTCGTCGCCCTGCACTTCGGATGCGACAGGAGCTCTTCGCTCAACGTCTTGGGCGGCAGCGCTGCCGCCATGGTAGTAGCCATGAACAGAATCTTTAATATTGGTAGAGCCACTAATTGCGTCGTTGTCCATGCCGTGTCTTGCACTCTTACGTTTCTTGTTGTTCCCGCCGGTGCTGTAAGCACCGTCGTCTCTACAATCGCAGTCGTCCTCGCCGCAACTATCTCCTGCGTTGTCTAGCTCATGTTCACACTGGTCTGCCTGGTGATGATGATACCGTGAACTCGGAGCAGCTGACGAGTCTCCATCAGCCAAGGAGCTTTGCCGAGCGTCGAGGCGAACCATTCCAACGTGCGTGCGCTCCACCGCTTCTTGCAGCTCGGTGATCGCCGAGAAGGTTGGTGCCGACATGCGGGTAATCATGCGAGCGTGAAAAAGCGGATCTGTCATAGGATTCGTCCGCATTGCCTCGGGTATGTCAAATCTGAATGTCGCTATCCCATCTTCCTTGCCCACTGAAGCTGCATCCCCAGCGGCTGGCGCTTCCTCATCTGCCTTCATACCCACACTAATGCGAGCCTCTGAGGCGGCCATCGCCGGTACAAGAGCCTGCGTGAGCTCCGCCAGAAGCGCTTGCGGGTCCTTGGGGAGGGGCGATGTCTGGGCTTTCGGCGAGAGCGACTTCGCTGGACTCGACCTGGACAACGAGCGACCGCTAACGCCTTCAGTGAAAATTTCCCCTTCGGTCTCAGAATTTGGCAAGGAGGTAGACTCTTGATCGGAATCTCGATGCCCGGAGCTAGACCGGCACGCACTGCTTGCGCTCGTAGTGCTTCCCCTCGTACTGATCGTTCCAACAGAGTCAGGGTTACCAAGCTTCTTGTTGACAAGCATGCCCGCCACCTTGTGACGGGCCGTCAGCAGGCTAGATGAGCTTACTCGCAAGTCTTGGATCAAGTTTGGAAGGTCGCCGAGTGTTTCTCCTGACCCCCGCGAAGCGTGCACCCTCCTTTCGACAAGGCCAAGTGGCACATCTTCAGCATCTCGATTGATCGATGGAGGCGAGCCGAGGTGGCCCGCTAGAGATCGACGTGGGAGCTCCTGCAACGGCCAAGCGGGTTCAATTTCCGCTTCAGCCAAATGAGAGCTGCAGGCACACTCTAGGATAGACTTGATTTACGCCTCACCTTGATCATTCTCTTCGACTTGTCGACAGCCCAGTCAAACTGACCGTCAAGCTCATGCCCATACTGATTCAATCGGATCGTACGCCCCGCCGGAGATGGGTGCGAATGTGTACCTTCGGCTGGCAAAAATTCCCCTGCTGAGGAGATGTTCGAGGCGTGCAGATCTTCACCTTGCCCTCGCTCGCTACTGCAGTGCTCCTGATATATCGGAATGTAATCTGTTTTTCGTGGCTCGCTTGCGGTTCGATGAGCCGGATTTGAGAGCTGTTCAGATTCGCCTTGCTGGCGAAGGTCGTCTTTGATGCCAGATTTTACGCTCGATGCCCCTGCTGACCGATTGCGCTGTCCAGCTCTGTTCGCAAAAGACGACGCTGGCATCTCGTGAGCTGCGCTGCGCGAGTACGATGACAGGCAGTGGCCAGCAACGCTCTTCTTTGCAATCGGGGAAGAGATATGCCTTCTGGCCTACGGGCGATGGCCAGTCATCGCTTTCGGGTGCACAATTTTGACAACGTAGGAAATCCACTTCGACGTAAGCTCGTTTCGATCGGCGAAGGCCGTCTTCAAATAATAAGAGTACGATGGACTGACTGCGTATTAAGGATTCCGGCCGCAGGACTGCAAAGACCAACAAAGCTGTTGCTGCCAATAGGCATGATGTACCTATGCACTACAGCCTCTGATGTGTCTCCTCGCTTCACAAATCACAGCTTCAGAAGTCACTCTACTGGCGTATGCCCGCACCCCATGTAAAACCCCGCTGACCACAGCCTGCCGCTGACAAAAGAAACCCTGTGTGGCTGCATTGATGATTGGAACTCCCAATTCAAGTTTAGATTGAAGCAATTCGGTGCAAGCGTCCTCAACTGATCCTCCAGCTACAAACAAAAAAATAACCCTGGCGGCTAGTCTGGCTGACAGCGCGAACCTAGTGACAATTAGTTCGGCAGCCCCAGTTTGCCTTGTGAGACTGGCTGTCTTGCAGCGCGCAGGTGTGCAGGGAGGACCTTTACTAGTTTAGAGGTGGTCTGGTTTTGGTGGCTGGGTTCTGGAAGACTTATCGAGAGTGCAGCACCATCAGCCGTCAGTGTATCAGCCCGTCCATGCATTCGTGTTAACACCCGCCGTACCGTTGCAGCACTGAGGTCTCTCTCTGGTCAAGCGGAAAGCCCGAGTATTGACCAGCGGCGCCGACTTCGCGGTTTCAGCATGGGTGAGCGTGCCTGCAGTGGGGTGCATTGTTCAGCAGAGGACGCGACAAGAGTGGCTTTAGACTTTTTATGTATTCGACAAATTGAGCACAGATTGAGCTATACTTCCAGCGATGCCACCTGAGGCACAAGCCCAGCACATCGAGGGTGACAAGTGGGGTTGGAGGCACTCACAGTGGAGCGAGCCGAGCCAAAACCCGGCGATAGACTAGACTGGTTTTGATGGCAAGGTTGGATCGACTCACCCAAGCACACATGACAGAACACATTCACAACCCGCAGCGCTTGCTGCCTTGTTCGTTCTCATGCTCCCTGTCCACTTCTGGTGTAAACGTATCTTCATAATGATGCACCCATGAGCTTGTCATGCCGGCTCGAATATACTACCTTTATGTTCGCAGACTCTGCTTGCAACCGAATGCGGCATGTGGATTGCGGCGGTGCTCTGTGAGTCGTATACATCTGGCCTCCCTCTTGGGTTGCAAGAAATTACTAATAGGCACTAGGCCGGGTGTGCCTCTTTGTAAGTTGAGCGTACATGTATACTTCGACTTCAGCCAAGCAACGGAGAGTGCGTTTCTCTTTCTAGAGCGAGCAGTTGTTCCGACGTAACAGCAAATCAGGCGTACCTGCTTTCCGAGCACCCGGTTGCTTCTGAAGTTCACAGATTATGTGCCCCCGCTTTGTTTAGCAGGTAGTGTCCTTCACTTTTTCCCTTTTCCCTTTTGCTGCAACAGAAGGAGAACCATGCAAACATGGGGGAAAGTCAGCTGACTCTACGAGACTTGCTCGGCTTGTTATGAATCACACAAGCAGACAACTGACCTTTGCCTTCTCCGCCTGCTCCTTGTCCCAGATCCAGTCGTTCAGTCCTCGCCTGCATCGCGCAATCTCGAAGCAGTAGAATTGAAGACGCAAGACAAATATGGTGTTGTTTTGCGTGTACTCGTCAGAGGAGTCCGTACGGATGAGCGTGCCTTGATTGAAGTCGGCAACTTTGGGCATGCACACCAGTGTCCAATCCGAAGTATACGTCAGTGACTTTACAGTTAGACATGCGGCAAGCTCATGGAATGGCTCGTGCTGCTTTGGCGACTCACCCTTTCCCTCGTACCTTTCCGAGAACTTCCTCCAGCGCTCTTTACCTTTTGCCGATTTCATCTCATCTTCGTCAATCTTCTGCACGCTCTTCGGCCTGCTTTCCTCGGAGTACTCGGGAAACGACTGCGTGAAGTCGGTGTAGATCTCATCGTCAAGCCTTCAATGGTCCAAGAGGAATAGAGAAGAAGGCAGAGACTAGCATGTAAGACTCCAGAGAGCAGGTTCTAGTGCTGTGATAGTCGTGCTCAAGTTTGTTTGCGAGAACAAAAACACTTACTTGGTAAGCTTGAGAGTACTTGGCTTGATCTTCTCGAGTAGGTTCCAGTACGTCTGGGCATGCTCAACACACTTGACGGCCATCTGCTTCTCGATCTCTGGCAAGTTCTGCGCCTGGTTGGCATCAAAGGTACCCAGCGACATGATGGACAAGTAGCCGATGACCTTTGCGAAGGACCTGGTAAAGGACGTGAGGTGCAAGGTGCACGGTCGGATGCGTTCACCCCGGCGACTGTGATTTGATATCCTACTCTGTTCTGCAGGCTGCTCGAAGCAAAGGGTAGGACAATTGAAGCGGATCGAACTCAGACTGCTACCCAATGGTGTAGCAAGAAAAGAAGGGGGAAGCCTCGAGGAGAGCCAGTCGCATCTTCCATCGACTCGCCCACATTGAGACCACACATCGATATGCTCTCCACCCCCGACCACGCGCCTTCAGGAGCAATGTATTCTGTTCGAAGGGAACGTTGGCTGTCGTGCCTGGTGGGCCAGGGTGCAGGAGCAACCAACCCTAATTATGGCTTCGAACGTGCCCGCACCAAAGTCAAGAAAGCTCACACCATAACCCCGCCTGCCAAAGAAAGTCAGTGTCCCGCGCATGGTAAGCATTGAGCTGGAAAGCCCTATTTTTGGTCTTATTTTCCGGTTTGGAAGGAGACTTGTTTCGAGATTCGGGATATTCTCTGTTGAAACGACAGGGTTCTATGTACGCTGGCCCGGAATTCAAATTCACCTCGAGCCATCATCATGGGCCATCATGAGCCATGTGAACTTCATGACGGATGCGCCACTGAGTTATGCTTGCTATAACCAGCAAGAACGAAATAGTGCGGACCGATTTCATGCTACCGTCGCCAACTCAAGGTCTGTTTCACGCGTGACCGGTAGAAAACTAAACAAAGGACAGGGCAGGGCGCTTATTGGCGTATGCCCACAGTGTTGGTGATTGTCATCAACTGCAATCGCTCTTCCACCGTCGCTTTCGTGTGCCCACGGTTTATCCCACCCAACTGCGGACCAGAAAGCCAGCTGGTATTGGACCCGTAGAACACTCTTGCCAGGAGATTGGAGGAAATATGGCCTCACAAGGTAGATCCTACTTTGCGCCCGAGCCGCGCTCTGCGTCGTCCATCAGCACCACCTACGAACGCGACGACGATGAGGTGCCAGGACTGGAGCATGACAACGATCTGCGTGGCGCAGGGAGCAAGGCTGTGGCAGAGTCTGCGCCATTTCTGCCCAATGGTGCATCGGGAAATGGGGGTCCGACCATTAAGGTCGACTTGGGACGCATCGGAAGCGCTTCTTCGGGTGCGGACGACCCGGCAGGCCGGGCTTCCAAAGGGCAAGGCCTGTCAAGTATTTTGGCCTACTGCATGAGCAGTATCATGATGACGGTTGCGAACAAGGTGCGTGTCCTCTTTCGATGTGAGAACAACGCCTTTACAATTTTTGTTAACACCTCTTCCATCTTCAGTTCATCGTGCTGGACAAAAAATTCAACCTCAACCTCGCCGTGCTGCTCATGCAGTCTCTCATCGGCGTAGCCCTCGTGATAATAGCACGCCGCCTGGGTTGGATTTCACTCCGCGGCCTCAACAGGAAAGACGCAGGACTATGGATGCCGATCAGCGTTCTGCTTGTTTTTGTCATCTACACTGGCAGCAAGGCACTACAGCATCTCAATGTCTCGGTCTACACCATTTTCAAAAATCTGACCATCGTCCTCATCGCGTACGGCGAGAGGATCTGGTTCAAAGGCCGCCTGACGGCCCTCACACTGCTCTCTTTCTTGCTCATGGTCGTTTCCTCAATTATTGCTGCTTGGGCCGATTTGTCGCAGCTGGCTTTCACCAAGGACCTCCCGTACCCGCATCTGAGCGATTCGCATCTCTCCGGCGGCACATGGAACCCCATGACAGGCGAGTTTGTCCCAACTGTCGATGGGCTCAAAGTGGAGCAGGACAGAATCAATCAGGCATCGAAAGATGCTCTGGGGCTCGCGAACAATGACCCGTTGCTCGATTCGGCTGCCACGCCTCTGGGTGGAGCAAGCGCAATGTTAAACAGTGGATATGTTTGGATGGCACTCAATTGTCTCTGCAGCGCCTCATACGTGAGTGCAAGCGAGTATGGCTCTTTTCGCCTTTCAGACGGGATGATTTCGAGAAACCCGAAGCGGCTGACGCCATCGTTCCTTTCATAGGTGCTCCTCATGCGTAAACAGATCAAGATGACGGGATTTAAGGACTGGGACTCGATGTACTACAACAACCTGCTGTCGATCCCAATCTTGCTGCTGCTCTCTCTTGTAAGTTATATCGAGCCCCTATTGTCTCGACAGAGGTGTGGTAAATCTGACGCCTTCTGATGTGACTGCCATAGCTCGTCGAGAAGTGGACGAAGGAGAACTTCGACTCTGCCTTGTGAGTGTCCTGGTGCCACTTTCCTGAGCCTTTCGCCTGAAGTGCATGTACAGATGGAGCTAATGTTTTCCTTAGTCCGCAAGACAAGCGTGCCCAACTCTTTGCCGCTATTGGATTCTCTGGCGCATGCGCCATGCTAATCAGCTGGTCTACGGCATGGTGCATCCGCGTGACATCCTCGACCACGTACAGCATGGTCGGTGCATTGAACAAGCTTCCCCTTGCGCTTAGCGGTATGATTTTCTTCAAGGAGAAAGCCACTGCTGGAAACGGGATCGCCATTGCTGTAGGCTCCTTGGCCGGGTAAGTTCTTGACATTGTCTGCTTTTATCAAATTGGTGTCCTCAATTATTGTTTTTGCTCTGGCATCGTTCCTTGCTGTCATCCTACCCTCTACAGCATTGTCTACGCCTCGGCGAAGATGAAGCAGAGCAGTGATCAGCAGCAAGCCTCTGGAGGCTCTGCGGCTACTGGCTACAGTCGCTTGGGGACTGGGGCCTTGCGTTCGGAAGGCGTCATCCCTATGCATAAGCTTAATGGCGATGGGGACCCGCGCCGTGATTGAAGCAGAGGCTGTTGCGCGCACCTCACGTGATGGGATGCAGCCACTGCGAGCACAAGTGTACGCCTCCGTCAATCACATATCACAGCTGTATTATATTCACTTACGTACCCTGCCATAGATGGTACAAAAGGTATCGTTCGCGCCACTCCCTTGAATGTTCTGCCACGCACCGCTGAGATACTAGCCCTTCGAAATCCATCGTGAGCACACCTGTGAGAAAGAGTTGCGGCATTAGGTTAAGCTACATAGTGTTGAGCTGCAGGGTAATAACCTTGATGACGGCCGAAGTGTCTAGGGCTTTGGGCCAATGGATAAATTGACATAGTAGTTGCAGGCTCGGAATGAGATCGTTTCGGAAATCACCTCAGGTGCGCTGCTCCTTCGCGTCGTACTGCTGGCCGTGGGAGATGCGACGCTCACGTTACTTGCCAGCGTGCAGGCAGCATGACACAGTGAAAGCAGGCACGGCCGATGCAGCCACATATACAGGAGCTCAGGCTGCTACGTCCACATATCACCGACTGCCACGGCCGTAATCGAAAGGTGTGAGGAGGCATCCACGTGGTCGCGAGGTGCTGTAATTCTTCGCCTTTGGCAGCTGCTGGCAGGTGATGGGCGACGACAAATGGCGTTGGGTACGGGTACGGGTACGGCTGCTGATGCGCCTGCGCCTGCGCAAGCTGCTGTGACATGACGAAGAGGTGCACAGGCCGAATTACGACGGCTTCTCATGATATGCGAAGAGGCAACCGGAGGGAGCGATTGATTCTAGTGTTGTTCCAGTGCCGGTATGCTGGAGCTGGACATGCTTCGATTACCAGCTGACGTCTGCAACCGACGTTGCAAGGAAGGAGGAGGGACATTCGCCCACTGGCGACTTGAATGCACGCCGCTGCTGATCAGCTCCCTTCGCGCAGCATGCCGACTTTTTCGAATAAGGGACTCGTCGGTCAATTCCCGACGCTGCTACTGCTCCTTCCTTGCCGCCGCTGTTGCTGCTTTTGTGACGGCGCTAAGTTTCCAGCATGCCTCGCTTTGGCTGCACATTCGCCGGTACTAAAGCAACTGAAGTCAGGCTCTGCGAGGACGATAGAGGAGAGTGTACAAGATGCACCATTTTGGCACAGAGCAAGCCGCAAGCACTCCCAAGGGTACTCATTTCCGCCGGGCCCTTGCGCCAACCCCCCTGATAGCCCGGCATCTCACGTATGCAGATACAGGGTATCCTTTGTAGGTGCAGACATGCAAATAGTCTAGAATGTGTTTGCAATTCTTGATCCCTCAATCTGATCGCCACTCGCTACGTCGTGAGAACGGAAGGCATGTGTCATGCGTCCATGAATGATGCAAGTTTCGATGAGATGATTACAAGCAAGATTTTGCAGGCTGCGCAGATACAATGGGAAGGATACATGGGCTCCATGCGGGTAATACAAAAGCAGACAAAAAGGGAGGATAGAAACCAGTTCTGATCCTGAGAACTGACAGATAGATGTTAAGCTGTGCTGATTGCTCACTGGCGAGGGCTCAGATGGAGTAAAGGGCGACCCTCAGCGATGGCGGCGGCGAGGGCTTGCTGCCGCTCAGCCTTCCTGGCACTCTCCTCGAGGCGCTGCCGTGTGCGTTCATGCATGCTAAAGTCTCCTTCAGCCGGACGTCGCGTGGTGCTGTTCGACATGAGTCCTCGCGTTGCGACTTCCGCCAGCAAGCTGCCCTTCTCGAAAGGGCCGGAAAGCAGATCGGCGTTGAGTAACAATGGCTTGCTGGATGCGTGTAAGGCGGAGATTGGCTCTGCCACGCCCTCACTGCTGACGGAGACGGCTGCACTGCTGAGGGTCTGGTCTGGCCTGGGCGTGGTGGTGGTAACGGCGTGCTTGAGACTGCCGCTTCGTCGAACGCCAGGGTGAGCACTGTCGGCACCGATGAAGGTTTGAGCGACTGTCGCAGCAGTCAGCACGCGGAAGAGCGTCGCGCGCTCCTGGCGCAGGATGTAGGTCCGAGCATTGAGTATGTTCTTGACCCAGTCTCGATGAGCTGCCGGGTCTGACAGACAGAAGAAGTGCAGATAATCTTGGTCTGGCTTTTCGAACATCGTGATCTTATCCTGGCTGCGGATAGCAAACGAATGCGCTTTTGGCCCCTTAAATCGAGGATTCGTGACCAGGTAGACGTCGAAGTTGGACAGGGTGCAGATGTGCTCTTCATCCTTGCCACTGTCCGATTTTGCATGAAACAGCGAGTGATCCCGCAGCTCAAGCCAGCGCTTGCTCCACTTCTTCTTGCGGTCCTGCACATACACGTAGCCAGCCAAGGCGGGGGATCGATCGGGCACCGATCGCAAGCTGACGTATGGCGCCAGCTCAGTCCGTCGCAGAAGAAAGTAGTCATGCGATTGACTTGCGCGATGCTCTGCGACCTCGGACACGAGTTCGTACTCGCGGATTGGGCGTTCTGTGAGCCGCAGCGAGTAACGTGTTCAGCTTGGTGACACAAGTGTACATTCGAGGGTTACTCACCGATGCCAAACTCTGCGCTAACATCAAAGATGACCCATCCTCCAAGGGTGGAGTCATCATTAGCGACAGAGCCGTTGTTCATAGCCTCCAGAACAAGATCGCGTGCGCGAGCATCCGAGCGGACATTGACATTGACATAGCGTTGCTTAGTGATCAAGTAGACCTTGTGCTGGATAAGCGATGTCATCACTATCGTGTCTTGTTTGCTGCCGCCCTGGAACGCAGAAGCAGATGCGACGGGTGACCCAGTGCGTGTGTGGTGAACGGGGCCAGGAGAAGCGCTCGACGCAGCGGCAGTAATGGCAGCCAACGTTTGATGGTGCATGGGAGCCGCGGGGATCGTGGGGGAAACAGGCGTGGGGGCGGCATGTGCAGACTCGGAGAGCAGCGAGTCAGGTGAGCCGATAACTTGTGCCAAGTGACGTGGGACTGGAGGTAGCGGCGGGACAGAAGGGTCGCGTGCGCGAGTGGACGAGCGCGATAAGGTGAGCTCTGCAGCCTTCTTCCCTAGCTCTGAGGGGGCAGTCAGCTTGTGTTGCACTGCCATGCTGTCGCCTTGCCTTGAATTATTTGTGGAAGCATGACGGCGTGACAGAGGCCTTTGACGGGAAAGGGGCTTAAGGGGTACGATGGCAGCCTCAGGCTGGATACTCTCTGAGTGATGAGTAGCTTTTGCATTGGGCTGTCTAGCACTTTGAACGCGGCGTAGCCTGGACGAGAGGTCACTTGGGTCGATGCTACCGTTCGATGCAGCATGGCCTGATATTGAGAGACCCGTCTTGAGGTCTGCCGCTGTCATTGGTTTCTGCCTGACTCGACCCTCTTTTGAATTCTGCGACCTTGTCGCAGTCGAGGAGGTAGTTTGCAGACCACGTCGGGACTGTTCCTTCTGCACTCGATAATTGAGTTTCTCCTGCAATCGATCAGGATTGTCGACGCGCTTGCCCAGCGGAATATCGTCTTCAGATGAGTCCGCTCGCAGCATATTTTGTTGTGACAGAACGGCTCCGCGACGCCCGGCATCCAGCTCATCAACGCCCCCATAGTCGTCTTCCGACTGACTCGAGAAGTCTTCAGATACAGTCTCATCTAGTGCAGGCCTCCCAGTTCCGGGCTGCCGAGGGTCTTCGCCAACATCATTTGCGTGAGCCCCCCCGCGGCAGATCACGTTGGAGCTTTGGTTTCCGCCGCCATCGCTAGAGCCATAATTGTCGGAGCTGTTGTCGCTGTTGTCCTTCCCGTATACCTTGGACCTATGAACCATCTCCTGCGATCCAGAAGCCTGCTGTAGGTTGGGAGCATGCGTGCTCCAGTCAAGATCCGTCCAGCTGCTGGGTGCGAGTGCATCCAACAGACGAGCAAGCGCGATCTCCTGCGCGTCTCCGTTGGCTTGCTCAATTTGTGGATATTCTCTGACGGCCGGTAAAGGTCTGCTGGATAGCTTGGGGGTCGAATCTGACACTGCCGATCCTAGACTCGCGAGCAGGGAAATGCGCTTCTCCGCCTCACTGGCCGCTGTTGCAGTAGATGGGAGGGAGGTGCTGGTTGGTAAAGACCAGGGATTGTGTTGCGGCGCGTCGGGGCACACAGCAAGAGTTCGCGCCGCGGTGGGATTTACAGGTTCCTTCGGTGACATCGAATGCAGTTCCGCTCTCTCGTGGTGATGCTGCTGCTCCTCCTTGCTTTGGAAACTGATTGCTAGAATTCGTGGATGTGCGGGAACGGGTTGACTCCCGGGTGATGATTGCCTTAGGTCCTGCCGCTGATGAACTGCAGACGATGTAGACGCAATCAAAAGAGGAGACAAAGGCTGCGAAACACTGGCGGGGTCCCGTCCCAGAATCGTCAAACTGGACGGGAAGTTGTTTGGGAAGGCAGCGAAGATGGACTTGGCGTCGCTGGCCTTTGTGGACAGAAGCCTGTTTCGCTGAGCAGTTGGACCCCTAAGCGACTTCCACGCGTTGGAGCGCTTAAGGCTCAGACCTCGCTTCAGTGTGCGGCTGTCCCGATCCTCAATCCCACATGTGTCACTCCAGTGATTGGACATCCTATCCGCCTGCTTTGAAGGATCTGCGACGTCACCCGCATCAGCAGCAACAGCATCTTTGACTGATGTAACTACCGGGCCGGATGAGCCGAGCGTACCTGGTGGCAACGGGGTCATGCGTGGTGACAGCGAGGCCAAAGTGTCTACCGCGCGTGTGTCCATTGACACCGGGGTTGGTGTCGACACGGCGGTGCTGGTAATTCTGGAGGCGGGTATCGTCGAAGAGTTCGCATGCGCAGAGTGTTGAGGCAAAGTTTCGTTGTGTAATGCCTTCTCAGGCGACACGCCAGACACTTGCTTTGAACCTTCTGGACTCTTTACCCTCGAAGTACGCTCCTGTTCTGGGGTTTCCAGTCTCCAAGCTTCAGGAAGAGAGTGACGTAGCGAGATGGGTCGAGATGGTGATGCGGACTGAGCGAACTGCTGATGAGGATACACCCAGCGCTGCTTGGGCATAATCGCATCTTCCATCACGCCCTTAACGACTGTTGCACGCACAGCACTGGGGAGCTCCGAGGTTGTGGCTGCAAGGGCCGTGACGTCCTGTTCCGCCGTGAAGGAAAGAAGCGATGCCCATGAGTCACGCTCTCTGCGCTTGTCGAGCTCGTCGGACGAGGAGCCATTGATGAGCTTGCGATGCGCACTTCGGACGCGCGGCTGGACCGATGAGACCGGTGGCGTCGTGTCGGTAGAGTCGGACAGCACATGTGTCTGATCACTCGCGGCCCACGAAATCGCGTCGCTCCAATCACTGTCTTGCGGAAGTGAGCTGTTCAAAGACGGTCGCCTGACCCCGACGGGATCGTCTGGGGCCAGTACAGTGAAAAGCGTCGTGACCTCTGCCTCTGTTTTTGACATCGAATATCGCATCCCCGCTGCAGAAGCGATGTCGTATGTGTATCCGCTGTTAGAGGACATCGAGTTGCGCGCAGATTCGGGCTTATTACTCCGCGCGGTTGCCCCTTCAAGTCGAGCGCATGCATCAGCCATGCCGGCGTGTCTTTGCTGCCTTTCCATCGCCATCAGCTCGTCCTCCGATTTGTCCAAAAAGCGACACCGAGAAAGTTCATAAGCCCTGCTTGCTGCGTCTCCGCTCCAATAACCACTCTCAGTGCGGCTATCCCCTGCACTTGACACCTGGGACAATTGAACTTCTGTCTGCTCTTGGTCAAGGATGGAACGCACAGCCTGTGCGGGCCGCGCTGCGACGCTGCTTGCCTTCCAGGTTTGTCGAGAGGCACCGATGCGTTGCTGGACTTTTGTGAGTATCGAGAAAGCCAGAGAATTGCTCAGGGACGAATGCGATTCGACACTTGCCGGTGGCGTAAAGTATTGCAATTCGCTGTTTGACACACTTGCTTCCAAGGAGCGGCGGGCAAAAGTGCCTGCAACGATGGGTACCGTGACCCCCCTCCATGCTGAAGCATCATCAACATCTTCGACTGCCTCCGCCTCCGCCTCGTCGGCGAGTGGTCTCTCGTGCGCCGGAAAGAAAGTCTCGACGCTCGACATGGGGTCAGAATGTGGGACAGTACTGTGAATGGCGTTGGGCCCAGCCGAGTTCCGAGTTGAGGCACTTATAATGCTCCGACCACCATTCCTTCGCAGGCGCGCGACGCAGGCCGGGGTCACGACCACATGACAAGGCGGCGCCCTGCAGCGATGCGAATTGCTACGTTCGACCGCCTCTGCAAATGTCGCTGTTGATGGTGTCACTTTTGGGGATGAGCGCGCGGGCAGGGAACTGCGCAGTGCTCGCGGCAATGACCTTGGGGAAGTTACCGATGACACCGAGTCGCTCACACTTTCCAGGGCAGGACTCATGCCATGACTCGCAGTAGACATGCTCGATTTCGCCGTGCTGTCAAGAATACCTGCACGAAGGGGTGCATTCGGCAGGCCTTCTTTTTCCTGATCACCTTCGCTCGTGTCGCCCGGTACAATTTCAAGAGATAGGCCCATTGCTGCGAGCAATTGTGTGGTATTGTAAGGTGGCTTCTGTGGCCATGCCTCAGCGCTTAAGGCTGGCGAAGCCACCAAAGATGCGGATGCGCTCGCAGCTGAATTTCGTGCAGTGTCAGAGACGAATGGCAGGGAGGGTGAAGGGGCGGTGCTTGCTTTCATCAGCAAGTTGTCGTTCGTGGAGGCGAAAGGCCCGGCTGGTGGCTTAGGACGGGCCCCCCGATCGTTGGCACGCATTCCGTCTGTTACCTCTGTGCTCGTTGGCTTGGGTGCTACTTGCACCGGAGCTAGCTGCTCGAGAAGGCCAACGCCTTCGTGGTAGCTTTGTATCCCGTCCCTTCGGGCGCTATGCGCATTGTGGATGCTGCTGAATAGCAAGTCTCTCGAAGTTATGCTTGCTCCGCCCTCGCTGCTCCGTCCTGTGACGCTGAGGCTGTGCGAGCTGCTCAAGCTTCTGAGGCTGCCTTGTGTGCTGGCCGAATTGCGATTCGAGTTGTACGGCGGCTTTGGACTAATTGTCTGCGGGGAATTGTATGCAGCCAATGGCTGCGAGCGAGAAGCCCTGACTTTGCGTGAACGCACAAAAGACGACGATGGCAATGGGGTGAACAAGGGCTTTGCTGATGTTCGCGAATCCATCTGGTGTCCCTGGCCACTGTCTCTACATTGAGAACCTTTCGCTTCTGGTGGCCTGCCAGCGTCGGACCTTGCGGATACCCCTCCAGCGCTGACTGAGCTTCTAATCCGCTTGCGTCGCGGACCTGCGAATGTTCTGCGCTCTTCTTCTAACATCGCGTTGCACAAGCTGCCTTTGGAGAGACATTCCATTATGGGACTTGACCTGACCGACGGCACCAACAGCAGCGAGTGAGCTAAAGCAGGTGAGGCTGTATTACGTGCTGAGGGCCGGTCCGACGTCCCAATCGAGTCTGATGTGGATGGGTTCCCAAATGAAGCCCAAATGCTTGGACTATGGCAGAAAAGAGTGGACGAAGAGGGGCCTGGCGCAGAAGCGAGCCGCAGTCGCCTTCGAGTGCCGTCTGCGCTTTTGCGATTCTGCACGATACCCGCGTCGTTAGGGGTCGCTGAGCTTGCAGACGGTGACATGAATAGTTTGCTGGGGATCCACAATGGATTCTCTCGCAATGGCACGAGCGGCGAGCGAGGCTTCGGTGCTATAGACAATGGACTCGCCAGCCCGCTCGACACGGTAACACTGGCTGTTGGGATCGGTGGCGACACTTGGCTTGAACTTCCGCTTCCGTCATTGCTCGAGGAAAATGACGAGGAGGATAGAGACATTGAACCTCTCCCATGATATTGCAGCTCTCGCCGCCGTGAGGAGACGGAAGAGCGTGCAGAGGATGGCGGAAGTGCACCGTGCCCGTTGCTGGACTCCCATTCATCGCCAAGAATAGGTGAACCGATTCCAAAAGTGTTGCGGTGGAGCTTGATCACCTGCTCAAAGCTCAATGGGGACCCTGTTTTGCTTGCGTCCACGCCTACCTGCGCTTGTTTGTCGACTGCGGCCATCGCCATAACCTGGGGGGGGGGGCTTCGACACAGGCTGCAGAACTGCCAGTGAGGCGAGGTGTGCTCTGACGATTCGGATGATCAAAAAAGTGCCGACAGGGGAAAGGTAACAAGGTTAATGACGGCGTGCCTGCTTGCTCCGTTGCGTACCCTATGAGGTTTCGTAAAGTCTTCATTTGGTCAGCTTAAGGGACGTTCGATTCCGCTGTTTCATATCTGTGATCAGCAATGCTCACCATACCAAACCCAAAATTCCGCTCTCCAACAGCTGCGGATGTGATGCAAGCGGGAAAAAGCAGGACGAGGTCGCCAACGGAAACAAAATGCGATGCGAATAAATGAGAGCTGCTGGCGCAACTAGAGGTGGGGGAGGGGAAAGCGAAGCGGTGAAGTGTCAGTATGAGTCGAAGACAGATCGAGACGCGTACTTGGAGAAACGCGAATTCGTACCCATCGGAAGAGGGATCAAGTCGAGCAACGCGATATATCGAGCAGAGAGAGCGATGGTAACTCGCGCAGCGCTTGGACGTCTACCAGTAGGGGCGCTGAGTGAGCTCCTCGTAACCCAGCAGACGACAATGGGGAGCGGGTGGGCCAGCCAGGAAAAAAGCAAGGAAACGCTCCTTAGTCGAAATGAAGGGGTGTAACCAACAATGAGTGGTGATTTGGGTAATCACCGTCCTACTCAGCCCTCGCGGGATGAGGCCAGGGCGTTCATGATGAGGCGATGAGGAAACGGCGGGCGAAGGAGCCACGAGTCGCTGTCGATACGGGTAGAAGAGCCAGCTCCATCGATATGATCATCCAATGGTCATCAGTTGCACGAGGATCATTGTGCATTACTTTGGCGCCCAAAAGGGGGCATGCCTACGAGCCGGTGGATGAGATGATATGTGAATCAAAATGGCGATGAAGCCCTTTGGGATAGCTGGCTGATGTGGGTGTGATTGCGGCTGCGAATATCGCCAATTTGCCATGTTCTTCTAGATGGAGTGCAAGGTACCGCAGTTGACGGTTAACCCGATCACGATCACTGAACAAACCCAAGGTGGACACGGCGCCCTTGGGGGCCAGGTCGTGCTTCGTAATCTTCCAGAACCCAGATTCCGGGCACATCGCGATTTGGCCCGATCGGACATCGGCTTTCGGGTCTCGAAGTTTGTAATTTTGGTGACTTGCTTGCCGGATAGTCTCTTTTGTTTGTAAAGGAAATCCCCCGTGAATCCGCGAAACCTTGTCAGAAATCCTGAAATTTCTGGCCTCTTGCATTAGCGGATCAGCAGGCTTCTCGGCATTAGCACAGAGAAAGTACGTACGTAGTGGAGGACCGAAGAATTCCAGTCTAAAAGTCTATGTAGGTACATAGGTATTCATATGCCTGTGCCCTGTGGAGGATTGCCAATTCCCCGTTTTAATTTAATGAAATATATGTACATCTCGTATTTGATTGGATGGATATTGGGTTCTCTCTGTGACCAACTGGCAGGCTGTGGCCCGTCATCACATACTATTCTTGCTGCCTACAGGCCATGCACTGCTTGTTGTTCTGTGTGCGTTGTCCTGCGATATATCCAAACTGGGGAACCCTAACAGATGACTAATGTGTACATATATATAATATATTTGTACATACCTGCAAACTAGCAACTACAATATAATCTGGTCAGTAGACCCTACTATGTATTCCATGCGAGCACATGTAATCTATCGAGAAGCCTTCAATGGTCTGCTCTCTTGCCACTTTGGCGACGGAGTGACGGGGTGGCTACGTAATCATCAAGTAGAATCCAAAAGAAACTTCAATATATTGACTCCAAATTCCAACTCAACGCTTCCATGTCCAACCAAGTCCCATGATCCATGCTTCTCCCGTCGCCCCAGACCCTGTTAGATTAGTATGCGGTACGAGTACTACTACCACCATGGTAGTTTTCGCTCAGTTTTTGTGCGTATCGTCTTCCGAAGTCAGAGTGTTTTCCTTGTAAGGAGAACGACCAAAGTATCGAGAACGAGAGTTAGGAAAAGCAAATTCGGTTCCGTTTAGACGCAATCCTTCGAGAGCCACCCTGTTTATACGAGTCGCATCTGGCAAGCATTCGAAGGCTACCCGTGCCACGACAGATGGTACATGCCACAGGGGTTGGGACTTGTGGAGAATGTAACTAGTCTTCCTGAAAAGCGAAAAGAGGATGATCCGATTATCTTTACATGAAGGATTCATGAAAATAAGTGACGAGCAGAAACGATGACGATCTCGACTCTGAGGATCTGAATTCAACATCTGGATATTTGCAATGGTGGATTGTAGTCAATATGGACGATGACCTTGCCAGTTGGCATATTTATTTGGAGAACAGCCAGAAGAGCTGGTGGTGAATGCGAATGTCAACTTTCGAAGACGAGCTGTCGGCTTGTGCGCTCGTTTCGCAACCTGCTGAAGCTCTAGCAAGTAGGCGCATATTGGAGACCCTAGCTGGTCGTCCACGTCCCAGAGGTCTTGGCGCCACTCGCGACCGTACAAATACAGCGGCCCACTACCAGCGGAATTCGCAATGCGAATACCCAAGCTGTGCTTGACCCTGCTCCTCCACCGCGACCAGCGGGAATGAAGCAATGCATCTGGAGCTGGACAGCCCTACCCTTCGCCGATGTCTCTCTGAGTATTCCGTATATATTCCGGCAGAGTTTGCGATGGCGACCGCTTTCGCCTTGTCCCCATACCGTGGAGTGTTTCTTACACGAGAGCATCATTCATATGGAGCGCTTGCCGGGGCGAGCGTCGATCTCATGGAAGATTGGATGTGAGCGGGTGTGAATGCACAAAAAAGAGAGAAGGACGATCAATTTGCCTGTGGCTCTGGGCCTAGTGGGCTGCGAGTGCGGGCCAACGGCGGCTTTTGCGCACTGCACTGGCTGCTGCGCGATGAGGCTGCAGTGACATGCTTGCTGGCTTGCGTGCACAAACGAAGGCGTGGGGATGACAAGCCTCTCCCGCACTGCAATCACACGGACAGGTGAGATGGAGGGTGGCTGGGCTGAGCGAGTCAAAGTGGGAAGGAGCGGGTGGTGTGCCTGCCAGCACATGAGCCAGTGTGAATTGCTCTGACTTTGGCTGTGACATCTCTCAACTTGTATTACATACATACATGCATACATACATACATACATGTACTTGGTGGCTGCGTGTCCTTCTGGGGTTCCATCCCTTTTGCTTCTTCGTAGCTCAACGACACCCAGCATCGCTATAACCATCCCATCATCATCATTCACGTCGTCTTCGAGCGTGCAGTGCACAGTAGAGCAGCCGAGAGCACGGCACACCATGGACAGAGATCGAGACAATCTCCTGCCACCACTTCCCCCGCCTCCCCGCGGCAGCGGCAGCAGCACTGCCAACGCACCTGGTCGCTCTGCACTCAGCAGCGGGGGCCCGCCTGGCTCCGCTCTGGGAGGCGGTACAGGCTATAGCGACGCGTTTAGTAGGCACCATCCTTCCATGCATCCATCGCAGCAGCAGCAGCGGCACCAACAAGAAGAGCAGCAACAGCAGCAACAGCAACAGCAACAGCAGCAACAGCAACAGCAACAGCCACCATCCAGGCATGACCCAGGGGGTTACCCATATCACTCGCATTACGACGGTCCAGGCGGAGCAGGGCAAATGTCTCGTGAGTACGCTTCTTTCTTTCTCATCTTCGTTGCTTAATCCTCCTGGCGGATGACAGCATTGCTGAATCGGTGACGAACACGCTGCAGAACCGTCTATCGTGGCTGACAGGCGGCCAGGCTCCTACTCTGGCTCGACGTCACCCGTCCATCGCTCACGCACTCCGCCCTCCGCCTACGGCAGGCCACTGCCTCCTAGCGCAGGTCTCCCGCCTTCCTCGCGGGATCATCATCAGCAGCAGCAGCAAAACGGGGCCGCAGGAGCACCAACCGGCGGTCCACGTGGGCGACAACTGCCTTCCTGGGATCACGCCAATCCAGCCATGTCGGCCCCGCCTAGCTTGGCCCCACGCTCGGCAGGAGGAGGAGGAGCAAGGTCCAGGCCGCCGCATTCACCTACGAACCACGTCGCCCGCGAGCTGCAGCTGGCCGGCAGTCCCGGCAGTGACGTTCGAGCCGCCAGCCAGGGTCCTGGCAGCGAGTTCTTCCCTGGCCCACTGAACAACTCGCGTCTTCCGCCGCAGCCGCCTCTTGCATCTTCCGCTTCAGCCGGCGGGGGGCGCCGGTCGTCCACCCAGTCCCGCAGCGTCAGCGAGACGTACGGACCTGGCCCCCTCGGCGACATGCAGGATCAATGGCAGCGCAGCGCCACGGTCGGGCCGGGCTCACATCCCGTCTCCGTCTCGGCGCAGAGTCAGCCGCCCGGCCTGTCCTCTGTCTCGATCAGCTCGTCCTCTGTTGGCGGCGGAGGCAGGGCAAGCGTCCATCACCGCCATTCGGCCTCGAGCCTCGCCGCATCATCGTCGTCGTCGGCGTCAGGCCCTCACTACCACCACCTCCACCATCACCACCCTCACTCCCACCACTCTTCTATTGCTGCATCGCACCATCATCATCACCTTTCCGCGCCCTCTACGGCGTCCGGCCCACCACCGGGCCCAAGCTCACCGCCGAGTCATGCACCGTTCCGTTCGCCCGATCTGCCGAGGCGCGTCATGTCTGACAGCTACGCTGCCGGTCCGCCACCACCACCAGGCGCAGGCGGTGAGCCTGCGGGCTCGCGCAACGACCCGATGAGCATGAGCTCGATCCTTAGCGGGTCTAGTGGTGCCGGCGTGCGTAGCGACGCGCCGAGATATGGCGCAGGAGACGAGCGCAGGATCCAAGGTGAACGGGAGCGCGAGCGCGAAAGGTCCGCGCGGGCCGGCGGCTCGCCTCCTTCCAATGCCACGTCCGGAGGGCCTTTGCCGGTACCATCCGTCGCCGGCATCGCGACCAACAGTAACAACAACAGCAGCAGCAACAACAACAACACCAACGCCACCACCACCAACAACAACAACAACCATAACAACAGCGACAGCAGCAACAATAACAACAACCACAGCAGCAGCAGCAGCAAAAGCAAAAACTCGGCATCGTCCGGGACGCAGCTGTCCATCTCCGTTGCGGCCAACTTGGCTCGGCGCAAGTGGAGCGGTCCTATCGCCGAGGAGGCCGAGCGGCAGGCGGCCGCATGGCGTGCACAGGAACAAACGCGCTGGGGTGTTGCGGGTGGGCACTCGCGCGTGCGCAGCGGCGGCAGCGCCGTCGGCGTTGAGCCGGCGCTCGCCAGCGCCGCCGTCGCCGCCGCGAACAACTTTGGCATCGTGCCGCCTGCTTCAGCGCGCAGCAAGACCGCCGCGCTTCATGGCAACAGCACTAGCCAGAGCCCGCTCGCTGGCGGCCAGGCGCCGCTCCCTCCGTCAGCCGCCGCTGGATCTGTCGCAACGGCGGGGGCACAGCCGCCGCCGCAGCCAGCAGCGGAGAAGAAGCGCAAGAGAGAGTCGCCAGCGTCGCAGTCCGCCGCTGCTCCTAGCCCTCATGCAAGAGGAGGTGCTGGCATCGCTGTGGGCAACCAGCAGCGCGCTGGCGTATCCGCGTCATCGCGCGACATTTCGCCTGCTCCACGCTCGCGAGTGGCTCAGCAACAACAACAACAACCACATGTACAGGGGGGGCAAGTGCAGGGACAGGGGCAAGGGCAGCAGCGATTCTCGCCGCATGGAGCGCCTAGCCAACTGCCCCCGCATCACCCATCTCATGCACATCGGCACCATCAGCAGCACCCTCCCCCGCCGCCGTCGCACAGCTCGATGCCACCACCAGGGTACGGGTACCCGTACGCGCCTGGCGGAAATCCGTATGACGGCCCGCCACCACCGCCGACAGCCACTCCCGGGCCGTATGGAGGCGCTCCGCACCACCACCACCAGGCTAAGGACGAATACTACGCTTCTGGGCCGATGCAGATGCAGCATCAGCACGGGCTTGCCCACGCACACGCGCATCCCCACCAACAGCACTCGCATCAGCTCCAGCATCAGCACCAGTATCAGCACCAGCACCAGCATCAGCATCAGCACCAACATCAACTGCCGCACTCGCACCAGCACCCGCATGCTCACCCGCACCACCCCCATGCGCACTCTCATCACAACATGCACGTTCTCTCACATGGCTGTCCACCTCCACAGCTGCCACCGCACGAGATGGGCATGTATGTCGCTTCGCCGTACGACGCGCACATGTCTGCCCGGTCTCTGCCGCCCGAGGGCTCCACGCCCACCGCTGGCGCTGGCGCTGTGGGCCCCTCGCCACCGTCGTCGCTGCCTCTGCAGGTGCAGGCTTCTCACCACGCTCACGTGCAGGGTCAGGGCCAGTCAAAGCAGGCGCTAGGACCTGCTGCGAGCGCATCAGCTGCTCCGGCGCCTCCACCACGAAGTAGGACAACCAGGCCGGAGAAGCGCGCGCGCACGGAGCTTGTCGAGCATAACCCGCTGCCGCCGGCCTCGTCCGACGTCGCACGTGCCGGCCCACCTCCAACGGCAACGACGACGACGATCCCCATCGACGCCGCTGCGCCGCCGTCCTACGGCGCTCACGGCGTACCGCTACCGCCCAGTGCCGCTGGTCCCATCTCGTCTGCGCAGTCTATCGATGCAGTTGGCGCCGCAGTTGGGGCAGCCTACTATGGCCAGAACGCTAGTGCCATGGGCGCTGCAACGCCGCAGCCGCATTCCACGCTGGCCGCGACGAGCATGGCAGGTGTCGTCCATCCAGCGCATGGTCTTGCGCCGTCCACTGCTGTCGTTCCGGGCTCAGGTGCAAGTGCCATCGCAGGCGTGCCTGACCTGCCGGTCCCGGCACCGCGCGACCTAAACGCAGGCCCGCGTGTCGACAGTGAGCCGGTCTGGGAGCACCTGGAGAGATGCGAGAAGCTCGAGGCAGATCGGAGACGCAACGAGGCGCTCAGGACCAAGGCACGCGTCGAAGCGGAAGCGGAAGCCAAGGCTGGGAAAGCTCCAAAGCCTGACAACGCCGGAGAGGACAACGAGGCTGCCGCCACCGACAGCGCTGCAAAGCAGACGTGTACAAACGTGCTGGATGAGATCATCAATGGTACCACTACGCCAGGGCTCGGTCTCGGTCGCGGCAGGCCTGTCAGCCATCTCGGCACGTGGATCTATGATCCGCTCGTGGACCCTCTTATACCAGGCGAGCTGCTCGCTACCAATGTCGGCGGGACGATGGAGGTCCGCATCAGCGGCGAGCGACTCGGGCCCGGGCCGTCGATTGAGGAGATGCAGCGCGAGTACGACACGAGCAATATCACGGCACCGCGCTCGGTGCCTTCTCAGACCGTCGGCCGATGGCGTTTGGGCTGGCGCGGTCGCGAGCATGCACGCATGACGAGGGAGATGTGCGCGGCCATGTCGGCTAGTGACCCTGCCTCCGCGAGCATCGCAGGCCATCGCTCCAGGCTCAGCAATGTGACACGCATCAGCAGCAGTAGCAGCAATACGACGAGCCTGTCCAAGGAAGCTGGAGATTGCCACTCGCAGAAGGAACGCAGCGTGAAGCGCATCTCAGCCTCCGAAGCTGCGTGGGCTTTCCGCGATATGACGCCGCTAGCGAAGCGCAAGCTGTGGGGGACGGACGTCTACACGGACGACTCGGACGTACTGGCCATGTGCGTGCACGCCGGCTGGGTCGAACTGCCTGCCTTCCCAACCGGCGAGGTGGCCGAGTGGTTGCCTTCTGGCCTGGCAATGAAGCAGTGGAAGAAGATGGTTGACCCGGAGCAAGGCCCGGACACGTCTGCGGGGGTGAAGGCGCAGCCTATCAACGGCAACAGTGGAACCGGTCACGCTCAAGACGGCGATACGGAGATGCAGGACGCTACCGCCGCAGAGACCGATGTGAAACGACGTGAAGGTGCTGCCACAGGCGGAGATGTGATCGTCGAGGCGCCGTTGCGCCCGTGTGATCTGTCTGTTGTCCTGCGCATTGCGCCGCGTCTCATCGCGTACAAGGGCTGCCACAGGGCCGGCATCAAGAGTCGCAGTTGGGGCAACACGCACGACGGAGTCAGTCTGGTCGTCGAGAGTGTCGAGCTCAGGGAGGTGAGTGACTCGCGAGAAGTGCAGATGGATCACCCACCCGCGTCTCTACTGCAGTGTTTGGGTTTTTACTGACAAGTTATCCATTTCTTTCTCGTAGCCTGGATATGCATTTGCAGGGGGGCGCGCCGCGCTCAAGCAGCGGATCAACCAGATGGCATTACTCCACCTGTTGGCCAATACAGCCGCTGAGCGACCTAAGGTCTCTGGAAGCGGTGGAGAGCAGCAAAGACCAGATGAGGCCGCTAAAGGAGGTAGGCTGTGCGAGCTAGCCAGCGGCTCTCAGCAGATGCTTGTCAGCCTCAAGGAGATCGGTAACCGCGTCGCTGCTGCGTCCACAATCAGCAGCCCTGAGGCCAACACGAACGAAAGAGGAGGCAACACAGCTGACAAGGAGAAGGAAAAGACTGTGGAAACGGTCAAGGAGAAGGAAGGCAGCAAGCCGAAGGCGTCCAAGCTCCGAATGCTGTGGAGATGGCACGTGCCAACTGCTGCTGCAGCGGCGCCTGCCACCGCGTGAGATCGTGAGAGAGCAGTGTCCGCCGTGTCATGTAAAATCATGTGATCAACGACCGAAGACGTGGGCCTTGTCCTTACCCGACAACTTACAAGATGTGTGACTATCATTCCGTATGGCGATGGCCGATGAGGCGCTACTCTTATGTGCAGTCAGTGTGGCTTCCATGTTACATACTTTATGTTTCACCGAAAACCAAGTGAACAAAATCATGGGCGATGCGATAACAATAGCGCAAGCGATAACAACCCCGGACTCTCATGCATGGTGGCTGGCGGACGGTGGCCGACATGGACTTGCCGCAAGCGGCTCCGACTCTTGTGAATGTATGGCCTCTGCTCGCGTTGCCCCCCCCGACGTATGTAAGCGTAGCCTTGAGAATTCGTCTCCATATATGATGTCTATGCCTCCAGACTATCCTCTGGTCGACATTGTTGCACCAAATCCACTGGTTGGACAAGAGCGGATGAGCTACCAGCGTCAGCAGGCGGGCGTTCGCTGTTTGATGCTGTAGAAAGCCGATCACAGAACACAGAGCCGCCACTCTCGGATTTCTGTGTAGTCTTTCTCGTGAGGTGGGGCTGATGTCTCGATACTCGAGATTTTGCGTCTTTTTCGCGGGATCTTATCTCCGCGCGTCCCGTGAACCAATGCCGGGCGCGGCGCCTGAGCATCGACGAACGACCCGGCTGCCTTCTCGTTGGCAGCTTCCATCCCGGCCTTCAGTGGAACAACGCGACATGTTGAATGTCGCAGGCTGTCCGCTATGTGGGACGGAATGAATGATTGCTGTCGTCTGTATGTAGCCGCTTGATCCTACCTAGGATTGCAATAGACTTTTGCTCGTGTGTGGTGGTGGAAAGGCGGTTGCTCAGTTGAGAAGGACAGTTGGGTAGGCCACAGAAGATTTTGGGTGATCTGTATCCTGGTAACCAGGGGTTTTAAAAAAATATTTTACTTGCTTGTAATCAAATCTCTCACGCACTGGAGCGCACATTTCCCCGTGCTTCTTTTCTTTTTCCGTTTCTGCAATCAAATCGCCAGATGATTACAGAAACGGCTTTGGCAATCTGCTCTTTCGTCGTCACTCGCACCTATACATGCATATCGCATGTCGCTCAAGTGCACAGTCCAGGACCGCTAGAGCATCATCGGCATCTAGGCTGGACTGCCGGGAGCCGTGCTTTGCTCTATGAACCACAGCCTATCTCGCGCTTCACTAGTTTAGCGTTCATTGGATCGGCGCTACACCTTCCAAGAGCACCTGGCGAGCAGCAAGCACGTCGACTGCTTTCCAAACATATCGCTCTCAGTCACCACCAGCAGATCAGCAGCAAGCTTTCAGGAAGAGGAGAAAGGATCTGGCTGCGCGCCGAGCTATGCTCGCAAAGGCACCGTCCTCCTCATCAGACTGGTCTGCATCCTCTTCGACTGTGCATCGCGGATCAACATCTCCCCGACACTCTAGCTACACAGCACTCTACAGCACACCGCTGCTGCGCCCCGATTGTGACGGCAGCGCGAGCATATATCCTTGAGGGAGCGCCACAGCAGCATCGGACCGCCCCGCTCGTGTTCTCCGTGCGCACATCTGTGCAGCGACCCACCTGCCTTGCTGGTGCCACTTGGCGAACAGGTGATCTCCGATTCTCACAATACGGATTGTGTGGGTACCTGAACAGGTGCACCAGACGAGATGGACGTTGACCGCAATGAGAATGGACACGGGCAGAGCCGGGAGGAAGGCAGCCTGACATCGCAGCCAACACAGGCTGGCGGCAGCACTTCTCAATCATTCGATGGGACCAAATGCATCACCTGCGGGACAATAAGCACACCGCTCTGGCGGAGGACAGCAGAAGGGCTGCCGATCTGCAATGCTTGTGGTGAGTGTTAGAAACGTTTATTGAGTATTGCATTCGATTTACAGCTGATCGCTGATCTTCTTGATCCATCTTGGACTCGAATGCAGGTCTATATGAGAAGACACACGGAGCAAAGCGCATCGTCCCCAGTAACGGCGAGCCGAACGGCGCGGACAATGTCATCGCAAAGGGGAACAGAAAACCAAAGGTGTCGCTGTGGCATCTCGACAATGTTGATGGAAGAGGCACGTTGAACGACCCGAGCCGGTCGGGAGCTGGGGCCGAGGACGGCCAAGCCAATGTGACACCCTGTGCAGCAGCTGCTGCCCATGCCAAAGGGACATGTCCTGGTGACGGACTGTGCGATGGGACGGGTGGTACGACAAGCTGCAATGGCTGCCCTGCGTATAATAACAACCTCCTGCAAATGAAGAAGCACCGGCAGGCGCAAGCCAAGTCACGCAGTGGTGGAGGAGGAGCGGTGGACGACTTAAGCCTAGAACGGGAGGCCCCCGAGGATGAGCAGCTTTCTGGACGAGCAACAACTCCGACACAGAGGGTGGCGTCACCGGCGTCCGCCAGCGGGAGCGGGAGCGGAAGCGAAGGCAAGAAGCGCGCACGCAGCGATGAAGCTGCGCTCTCCGATACGAACGATGGTGGTAGTGCGGGGCGAAAGGAATGGAGAAAGGTGTTGGACGACAGCATGAGCCCTGCAGGGTCTGGAACCATGACCGACCCCGGTTCTGATCAAGCGGCGGGGACGACGCCCCTCGGCTCGAACTCTATCACCAAGGTGGACTATCAATTGGTCTGCTCCAACTGTGGCACCAATACCACGCCGTTGTGGAGGAGGGACGAGGACGGCAATAACATCTGCAACGCTTGCGGCCTCTACCACAAGCTGCATGGCACGCAGAGACCCATCAACATGAAGAAGACGGTCATCAAGCGGCGGAAACGCGTGCCGGCAGCAGCGCACGCTGCTGCGTCCCCTTCTACAGTGGCACCGGCAGAACTGCAGGACCGCGATACGGAAGCTGCTATGGCTCTTATGGAGGTGGGCGGCGCGGGCTGGGCGCGTCCGGCGACTGCAGCGACTGCGGAACTAACCTTGCCGTCTCAGCCACAACAGCAACAGCCGAGTGGAGGGTCAGGGGCAACCCAGCCGAACCTGAGTGACTATATTGGCCCGTTCGAGAGAGCTCTGAAGCGGCCTAAGCAGCAGAACGGCAGCGTTGATACGCCAACCGGAGGCCCGAGGAGTCGGGTCAAGTCGTCGACAATGCGCTCGACGTCGCAGCCGGCGTCTCCAAGGATTCCACGCGAGCCGGTAGCAGCAACTGCATTAGACTCGGCTCTACGTGCTCCAGCACATCTCGTCTTACCTCCACATCACCATCACCGTGAGTTACAGCCTCGTGGCGGCTCCGTGTAAAGACGGAAAGTGCATTTTACTGACTCGAAACTTCTCGTCCAGACCATCATCACGCCGCTCACGACCACCATCACCATCACTACGCCCCTGGCCATGCACATATCGGTCATTCAGTTGCACATGTTCATGGCGGGGCGCACCATCACCACCATCCAGTCACTGCTGCGCACCCTGCACCATTGTCCGACCCGACTGCACAGCTCAGCGCGGCGGAATGGATCCCATACCTTGAGCAGCAGCACTTCGACATGGTCATCGAACGACGCAGGCTCAACGATCTCATCGCCAAGACAGAGCACGTTCTTGCCGGCGCCAAGGCAGCTGTTGCCGCCTCCGCTGCTGGCCACCGAGAGCAGGCGGGTCGCAGTCCTTTTCTTAGCACATACAATGAACCGCGCGAATCAGTCTCGACAGCAGCGTTCTATCCGAATCCTCCGCCTCCTGTCGCCTTCTCCGAGGCACCGCGATACAGCCGGCCGCCTTCGCCTGCAGAGCAGCTGTCACAGCCTGATGCCGGTGCGTCGACTGCCGCCCACCAGAGCGGGATGGTCGTTCGGCTGGACTCCAGCGCGAGCGCATCCAATACGCCGTCACACTACCCGCCCGTCGCTCCCCGAGATGTGCCAGAGGAGCCAAGATCTCCGCCGCCGTTTGAGGAAACGTTCCGAGGGCCTCCACACCAGCGAAGGAGCGAGGCCGAAGTCGCTTCGATCATTGCCTCACCCTCGGCGCCTGCGTCGGCCGCGGCGCATGTCGGCAACTCCACTTGGTCCACGCCCAACTCGAGACGGGAGGGGCGGTCTGAAGGGACACTACTTCCTAAACAGTCCGCGTCGGCCTCGGTGGGTGGCACATATTCAAATGGCGAGAATGAGAACGTGCTCGGAGCAGGAGAAGGAGCGACAGCTATGCCGCCCGTTGTTGTGGACTCGCAGCCGCGTCAGTTGCCGCCAATACGCAGCCGGCCGAGCTCACCTGCTGCACGCACGACCTTCTCGGCCGCGGCGTGATGATACAGCTTCACGTCTTCATAAGAGAAGAACTTTGGCGCGAGAAGTGGCTGATGGAAATACCATTGCCATGGACATAGGCTTCCACAAGCGCGGGGCCGGCTTCCTTGGGTGACATGGCGCTGCAGTCAGAACGGCAATCTTGCGGCGTGACATTATCATGTAGCTTTTTCGCAGAAGTCACGAGCTTTGCACCGGCATGCCATACGTCGACCCCTCCCCCCTCCCTCTCTGGTTGAACCGTTGACGTTGAGGCCCTTCTCAGAGGCATGTGAATTAGCAGGGCAAGTGCTGGCGAATGGAGCTTGGTTGAAGACGTAGAAGCAAGCAGGTTAGGGTTATTCACCATTGCGACTTTGCCTACAAAAAGAAAGAAAAAGAAAAAAAAGAACCCGTTTCGACAGTCGATGAGGTTTTTGGAGTTTGAGTTCCGATACTTCTGGCGCCATCCATTCGTTTCGTACCTGCCGTGGTTGTACCACCAAAAGCTCGCACAGTCCAACGAGAATTATATCTGTTACCATAGGTCTGACCGAGTGTCGAAAGGGTCCTTCAGGTTAGGATTCGACGCACAGAATACAAACAGCGCCCAAAATGGCAGACATGGTCGACCCTCAAACCGAGCAAAAGCTCATTGACAAAGCACAGGAGAAGCTAGTGAAGCGGAAGCGTTTCGAAGAAGTCTTTCCAATACTCGTCGACGAGCTCATGGCTTACTGCACGAGTGAGGGCAGTGAGTAAGGGCAGGAAGGGCCGGAATCGCATGTAGCTCTCGCTGCTGACGTGGCTGACTGAACTTTGCGCCGTCGCAGTGCCGCAAGACGCTAAGGACTGGTTCAAACGGAGTCTGATGTACAACACACCAGGAGGAAAGCTGAATCGTGGGCTCAGTGTTGTGGACACGGTCGAGATCATGCTCTGCACGGATGCCACGGGCAACAAGACAAGAGAACTATCTGAGCCAGAATACCTCAAGGCCGCCATCCTCGGGTGGTGCATTGAGCTTGTGAGTGTCAGAGTATCATTGATCACCGATGGGGCTCATGGAGTACTGAAAAGACGCGCTCGACACTTTTGTTGGCAGCTGCAAGCATACTTTCTGGTCGCGGACGACATGATGGACAAGTCGATTACACGAAGAGGTCAACCGTGCTGGTACAAGGTCGAGGGTGTCGCGGAGATCGCCATCAACGATTCGTTCATGCTGGAAGCCGCCATCTACTTCTTCCTTAAGAAGCACTTCCGTTCCGACCCGTGCTACGTCCATCTGCTGGAGCTCTTCCACGACGTTACCTTGCAGACAGAGCTCGGGCAACTGGTGGACTTGATCACTGCACCCGAAGAATCTGTCGATCTGAGCAAATTCTCTCTGACCAAGTGAGTGAATCTGGCAAATTCGTGATCGCAAGCTCGCAGACTGACGGGGTTTCTCCCAGGCATCATCTCATTGTTGTCTACAAGACAGCCTACTACTCCTTCTACTTGCCGGTGGCGCTCGCAATGCGACTGATCAACGTAGAGGACGAAGCGTTGTACAAGTCTGCGCAGGACATTCTCATTCCGCTGGGCGAGTACTTCCAAGTGCAGGATGACTACTTGGACTGTTACGGCGCACCAGAGGTCATCGGAAAGATCGGCACCGATATTCTGGACAACAAGTGCAGCTGGCTCATCAACATCGCTCTCGCCAGCGCTACTGAGGAGCAAAGAGCTGTGCTGGACGCCAACTATGGACGAAAAGACGCGGCATGCGAGGCAAAAGTGAAGGAGGTGTACCAGGCACCAAACATCGACATCAAGTCTCGCTTCGAAGCGTACGAGAAGGAAAGCTACCAAAAGATCAACGCTCTCATTGAGGCACTGCCGCAGGACGCAGGTGCCGTTGGCAAAGGAGGACTCAAACGGGAGGTGTTTAGGGCTTTCCTCAATAAGGTCTACAAGCGGACTAAGTGAATTTGCTAGGCACGGTCAAGCATGGTTGATTGCGCGCGTACACACCTACAAGCACATCCACACATAATCATTCACAAACAAGGAGGGGAGGTCATTTTCTCTCCCACAAACCACGTTCTTTTGTCCTGCCCTTCGCTATTGTAGAGAGACCTTGCTCGCACGCAAAGGAATAGATTCCCCTAGCCGCTGCTGCTCAATACTCTGCGGTCCCTTCGCAGCGCGGGCGCGATGCCCGTAATTGTAGTGCAGCAACTTGTCAATCGCACTCTTCTTGAGGGTCTTTGCGTTTCGTTCAACCCGTCCTTTCTCCAACACCAATGTAAGTGTTCTATGTGAAGGACCTCTCCTGACGCCAACGATGACATGTTCCTCGGTCTTCGAATCTTGCCGACTTTGAGCGTTGACACCAACACCATGTCGGTCGGCCCTATGCAGATCTGCGCAATGAGAAAAAAAATATGTGAATTGGGAGTCTTGGCCCGCCCGGAAAGTCGCCAGCACTGGGGCTTTTGTGGGAAACCCCTCAAAAGCTTGACATTCGAAGCTAACGCCATACTGTGCACTCCGCCTTCACTATCCAGTACGACTGAATGATCAGTGGTGAGTCCGACTTGATTATGAATCGCTTGCGCCTTGCGGCCAGGCCCATCATAACCGGTTCGTTCAACGGACCCGCTATATCCTGAGAAATCAGCAAGCATGGACAACGAAGGCACCCCTGCCCCACCGTGGATTGACGAAGAGGCGGAAAGCGGCGCGGAGGATGGCGTCTCGTTATCATCTAACGGGTCCCGTGATGAGGATGGTGGGCCTCCACCTAATCATCGTCCAGGCCCTGGAGGCGATCCAGTACCTCTTGATAATACGTCAGGAAAGGCAGGGACGAAGAAGAGGAAAAATCCGTCTAGCGGCAACGACGGTCTAACGGACACGCCACCGCCTGGGCCGTCGAATGCAAATGGTGCGGACAACCAATCACAAAGCAAGCGCAAGAGAGTATACAGAGCGTGTGAGGTAGGTTGTTCAGCTGGGGAGCACGGCAGTAGAAGATGAAGATCCCAATCCGTATATTCCATTAGGTCTGTCGCCGGAAAAAGGTCCGATGCAACGGAGAAAAGCCTTGCCAGCACTGTGAGCCGGGGCGGTCATGCGTGAAGGTGGCCAACGAGCGAAGTTCGTTTACTCTCTGAATTCATTTCAGGTGTGACGTACAACGAGAAGTGCCACTACTTTGAGGCAAAAGACAGGAGCGCATATTCTAAGCGATATGTAGAGAGTCTAGAGACACGCTTAGGACGCCTCGAGCAAGCGCTCAACCAGGCCATTGCTGGCGGATTGCAATCGGCAGCGCATCTCATGACCGGCGTCGCTACTGCTCCACACGATATTGGGTCAAGCTCAACATCTCCATCTGCGGTCATCACCGCACCAGAGAAGACATGCTTTTCTGGTAAGCCGTCACCACACTCGTCGTACCCTAACGACCCTAAAAGCCTTTCTCGCGAAACTATTGATGCAGCTACAGAGCTGGTCACTGAGGAGGCGCATGATCGGCTCAAAGAGCTAGCTGAATTAAGCATCGCAGCGCAACGGCAGACAAAAGGACTGGGGGGGCCAAATGCTGGGCAAGAACCTGATGCAACAGGGCGGCCTCAGGGTGGCACCGTCGATGGTGCTACGGCCGCCAAAGGCGGTCATGTTGCGGTAGACATCGAGGCAGGGGATGAAGCGAGAAGCTCAATATCCGGCCACCAGCAAAGTGGGAGGCTACAGTACGACGAGAATCGGAATCTTCGCTATATCGGCCCGTCTGCGACTGTCACCCTGGTCCTCGATGCTCACTCAGCCTTGGACGGCCGGAGGGAATCACAAGTCACGGGGGAAGTGGGCGCTGCGCAGGCGAATCTAGGATGGATCACTTCGTCTCTTGGTGTAAATCTCAGCCGAGTACTGCCGTCTGTCGAGTCGGTCACATTTCCCGAGCGAGACCTTAGCGACTTGCTCGTGCGGACATTCTTTGATTGCATTCACCCTCTGTGAGTTTTCTGTCGCTTGGGTCGGCCACCCCTCACGCTGATATGCACAACTTCTTCCAGCTTTCCCGTCTTGGACGAGCGCGACTTCAATTCTCGCTACTCGGAAATGTTCAACCAAGCGCAAGCGAGTGAAAGCGCCCAAAAAGCAAACCCGCTGTTTGTTGCCACACTCTTTGCCATCTACGCGTGCGCGAGCCGAGTTGTCCAGGATCCTCGCGTGTGTCCCAGCGGAGCAGAAGCTCACTTGTGGGGCTACGACAGAAAGCCGGCATCTGCGGCGGCGAGGGGGAAGCCGGGAGCATCAAGCCGTAAAGAGGCGCGTGTCAACTTTGCATTGGCAGGAGTGCAATTCTTTGCCAGATCACAGCTGCTGGCGCTACACAGGAGCATGGAGACGCGAATTGAGCAGGTGCAAACCAACGCATTGCTTGCCTATTTTATGGCATCCTCGAACTGCGCAGCCCGTGCATGGCTCATTATTGGTCAGGCACTGAGGATGGCGTGTGATCTGGGCCTGCATCGCAACTTGACACACCTTGGACTCTCATATTTGGAGCTTGAGGTTCGAAAGCGAGTATGGTGGAACATCTACATTCTCGATCGAATCCTATCAGTATCTCTTGGACGGCCACTCGGCATCGAAGATGCAAGCATTGATCAAGAAATGCCAAGCTTGGAATTCCAGCCGCCATTCCCTCTCGTGGAGGGATTTTGCGCTATCATCAGACTTGTGCGACTGTCTAGCGATATCGCCAAGAATTCTTTCCAAAGGCAGCATGCGAAAAGCAAGCGCGACAAGGCTGCAGTCGAACTCCATGACCGTCAGGCTAAACAGTTTGTCGATGACCTCGACACTTGGTTCAACTGCGTTCCAGCTCATTTGAAAACAGGCGCACACGAAGTCGGGTCTGCTCCAGCTCAGCAGTCTTGCATAGCATTCATCTTGTACCGCTCAGCGACAATGCTCCTTCAACGGTTGTTCCTGCAAGGTGGTCTGGTTTCTGCATCCCGAAACTCAGTCGATCGGACGAAAGAAGAGGAGGAAGCGCTATCGCAGTGCTATAAGACGGCTCATACTCTCATCAAGGCGGCGCCGCGCATCGCAGCCAGCCTTCCGGCAAGCCCATTCTTACTGGAGTACGCGCAGCAGGTGCTCGTTGCGGGCGGCTACCTGGCGCTCAATGCATGGCGTTGGCGAGGGACTGGCGCAGCAGAGACGCACCTACAGGAGGCCAACCAAGCTTGCCTTGCACTTCATGGACTTGAACCGATCTTCCCTTCAGCCAGGGCTTTGAGACGAGTGCTCGAGTCGGTCATCGCCAAACTGCGCAGCAAGCTTGGGCCGGTCAGACCAGAGCATCAAATGGCCCGAGGATCCTTTGGCGCGCAAGGTAGCGCAGCTAGTGCAGTCTCTGCAGGCCCGTCTGAACGGCAGGATGGGCGAGACAGGTCAAGGTCTTTTGGCGCGTCAGCTACTCAATCACCTATACATGGCGCTGCACCCTTCAATACAGAGTCATGGATGGTCATGCTCAATGCTTCCGTTGACTACTTCAACGACTTGTCACCGGCGACCAGCTTTGACCCTGCGCAAGGCGTTCCTTTCCCAGGCAGCCAAGCAAATGATGTGCCCAAACCTTCAGGGGGTTTGGACTTTGAAGGCTTGGAATGGCTGGAAACAATGTTTGGAGGTGACGCGAGCGACACTTTGCGGAACGCAGCTGGCATGAGCACCAGCACGCAAGACATGTCTGCACCTCTGTGGGAGTCGTAGTGGCACATGTACAAGGCTTTTATCATCAATACCCCTAATAGTCCTGCAAATGGGTTGGAAGGCGATTGGTGGCCTTCTATTCTAGCTTGCCTGAGAAGAGTGCCCACTTCGATGGCCGTTGAGCGACATCAACGCTGCACGTCTACCAGGAGGATGTGTCGCATGCATTGCTGAGGGCTCGTCCTTGAATCGCTGGCTAAGAAGCAAGTCGAGGCGTTGCTTGCTTTTGTTATACGGCAGTGATCGAACGGCATGGGCGCGTTTGACAGCAGGTGACATGGGGACGTCCTTGCTCTGAAAGTCGGTCAAGGCTTGTGCGAACACTGGTGTAACGGTGCGAGTTTCTTTTGGACGGTTACCTCGGGAAACGGACACGGGCTCCGCGAATGCTGGCCTCGATTCTGTCTCCGACGCTCCATTTGATAGTCGTGCAGACCTTCGAATTTCGGTAGCAGGCGCGGTCGCGCCGTTTTGCGCGATGCGCCCGCCTCCGAGGCCAAGCGCGGTATAACTCGCTCGCTTGTCCTTGATGACTTTCTTCTCGGGATCAGTAAAGACTTTTCTGGCGGTCTTGCTTGAGGTCAAGGCCAAAGAAGAAGCGACTTGGCGAAGTCTAGGGGTTGCTTGTGTTGCCTCACCGAGACGCGATGGCGCCGCGCTGCTGTCCGGACGCATTGCCTGTAAGCTTCGCCCGCGACGGAGGATGGAGGCGCTTTCAACTTGCAGCATGCGCGAGGTTGCAGTGTGATCTGATGTAATTCGCCGTGTCGAGGGGCCCGATGCCCGGGCGTCTGTATCGAACAGGCTTGAAGTCGACGGCACTTTACGCACCCTTGGCTGATCCCGGATTGACAAGGCTGCAGGCTGATCGAGGCCTTGAATTTGAGCAGCTTTGCGCTCTTCAGGCGAAATGTCGCGACTCGACGCTCCGCCCATGTTACGCCTGCGCCTCTTGCGCGGCGATTCCCGCTTTGAAATCGCCTCGAACTCCTCCGGACGATACAGAGAGGTGAGGAGCTCCAAACACGCCCAGTGCAGCGGGTCTGCCTCTGATCTCCTCCCTTTCTCTTTGCTTCCATCTGAAGCGGCTCTTGATGGCTCAAACCTCTTAGTAGGAGCGGCCCGAGATTGTATCAGAGTGTTGGCACTGCTACTTGCGACTGACGTGCTCAGAACACCGCGTGGTTCCGAAGAGATTGACATCATATCTTTGAGGGTTTCAAGACCGCCGCGTTGCTCGAACTCTTCAGCTGCTCGCTCGTCATCGATAAGAATGGCAGTCAGCGCCGCTGCAATCGAAGTGAGAAGCTGTTGCATAGGGAGCCTCTCTTCGTCGCATGCTGCATTGTGGTTCGAGGCCGCGTTTGTCGCGGCAATCGCAACTAAGACACGGGCCAGTGTGAGGCAAAGCTGCAGAAAGAGCAAGTTAGTCCGGCGCACACTCGGCTCTCGGTCGGTTACGGCTCACATCGATGACGCCTCGTTGGGCGCACAGCTGTTTGCTTGCAATATGGGTGAGGCAAAGCCCCGGCAGTAAACGAAAGCAGGACAGCAGCTCTTGCAGCATGTCCGTTGGCACTTGGCTTGGGGGTACAAATTCCTTCATCCCTTCGGACGCCCCATAGAACCCCGGAGGCGCTGTCATTGCAGACAGAAGACATCGTATGTGCGCGACAAGGGCGTGCGCGACTGTTGAGGCAACAGAGGTAAGACATGTCAGCAGCGCAAAGGAAGCTGTATGAGCTTCAAACCTCAAGCCTCACCATTCAAGCGCGGACTATCTTGCAGTGTGCACCACACGTGACGCACATCGTGCGTGTCCTTCTGTTTGCCTTTTACCTTTACCTGCGAGGGTCGTGCCGAGGTGTCGCCCGCAGCAAGGTTGGAGTACTCGCTGCGTGATTGCATCACAGCCAGGATAACTTCCTCCAGTCGGCGAAGAGAAGCCTGGCGGGCGGTGGACGTAGAGCACGGGGACATGAGCTGCGAATGAGAAACCAGTCGAGAATCAATCAGAGTGCATCTCCTCGAGTAGTAGACTGTTTGAGGACGGAGCAATGTCCAATGTGCCGACCCACAGTGTCCAGCGCTCGCCCAATGACGCTTTCGGTAAGGCTTTTTGATCCATTTTGGTTGTTCATCCTCCCCCTTTTCCAAAATTACCCAAGACCCTGGGTCAGGGACAGGTGTTGTATATCTCCTGTGAGGGATCGCCGCGGATAGATATAAGAGGAGCAGATGGTTGACACAATAGGTATGGGACGACAGTGATCATCTCCCAGGTCGAGGTCGGAGAGTCGAAGATGGTGTTGGTTACCCTAGCTGTGAGCACGCGCCTCGCGGCTTGCCGACGGCCCGCAGCAATTCTCATCACGTGACCTACCCAATGACCTTTGATATGAGAAGGAGGCACAGACCTGAGTCGTGACCTCAAGACCTACAATCAAGGTCGCGCGATAGGGAACACAGGCACAGCCATTTGGGCTTTGTACATACGAGATTCCATGCTTCAAGGCATGGTTCGGATGACGGGGTCTTAAACACCAGGGCAGGATCTGGAGTGCGCCACTTCGCAATTATGCCGCCTCGTCGCCCCCACCCAGATGATGGAGGCCAAAATGACGGACCAGCGCGCCAGCGGATCCGCAGCACATCAGGTGCGCCGGTCGCTGTCCGTCCACCGGCAGGCGGACCCGCTGCGCAGTCTCAGCAAGCGCAACAGGTCAGCATTCAGGCGCAGATCGCAGCTGCCAAAGCGAAAGCTGCTGCTGCGCTCGCTGCTACTCGAAATGCGAGCAAAGGTGGGGCGTCATTGTCATCCCCCGTATGTGCTACACCTGCGGCAGCAAACGCCCGTCCGCAAGCTCCTGCTGCTTCTGCCCCCGCAACATCTGCTCCTGCACCCAATGACATTGCTGCAAGGATAGCTGCGGCAAAGGCGAAGATTTCACGTATTACGGGTAGCGCCGGCGTGCCACAGGTGAGAAACATTGGTTGCTGGTGTGTTTCGTTACGATTACTCAATTATTCACCCTCGCAGGCCCGTCTACCGCCATCCGCACCAGTGCGAGAGGAGCGCCCGACTGGAATTCATCCTTTGCTGCTTCAAGGCAACAAATCTCAGCCAGCTCCTTCCAGCATGAAGCCGATGGCGCCAAGATTCTCCACAGTGCGGGCTAACGCTCAAGCAGCGACACAGAAGCGTCCAGGCTTCCCTTCGAGCCCAGCCCCTCCTGAAGCTAACCCATATTTAGCTGCAGCCGAAGAGGTTACTGCCGAAGGCAGCTCCGCGCCGAAAGGCAGATCGATGCATCGAGGCTTCCACTTCGCACGTCCTGGGCGCCACATTGCCGAAGCTGAGGAGATGCGGAGGGAAGCGCAATTGGAGGAGATCAAGAAGCGCATCGCGGAAAGTGCGAAGAAAGCGGGCCTGGATGGTACAGGAGAGGAACGCGTGCTGAAAAAGCAGCAGCCACCGCAGGTTGAATGGTGGGATCTTCAATTCGTCCCTCAAGGCGTAGAAGGCTACGAAGGCGTACATATTGCCGATGCGACCATCGTCAAGAAAGAGCCGGAGCTAAACGGTGTTTTCAAGGGCAAAGGCAAGGCACAAGACTCTGATTTACCTCTTCCTCTCATTGAAGGGGACGGGAGTCCAATCGACATTTACATTCAGCACCCCATTCCCATCCCTCCGCCCGGCGACAAGGACAAGGTTCCAATGCGTGGTGTGATGCTCACCAAGAAGGAGATGAAGAAGATGCGTCGCATGCGCAGACAAGCAGAGATCCAGGATAAGCGAGATAGGATCAAGATGGGCCTGCTGCCGCCACCGCCACCGAAAGTCAAGCTTTCCAACATTATGCGCGTGCTCACGAGCGAGGCAGTAGCAGATCCGACTAAGATCGAGGCGCGAGTCCGTCGTGAGGTAGCAGCGAGAAAGGAGGCGCACGAACGCATGAACGAAGAGCGCAAGCTGACACCGGATGAAAGACGAGCCAAGGCAGAGATGCAACGAGAGAAGGATGAGTTGAAGGGGCTAAGCTGTCTGGTCTTCAAGATCAAGCATCTGGTATCACCTTCGCATAAGTTTAAAATCAGAAAGAACGCGCAGCAGCTGGGCCTCACCGGCATCACAGTCTTCAGTCCCAACTTCGCGCTAGTCATTGTCGAAGGTGGCGCCAAGGCGATTAAAGCGTACCTTAAGCTCATGACTCATCGCATCAATTGGACAGACCCCGGCCGGCCCAAAGATGCCAGTGATGACGAGGGAGATGTCAGCGCGACACCGTCTGTCACGGATGCTCCTGGCTCGGCTGCACCAGGGACCAAAGAAAGCACACAGGAAGAGATCGAACATATTGACTGGTCATACAACACTTGCGATCTCATCTTCGAAGGTCCAATCAGAGAACGGACATGGCAGAACGGATTTAGAGGACGGGGCGTCGAGACGGATGCAGAGGCGAAAGAAATGCTAGGTAACCGTGCTTCACTGTGGGACGTGGCCAAGAGGTGGTCCACCGCTGCGGAAGAGGTGTAGGCGAGCTCATAGAAACAATCAACGCTCCTTTCACGCATTTTTGTGTACTTGTCGCCTCTGTCAACAAGGGCTGCAGAGACTGACCGGTGTGAGCGTCCGTACGTGTTCATGATCTCCCTCCCCGCAGCCCGGCAGTCGCGTGACGGTGAGACTAAAACGGAAACGCGCTTGCATTGTCTTTCGTCAGGCGCATAAATTGTGGCTCCTGATGCGTTATCGAGGCGCGAACACAGGTAGAGACCCGTGACCTGGTGGTCATTGCAACCTATGCACAACAAGAGCATACAAAAGAGACGCATCAGACCGGAGGATGTCATGAACCATCATGGCTCCGTGGTCACCGTTCTCATTCGGCGCCAACGCTGGCGTGCACGTTGCGATTGGGCCACAAGATCTCAAATGCTTGACTGCCCTCAAACTCTTGGTGATCCTTCTGCTGGGCAACGGAATGCTGAAGCTTTGGGGCGACGCCCAGCGCCGTGTTGGACTGGGGAAGGTATAGCTTTCCACGTGACTCTTGAAGGCTTCGTGTTGGACTTTGTCCCGGATGTCGCTGACAGACCGCAGGGTTGCGACAATGTTTCAGCAGAGATGCGTTACTTCCACGCGTCCAATTGAGCCAGCCTTGGCTTCGCCTTTCCAATACGAAACGGAAGGTCGATGGCTCACTGGTTCCCCTGGTCGTCCAGGTAACCGATGGTGTATGACTGCGTCGGATGTGCACCGGCTTTAAAAACGGGTCATTGTACACGTTCGGATGCATGACCACAAAGAGCAACACAAGGTCGATTGCACGCTGCTCAAGAAAGAGCCATGAAGCGTTGCGGCAACGCTACGGTTCATCAGACTCTGGAAAAGATCCAACACATACCCCACAAAAGTAACCTACGTGGATGTACGTCCGAATACTCTCCTATGATCCCCCGTCCGGTCACCTTTGGCCTCATTTGCTCTGACTGGGACAACTGCGCTCTAAGGCTGCTATGATACAACCCATATACCATACTCGGAATCCTGAATCCGGTCGTGAACTCCACTATCAGCCCCTTCGAAGGGCCCAGCTCACCACTTGACCAGCCACATTCCACCCTGCGCCGCCACCAGCAGTCATGATGGAAGCTACGCCGGCACCAGCACCTTGGGAGCCTGTTGCCGTTCCAAAGCTCGCGGCGCCGCCTCCACCCCCGGACGTGGCAGCGGATACCTTGCGTGCCTTATTGATTGTCTTGGCAGATGCGACAATTTCATTAATATTGGTCTCGAGGACCAATCCACCTTGGATCATCTCGCCCAGGATGGCGTGCACCTGATCGAAGTTGAAGATGAGGTCGAGTTCGCAGACGTTCTCGAAACATCGATCGAGAGATTCGACGAAGACCTGCAATGCGTGAAAAATTCGTTGTCAGGGCAGGTGACCTCAGCTCACGGTCAGTATAGACCTTACCTGAATGAGATCCAATATTCCTAGCTCGCTCTCGCTGCCATCAACAACAAAGACAAAGTACAATGTTGCATAGTGCCTGTAGATGACACGCAGTTGATCCGGTCGTGTCTCCTTAACCCATGCGTCGTTCTCTCCGTCAGGGCAGATGCGCACAGCATGCGCGATGGTCGCGCTGAGCATGGTCCTAAGCTCGGGGGCATCCAGGAAATTGCATACACCATCCGGCCGCTGAGAAACCAGCGCATATATCTGCTTCAGGAGCGATTGCTGCGTTGATACGCCGCCTCGCATGTGGGTGTAGAACTTTGTCAGGCGAGGCTTTCCATTGTTGTTGAAGATCAAGACCGAGTGGATCGCCATGTTGATGACAGCTTCTCGCTTACACCCGGCAGCCCTGTTCGACCTGGTCACCGGGCTGGACAGAGTAGTGGACCTTGCATGGCATCCCCGTCGGCAGAGCAGTAACGATACTGAAACTGCCGAGTCCTGAGATTTCCGGCTTGGAAGTGTCCGTGGCGGCTTCGTCAGCGCTTGGCTACTGAGGGTCTATCTGATGTACGCAGCCGCTGCTTGACCGCGAACTTTGATCGTTCCTGCTCCAACCCTTGCGTGGAGATGAAAGGAATTGAGCAAGGTGAGCAGGTCAAGTCCTCCGTCTACATCAGAAGCTTGTGACTAAGAGAAACAAACATGCATACCGTTTGCACCATCCTGACTTTTCCTGTGGGCTGCGAGAGACCCGAGCCCATCCAAAAATTTGGCGCTGTACACATACTTCAAGCGGCCACCCAATTCTGCTGGCTCAGCCATCTCGATCATAGCATCACAACCCCAGTCCTCATTCCACGAGCCAGTTGGCTCTTGTCTAATCTCACCTGAACATGAGAATAGGCCTGTGACAGCCTTGGGCTTCCCTTCCTAGACTTTTGTTCTCTCAGGCGTGCCAAGATGAAGCGAACAGCGGCAAAGCAAATCACGAAAGACGGCTTCCACGACGATGGCGACGACGACGAAGAACAGAGCTCGTCGCAGCTGGCCGAAAATCAGCCTAGAGTGTGCGTGATACTAGATCCTCCGGGTCCTGGCATATTCGAAGGTGCTCACGAGACATGTTCCTTCGAACAGTATTAAGGGTCTACCGAAACGAAAAGGGCTGGGGACTACTTCGGCCCCATCGCTCTCCTCCCCCTCCTTCTCCTTCAGTGCTTCGCCTGCTGCCAGTGCGCCATCGACGGGATGCTCTTTGGGGCAACCGGCTGCCTCATCTACTCCAGCGCTTTTCACGCCGTCTTCCGCAGAGGGCCGACCGAATCCATTCGCAACTTTTTCTGGCTTCGGCACGCCAGGGAAGACCAATGGCACGTCTGGTGTCACTGGGGACACTGCCTCCGCAGTGCCTTCGACGCCTTCCCTTGGGTCTTCCTTTGGATCTGCATTTGCAGCATCACAAGCTAGCCCATCGACACCTTCGTTCTCGTTCTCACAACCAGCAGCGAACGGTGACGCCAAGGCGCAGGCTCCAAATCCTTCATCCGTTGCAGGCGGGACTCTCCCAAGCCGTGCGTTACCCACAGAGTCTACTCAAGGGGTCGATCGGGAATTGCTGCAGTACTTCAAGTCATGCAAAGGGGTGAATGCGTCGTTTGTTACGGCGCTAGGCAAGGCAATGGAGCAGGACCCGTTTGCAGACTTGAGCTCGCTGGCGCGGAAATACGTCGAGCATCGCGAAGGAGTTGAGAAGAAGCGCCCATCTAAAGGACCGAAAGAAAGTGGCTCTTTGGCGGCAAATCCATCCCTGGCACCATCAACACAAGCAGCCTCGACAGAATTGGCAGCGCCGAAGCCGTCATCGACACCTTTGTCGACGTCAGCCAACACGCCGTCGCAGTCGTCAAACAGTCTCAAAGCAGGCCCGCCGAAGGTACCCGCTGGAACGAGCTTCACGTTCGCGAACAAGCCGGTGTCCGTGCCGCCTCCTTCATCGAATCTTGCAGTGAAAGCACCCGCGAATGTGCCGAAATTCGAGATTCCGTCGGGTGGCTTCAAATTTGGGGACGCGGGGACTGCATCTGCAAGTATAGCAAACAAGCAGCCAGAAAAAAGCTCCGCATCAAGCTCCAAACAACCCTCTACATCCACATCGACTGCGCCTGTATGCACCCCTGCCTCTGCGCCAACTTCAACCAGCTCCGCTACACCAGCGACTGGAGCTTTTGGGAGCGTAACCAAGACGCCAGCGTTTTCATTCGGAACCACCTCGTTCGGCAGCTCGAACAGCGCTTCTCCCTCAACTCCCGCAGTTGCCTCCTCCTCCACGAGCACAGCCTCTTCCAGTGCGCCAGCTCCCGCCTTCGGCGGCTTCGGAAGCAGCAGCACTAACAACGCCAAGCCAAGCACCACCTTCAGCTTTGGCTCTTCTGCCAGCCCCTCTTCGTCTCATTCCTCCAATCCGATGGGAGCAAGCTTCAGCGATAGCACGTCCTCACCGTCGAAACCGATCACTGCGTTCTCCTTCGGCTCTGCGACTAGCACAGTATCCGCGAGCGGGACGAATGCGCCTGCGCAGTTCTCCTTCGGCGGAGGTCCCGCGAGCAAACCGGGCATGGCTGCCGCGGGCCTCTCGTTCGGCCAAAGCGCTGCGAGCTCAGGAAATGGCAGCAGCAATAACGAGAAGACAGAAGGGGCATCAGTAGCGACTACTGCGCCGAAGCCGTTTTCCTTCGCGAACGTCTCCAAGCCAGGCGGCTTTGGGTTTGGTGGCGGGCAGATCAAATTCGGCGATGCAAGTCAGAATAAGGACGAAGGCAAGTAAGGTGGAAAGCCAGAGGCGAGACGGAGGGCTGTGCTCATCACAGAAGAGAAATGCAATGTAATGCAGTTTGCTACTTTGCTCTCACATAATGTGTTGCGATGTCAGCGATGACATTAAATGTGAGGATGCGTGCAATGCAGGTGCCCAGCGTGCTTCCAAGGCTTGGCAGGGATATAGATGACCTTAGTCGGTGTCGGAAGAGTTGAGCTCGGCGGCAAAACTGGCCAAAGAATTTTTGAAGCGGTTGCTCTTGACGATAACTTTAACGTCGCTGTCTCTTTCGGTATCGCCATCGCCGGGTCGTTGGCGTTTGCGAATATGGTCATTGTCGCCGCTGCCCCCTGCATGGTCGTCACTTCCTCTATCTTCCGACTCGCTTCCTGCCAGTGCACTTCCGCGCTCGCGCCCGCGTCCGCGCCCCTGGACGGCCTTGCTGCTGCGTGTGCGCGAAGGACTGCCGAGTACGCCGATGTCCTTGAGCTCCATTTTGAATTCGCGCTCTTCTTTGATCTGCTGTGCTTTCTTCAGTGATAGCCGGCCACTCTGGAAGACATCAATTCGTTTGTCCGACGATGATAAATTGGCATTAGTGGCACGCGGCAGTTCCAAGCTACGCGCTGACACTCACCATCCCCAGCTCGCCCAGCAGCTTGTGCAACAAGGCTTTCTGCCGCCTCCAGGCCAACTCATCATCCCCCGCACACATCTCCGCTTCAAAAAATTTGCCCCACTGCTTGCGCACGCCGCACGCAACGACGAGCGACTTGAGCCTCTTCAGCTCAGCCTCGAGCGGAGACTCCGCTACCTTCTTCTTGCCAACATGCTTACGACCCCCCGTGGCCTTCTCTTTTGCGGGTACCTTGCCATGGCCATTGCTGGCCGGCTTTACACTTGGCTGATCACCATCGCCACCATCATCATCGGAGATGCGCCGCTTCTTCAAGGTTGACTTGCTGGCCCTTCCGCTCTGCGCGCCATTGTCACTGCTCGCCTCGTCGTCGCAGAGTGACGAGTACCCTTCCGCTTCGGCTTCTTCAGCCGTGATGAATTCGCGCTTACTGCTCGTGCTACCTGGTGTGCTCGCGGCTTTCTCGGAAGTTGCTGAGCGTGCACTGGTCGCTCTGCTGATGCCATTGCGGCTGCTTTGAGGGGTTGAAGGGGATGACATCGCAGCATCAGAGGGTTGCGGTCTCTTGCCCCACGGAGTGGATTTGGCGGGCGATGCAGGGGATTCCGCGTCTGATTTCGCTGAATCATTTTGGTTCGCCTTCGGATTCATAGCGCAGCTATGAGATTTAGCAGGTGAAGAAGATTCTGATGGCGCGCTCTCCAGCGGTTCTTCCTGGAAAGTAGAAATTTTCAAAGAACCTGTCAGTACTTTCAGGCAAGCAGGTCCGCATTAGTGTCAGTAGCTCACTTCAGACACCAGCCTGTTGACATAGTCTTTAATCATTGCCTTCATGCCCCCTTCTTTCAAAGCGTCTTGGGATATATTGAGACGATGGACTAGATGCTCTTTGACATTGCGCATGCTGAACTGGCTGTACTTCGTTGGTAGCGATTTAGCACATGTAGGAGATCCCGATGCATGCAGGGGATTACTTCGTCAGCCTCTCTCCCCTCTAAATCCATGCAGATACTCTAAAGGCACGCGGCCAGGGGTATCCCCCAACCCCGCCAATGCAAAGATTGACTCACGAGAGCTCGGGGTCGGTCTGCTTTGCGTCCGCGATGATTCTGCGGAGCGCATGTTTCACTTGGAGTTCCCGCGACATGGTTGTGCAGTGTGCTCTTTACGGTAAACTCCTCGTGTGTTTCAAGGGAGGGCAGCACAAAAGCTTCGGTTAGCAGCTGCTCAAACGACTGGGCCCTCAGCTCGCAGTCTAGGTGAGCATCATTGAATCAGGCACTGTTGTACTTGATACCAGTCACGGCTCCAACATGCTCATACCAAGCTGGGCCTACCACGCACGGTGAGCCTTTCCGTTACACTTCTCCCCAGCGGAAAATGGAAGATGACGTATAACTAACAGGGTTGCAGGCAGCCGCGTCTCGCGTATCCTGCTTCCTGCGATAGATGGCTCCAGTGTAAACCCTACTTGAGCCCACTTCTGTACGCATTTACTGGCCGGCAATTGAATGTATTTTGGCTCTCGCTGTGGCCCCTCCGCGTTCTCCGCGGGGTGCAGACTAAAACTGTGTCGGCGCTGCGCTGTCGGTCAGATTTTGATTGGCCAGTCACTCGGGCTGTGGTTACTTCCGGCTGACCGCTGATGGGCCCACTTCCAGGCTGCCGATCAGCAGCCTGCGCAGATGACTGGTGTAGGGCTTGGAATGTACATCTGCCACGCAGCACAGCGCCACACCCAAAAGCGAAGGAGATACGACATCATCGCCAGCCAGCCATCGCGTTCACATCTTACATCTTCACCGTCCGTTTTGCAGGCTCATCGCATCGCTACCGTGGGCCCCATCTTTTGCTGTCCTATTGCAAAAGAATCACTGGTCACGGTACATACACCCGCTTGTCGACACATCCACTTCACTCCCAGCATCTCTGTCCATGATGTCGATCCACAAGCCATCCACGGTGCGTGCCTCTTCGGAAGCAAGTTGTTGGAGAAGCTTTGACCCTATGCTGATGCCTTGTCTCCGACTTGGCCGCGACCTCCTCTCATTTCTCTGCGTGTTCAGTTCATTGGGGTATGGTTCCTCATTTCCTCCCTCATCGTATGCTGGGACACTGGGTACATTCTCCTGGTACGATGCGCCTCGTTGCATACTCTTAGGGTGGATACCTAAAAATACATGTGCTGACGCTGCTCTCTTCCTATAATTATCTTTTCTCGTTCTGTTTCATCTGCACGACTCCATCAAATCACTTTATTAAACTATCCGCAATAACAGCGCCCGCGCTCGATGAAGGGTGGAGACCTGCACTGGATCTGGGCACCCTACGAGCTGTATGGAACGATCGACTGTGAGGCTTCCAATATCTCCACGCTATGCGGGCTTTTCGGTTTAGATCCTTGCTCTCATTGACTAAACGTTTTCCTTTCATCTCGTCTGCCATTGCTAGACATCTATGGCCCAACGGCCTGGAACGCAATGGACGGTTTCCCGAAAGCGCAAAGCGTGATGAACATTGCGGAGACCATCCTTAACTTCTTGTACCTCTACCTCGCGTACGTCGACAAATCCCTCGAGGCACTATGCATTGCACCCGTCATCGGGTTTACCGCCGTCATCATGACCGCTTCCAAGACAGTCCTCTATCTGTTCAATGTAAGCCGTCAGCGTCTCTCCGCATTTCAGACTTCTCCCCGCGCTGATATTCTCCGTGTTTCTGGATGACAGGACTGGTTCTGCGGCCCATCAGGGTGGTGCAAGACGGGGCACAACGACTGGAAGACATACATCTTCCTCTGGTTCATTCCGAACACTCCTTGGATCTTCGTTCCCACCACCATCGCCTACCTTCTCGGCCGCGAGATCGTTGCCAACCTCACCATCGCCGGCAAGGTCACGCAGGGCGGCGCGAGGGGTGCGGCGGCCAGAAAGTCAAAGTCACACTGAGCGAGCGTGGTGCCCAGCCAGGTATGTATACTGCAATGCAGAGGCGCGGCGCACAGCGCACACAAGCCCAATAGGAACCTGTTCCTCTACGAATCCGATCGAACCAATACTCTTAAATGTACATCGCTAGAGCAGCGGAGGAACGCAACGAATGTGCAGCCGGCAAGCCGCCAAAAATGTGAGCCGAATGCTTCGATACCCTGAAGGCCTTGCAGTTCGAAGAGAAGTCGTATGTATGCACCCTGCCTTGAAAGGCGGTAGACAGGCCCTAATTGCAAAGAGGAAAACGCACAAAACGAAGCAATACACGAACGCAGCTGCTGCTGGCGCTGGAGGGTCCGAGCAGGGCTATGATGATATCTACATAGGCAAAGGGGGCCCTCAGTCAGCCTTGACGCCGTTGGTCTTGGGGGCATGCGCGTTGCTGCGCGCCGGTCCGCCGAGCGCCTTGAGCACGTTGATTTTTCGGGGAAAGTGCGGAATGACTGCGCGGACATGCATGGATCGTGGAGCACGTCAGAAGCCCATTCTCCTGCAGAAGCGAACGGACAGAGGCGCTGCGAGAGTCTCGGCGCCGACTTGGGCGAGCCGGCGCGATGCGCTATGACTCACGCTTGGAGATGGAAAGGTGAAATTTTGGTTGCTGCGCAGCACGCTTGTTGCGCGACCAGAAGCCGAGACCGAGGATGACGAAGAAGGCGTAGCGCACACGGGAAAGACGAAAGAAGAGGAATGTGACCATCCATAGCACCTGTCAGAGGGGGTGAACGAGAAAGGAAGGGGTGCCATCGGTCAGCGCATGCACTCGGCCATCACAGCCTTGGGAATGTAGGCAAATTACCAGCTCTGCGTAGGTAAAGAATCTGTTGAAAACAGAGGGAGAGGAAGAGGGCGAGGAGGCAGCGTCGACGTCAGCGTGCCGGCACCGACTGTGCAACTGTGGGGAGGGGGAGACACTGGAAATTGACTCACTCCAACCCGCCTCCAGGCGCGTTCTCCTTGATGAAGCGAACCAGGTCAACCCACAGCCGCATGTCTTTCGGCTTGGGCCGGCAGTTGGGGTCCATGAGGAAGACCATGAAGATGCGCGCGTATATGCCAATGTGCCAGTTGCCGACGGTACCTACGGCGTCCTTGAACGTGGCGTTAGTGCACAGGACAGAGCAGTCATTGACGGGGAAGTTTTGGAGGTACATGTTCGGGCGCACGTAGTCCTCCGGGAATAGGTCGGCGGGGAGAAAGTCGAGCGTGGGCTTGTTGAAGCCGGTCGCAATGACGATGACGTCAGCGTCCATGTCGATGTGCGTGCCTTTGTCGCCCGGCCGGGAACCACGCGGGCGCAAGTTGAACGAGACTCCGCGCTGTGTCGCGCGCTGGACGTCGCCGCGGATGTAGTCGGCCCTGCCGCGGCGGATGTGCTCGAAGCAGGACGAGTTGACAATCGGCGTGCCGGTGTAGAAGCCCTGCGTCGGTGACATCTTCTCCGCCAGGTCGCGGTAGTGCAGCCTGCGCAGAAGGAACTCGGGGATGATGCTCAGGAACGTCTCGCGCCCCAGCGGCTGCAAGCTCAACACGAGGTCGACGAGCATCGTACGCGGGATGATCCATTTGTCGCTGCGCGCGAGGATAGTAGCCGTCTTAGCGTTCTTCTCGATGGCGAGCTCGAGAGCCTCGACGCCACTTGCGCCACCGCCGATGATGATGACCTTCTTGTCGTGCAGCTCGACGTCGTCCAACTGCGACGAGTGGACGATCTGGCCCTGGAAGTTCTCCTGCCCTTCCATGTCCATCTTCTTGGGTGTGCCGCATGTGCCCGTCGCAGCGACGATCCCGTCAAAGACAACCGATTCATCTCCGTTGACGATCCAGCGCGCGTGCCCGCCGTCCTTGGGGTCTGTCGAGCTCGGCTCGTGGCGCGTCACCTGCTTCACTGTGGTGCCAAAGCGCGTGCGGCGCTGGAGGTCGTACTTGTCCCAGATAGCGCGCACATTGGCGAGGATCTCGTCGCGCTTTGGGTAGCCGGTCGAGTACTTGACGCTTGGGTGGAAGCGGTACATGATGCTCGAGATCTGCAGACCCGATGTCGAGTTGACGCGGGACCAGATGCCACCTATGTGCGACTCGTCGGCGTCCTCAGTGAAGATGGTCACCTCGAACCCGTGGCCGAGCAGATGGGAAGCCGTGGAGATGCCGGTGATGCCCGTGCCGACGACGGCGACGTGTCCCAGCGGCTTTTGGTCGGCATGTTGGGCTGCGGTCACCTCATCGGCGGTTGAGCGAAGAGTCAGACTGTGGCATATATGCGAAAGGCAGGTAGTCTTCACGGTGGCTCCGAGTTCAGTGCAACTCACAGGGAGGCAGAGGTGCAAAGAGCCAGGAAAGGATGGCCTGGATAAGGAGGTAGATCCTCGAGACGATCCCCAAGGGCTGGTTGGGAAACGAGGGGGTGAGCAAGAAAAAAAAGGCAACCAGCGCAAGGGTGGGGTTCAGCGCACAGGAAGTCTGCCGACGTTAGGGCGGCTCACATCGAGCGAGGAGAGGTCCATCTTCGACCTGCGATGTGCCCTCCTTGGGTCCGAAGTAAATAGCCGTCGGTTACCGGGGCACGGGATGATCAGGTGGGCGGCGTGACCAGGTGAGCTTTAACGGTGACGACGATGCGGATGGTTGATGGGAGGACGAGATGCGACGGATACACGTTGCAGGCATGAGTGCATCCATGCGGGTCGTCTCCATCTGAAGAGTGTGGACTGCCCACACCTTTCCCATTTGCAACGCGTCCCCACAATATATGGGCAATCGATCCGACCGTGTGCAAAGCAGAGAGGAGCATGTGCGTCATCGCACAGAACGCTACACTCGAGCGGAGCAGAAGACTCACGGACTCCTCATTTTCTGAGCCTTTTGTATGGCTACAGCGCGAGCACAGTTGGGTCCTGTGGATCCCAGTAGGGTTGTTGGTAAAAGTAGGGTTGCGCGTTCTTCTTTCTATTTGATAAGAAACCACCACCCGTCGCCATACAGACAGTATGAGCCCACCACTTTATCAGCAAGCAGCCGGAGCCATCACCAGGGGAGCGATGTGAATGCAACGAAGAGGCGACTGCTGGGATCTAATAAATGCATACGACTTGGGGAACGCTGAATCCACTTTTCAGTTCCCATGGGGGTCTGTCTTATCCACACAAGGTGCTACCTGCACGACTTCAAACCATGTACCATATAACTAGAGCAAAAAGGGCTAATGACACAGACTCCTTTCTTCTAGCGCGTTGGGTTCACCATTGGCTGGTGATACACTCCAATCTCGCCTGTAGGCTGCAGGCTACAGATCCACAGCGGTGCCGACCCGGAGACTCGGAGGATGGGCGTACGCGACTTGCCCCGTCTGCCCCATTGCTGTACAGTGCGCGCGGCCCGAAGGGTGTGTATCCCACCCACCCTCGACTCGAACTACCCTTGTTTCATCACAACCTTGCAGGACATACGCATGCTGTGAATAGTTAATTGAAAAAGAATGCACTTCCATTTGGTGACACTGGTCTGGTTGCGAGCTTTCCTGTAACACTCCAGGTGTGCAAGGCGTGCCGCGTTGGAAGAACTGAATGTTTGCCTGTGGTTGTGGTTGTGGGGTGCAGTGCAGTGTTAATGTGTGAGGGACAGAGCGAGAAGCCCGCAGCCGCAGTCACACATGACAGTCAGCGCTACTCACTCAGCAAGGACACAGCGCACACAGCGCACGCTCTCGCCCATCCCACCACATCACCACATACAGACCACTCGACTCACACCCGCTTTCTCATCCCGGTTATGGCGCAAGGCCAGGCTCTTCTCTCGAAGCAGGCCAGCAGCAGCATAAAATACACATTCAGAGAGAAAGCGAATTAGGCCACCTCAGACGAGGAGCGTGCGTAGGTGGAGAGTCGAGTGCGTGGGCAGGCTGGCAGCTAGCAAGCTTCCTTGCGATGCTCAGCCAGATACGCGTACATACATACATTCATTCATTCATACATATCCACATTTGCCTCCACACCGACAGACACCTCGGTACCCTCGAGAAAGGCATCAAGGCGCAGACAGGTCGGCAGCAGCAGACCCACGCTCACCGCGAAAGGCAGGAGCTGGCTGAAAAGGGTACTCGTCGGTAAGTACGAGGCCCCATCAATACCTGCCTGTAGCCCACCACCATGGTCACCTTCGCCGGCAGTGCCATGCCTGGCTCGACCGACGCCATGGAGATTCTCGACAAAGGCGACTTCCATGGCCCTTCGTCTACCTTGGCCGCCGCGCAGCTCATGGCCGCAACTAATGCATCATCCCCACTTACGGCAGCAGCAACAGGTTATGGAGCACGGACAGGGCCGGATGGCACTGCGCTCGCCCCATCCATAGTCGCAGCTGCGGCTGCAGCCGCTGCACACGAGCTCGCCAGCGTGCCTGAGGACGAACAGATGAGCGGCTCCTCCTTTCGCCGAGCTACAGATCTCTCGTCTTCAGCCCTGAGCTCGGCCAACGGCTCATCAACGACAGCAGCAGTCGCAGGGCTGCTGCTATCGACATCATCCGTCTCGAGCGTTGATGCTGCCGGCGCGAACGATGACATGGGCGATCACTCCTTGCGCTTCCTCACCCCATCCACCTCTGCAGGCCACACTGGCGCAGGGTTACCAGCGGGCGAGGCTACGACGTCGGCGCGGGAAGCTGCGAGGAGCTCGAGGAACTCGGCGCGCTTCAGTCAGTACCTACCCGCGGACATGGACGTCTTTGGCACTGGTGGAGTAGCCATCGCTGGTGCCGGCAGCGGAGCTGGTAGCAGCAGTAGCGGTAGCAGCATAATAGGCGGCAAGCATCGCAACGGCGGCTTGTCGTTAGCAGCAACAGCGGGGGCGGCAGCAGGGCCCGGGTCACCCGTCGGCCTGCTCAAGCCGCTGCCTGGCTTACCTGCAGGCAGCATGCTGCATAGTGATCGTGAGCAGGACAGTCTTCCACTCACCAATGGCGTGTCGGGTCACCACCACCACCACCACCACCACCACTACCACCACTCCCAACCCCACTCCCAGCAGCAGCAGCAACAACAACAGCAGCATCCATCCCACGCGGCATCCATCTCTGCGAGTGCAGCCCTCGATCCGATCTGCATCCCACCACAGCACATCCCTCAGCCGCTCGCCGTCGGAAGCACACCGGGTGCAGCGAACGGCAAGGCGTCCATCGAGAGGCCCACGCCGCCGGTGCCACCCTCGATGCTCTCGAGCGGCAGCAACGGCTCCTTCCTGCTACAGAGCCCGCCGGCGTCGGCACGCCTCGAGATATCCCAGATGTCCATGTCACCGCCGGACGCTGATCCCGCGCGCGTGCTCGCTGAGAGCAACCGCTCGAGCATCGACGATATCCGGCGTGGCTACGCTTTGCGCAAACAGGCATACAACGGCAGCGCCGCCGCACCTGCTCCCGCGATTGCAATTCCCCCTCCACCTGTGGCACCCTTGCCGTTGGCAACCACTAACCAGCACCAGCAACATGGGGCTCTGCCCCCCTTTGTTGGTGCGAATGGCATGTCCAGCCCGGCCGCCTCTCCGGCCAGTGCATTCCAGACGCCGCCGCCCTCGCGGCGGCCGGGCGGCGCGAGCGTCGACATGGTACGCCCGGCTAGCGTGCTGGAGACCCGCTCGGCGCGGCATGAAGCCGCGCAGCGCCAGCAACTGCGGCACAGCATCAGTGTCGAGCGCACCGGTACCATCTCTGCCGCGGGAGCGGGCAATGCGGCGATCTGCGGCTCTGTTACGCCCGTCGACAACCGCTCGATTGCGAGCAGCAAGACGGACCGCGAGCGCGGAAAGGATGACCGCGAGCGGCGCTCGCGCCGCACGCTCGGCGACTATGTGCTCGGCAAGACGCTTGGCGCTGGCAGCATGGGCAAGGTTAAGCTCGGCGTCAAGATGGGCAACGGCGAAAAGGTGGCCATCAAGATCATTCCGCGACACACCTCCGTCGCGGCCGCGCACCATGCCGCGCAGAAGGCCGCGCTCAAGCAGCAGCAGCAACAGGCGAAGCAGCAGCAGCAGCTACAGCAAGCGGGGGCTTCTACGTCTGGGTCTGGTGTCGGTGCAAGCACAGTGGGGCAAGGGGGTGGCATCAGTGCTACTGCTGTTGCTGTTGGCGGTGGTGGCAGCGCTGGAGACCACGGGACGAGTACAAACGACAAGCCGATCCAGCCGAGCCCGTCGTACCTGCAGAAAGCGTATGCCAAGGACCAGTCAAAGGAGATTCGGACGATCCGCGAAGGCAGCCTACAGCTACTGCTGCACCATCCGTACGTGTGCGGCATGCGCGAGATGATCATTCACCCGAACCACTACTACATGGTTTTTGAGTACGTCAACGGCGGCCAGATGCTCGACTACATCATCTCGCACGGCCGCCTGCGCGAGCGCGCGGCGCGCAAGTTCGCCAGGCAGATCGCCAGCGCGCTCGAGTACTGTCACCGGAACAGCGTCATTCACAGAGGTCAGCTAAGCCCGGCTCTTGTCTCTCTCTCAGCACAACGTTCCGTGTGCTAACGACTTCCCCCTTTTTCCAGATCTCAAAATTGAAAACATCCTTATCTCCAAGACAGGCAACATCAAAATCATCGACTTTGGCCTGTCGAACCTCTACTCTCCCCACTCGCATCTCAGCACCTTTTGCGGCTCGCTCTACTTTGCGGCGCCCGAGCTGCTCAATGCGAAAGTGTACACGGGCCCAGAGGTGGACGTGTGGAGCTTCGGTATCGTGCTATACGTGCTCGTTTGTGGCAAGGTCCCGTTTGATGACCAGAGCATGCCAGCGCTGCATGCCAAGATCAAGCGAGGCCAGGTCGAATACCCGGTCTGGCTGAGCGGAGGTGCGTTTGCTACGATGAGTTATTTTCTTCTTTCTCTCTCTCTCTCGTTCCGCTATTTGAGAGCGTGTTCTAACGAAGCTTGCTTTGGACTGGTTGTGCGTCAGAATGCAAGCACATCCTCTCGCGTATGCTCGTCACCAATCCTCAACAGCGCGCAAGCTTGACGGAGCTGATGTCGCACCCGTGGATGGTCAAGGGTTACGATGGCCCGCCAGACATGCATATGCCCCAGCGCACGCCGCTGCGCGCCGGCCAGTTGGATGTGGATGTGATCAAAGGCATGACCGGGTTCGAGTTTGGCGCGCCGGAAGACATCGAGAGGCACATGACCGACATCCTCACGTCCGAGCTGTACCAGCAGACCCTGGCTGCTTGGGACGCCAAGCATGGCGTCGCGGCGCCCGTCAGCTCGTACATGGGCGCAGGCGGCGACGCGACGTTTGCGATCGGGCGGCAGTCGACGCGCAACAGCGTCACAACCGACAAGTCCAAGTCCGCTACCAAGCGCTTTTCCGGCATCGACTTTTACCGCAAGAAGGCCAATTCGCTCTTTGGCGGCAAAGATGATGCGACCTTCACGCCCAATGGCTCCTCCAAATCGACAACCAGCGCCAGCGTACAGTTGCTCGACCCGACAGCGGCATACCACCCGCTGTTCTCTATCTACTACCTCGTGAAGGAGAAGATGGAGCGCGAGAAGCTGTATGGCCACTCGTTCTTCGCGTCATCCAACATCTCGCTGATCAACCAGAACCTAGCAAGCACGGGCGGACAGGCAGCCGGAGGCTCCTCGATGCCCACAGCAGCGGACATTCCGCAGGAAGAAGTCAAGGTACCCGAAACGTCGCATGCGTCTTCGCGCGCCATTGAGCCGAAAGCCAAGCCAGGGCTCATGGCGCCGCCCAGAGCAGCCGGCACCGCTGCCTCGGTGCCGTCGTCCCCGACGCCGGTGTTCGACTCGCGAGAAAAGTCGCAGCCACTGCCGAACATGGCAGGCCCGCCGCGTGCTCGCGCTACTGGCGATGAGATGGAGGAGGCGCTGCGCGGCGCGACATTCATGGGCGGCAGTGCGGGGAAGCGGCCAGAGTCAACGCTCATGTCACCGACCAAGGTCAGCGCGTCTACATTTGACAGCAATCACAAGCGTAGCATGAGCTTGAGCATGAAGCGACCCATGTCAACCATCGTCGACTTGAAGACGACCTCGTCGATCGCACCGTCGTCTGCGGCACAGCAGCAGAGCATCAGCGTCGCCAGTCCGACAAATCCCCACTCCGCCGCCGCTTCGCCGGGGCCGGACCATGCGTCACCGACGCCGGCGCTGGGAACGCTTGCGCGTCGTTTCGGCTCCCTGATGAGTCGCTCTCCCTCCACGCCAATTGATGCCGACGCAAGGGACAAGCGGCGCTTGCAGCGCATGAGCACCGGGGGCATGTCCGCTCCGAGTCGGCGGGCGAGCACGTTTGGCAGTGGCCTCAGCGGCGTCGCAGAACGCAGAGATGGAGAGAATGCAGATCAGGGCGGAGGACAAAAGACGTATGCTGAGCCAGACTCGGCAGAAGACATCAACGCCATCATGACAAAGCCGCTGTCGCCTCATCCAAGGGACTCGTCGAGCTTGACGCGAAAGGAGACGCCAACGGGCACCACCTCACTTGGCCGCTCGTCCGGTCTGACCATGTCGCCGAAGCGCCGGCAAAGCACCCTGCTCGGCCTGAAGATTAACCAGCAGCAGTTCCCCATCGCAAATCCTGGAGAAGCGGGTGGGTGGCAGGGTCCCAACAACCCTGCGCAGGCGGCTGTGTTGCCTTCCAGCTCGAGGAGGGAGACAATTACCAAGGGCAGCAAGGAGCAGACTGCCTCCAAGCCTGTTTTCCTTAAAGGTCTCTTCAGTGTGCAGACGACCAGCACCAAGCCGCGCGCCGTCATTCATCAGACACTCGTGCAGGTGCTTGATCGCCTCGGCGTGCAGTACCGCGAGATTAAGGGTGGCTATGAGTGCGTTCATTTGCCTTCGCTCGACTTTTCGGGCGGTACGATTGCCGCTGCGACGGGTCAAGGCAACGTGCGTTTGGGTGGGGAGGCAGATATGGGTGAGACGGAAGCATTTTCTGCAGATACTGCATCGCCGCAGCGTCCTCGAAGGAAAGGCAGCAAGCTCTCCTTCACCTCGGCCAAACAGAAGCTGAAGGAAGTCTCTGAGAGCAAGAGCTCGCTCACCAATGCGGACGACAGCTCCATCCGGAGTCGGACCAACTCGTTGGCTGGCGCCATGGATGGCGATTCGAGCGGCCTGGGCCTTCGCACGAGCCCTGGCACACTTGTCATCGCCGAGAGCAACCAGGAGGATGCAGCGGCGAACGCACCTCGGTCGAAGACGATGAGCCCGAATGCAGTTCATGACCTCGCGGTGCGCTTCGAAGTGTTTGTCGTCAAAGTGCCCCTCTTGCTTGGCGTCAATGGCTTGCAGTTCAGAAGGGTTTCTGGCAATCCCTGGCAGTATCAGATGTTAGCAAAACGGATTTTGGAGGATGCCAAGGTGAGCAGTCAAGTAATGCATTGGTGAGGTAGCAAATGAGGGAAATAACAATATCTTTCTGTCCCTACCGTTGCAGCTTTGATGAACAGCATTATCAAAACAGCCCTTCGACCTCTGCATACTGCAGTTCAACAGCATAACCACAGCAGCAACTCTTCTTTTTAAACAACCCAGACAGATAAGAAGCATGATTGCTTCATGTTCACCTGGTCCATCCACTCCTTTTGACACTAGCATCACATATACACAATCATACGCACAGCTAAGTACGCACGCACAGCGAGCGTGCGCGAACTCGCAGACGCACCAAAAGGTATACTTGCTGTACTCTTTTTATCCCTAGACAAGGAGCAACCCATAACGGCTTACACATTATCTCCAGGCCACAGGCGGCGATTCAGAAGGCAGAGCATGGACACCTTGAGCGAAAGGGCACGGCGGACGTTCCGCTTCGCCTGCATGTTTCTGACACTTTTGCCATTGTAAAGTCTATGGAATGTAGAGGACGCCCGCTTTGGCTTTCGCCCAGCAGCGGGACGGATGTGAGAGCAACAGTTTTCGCAGAGTGTTCGCAGCGATCGACTCGGTGGCAGGGACATAGCTATATACGTGGTTGGTTTCTACGCTCTATTTTGCCCTCTTTCCCAGATGCCCTCTTAGCTGGGCAGTCCTTCCGATGGCTTGTCGTCAACTGACAGAGTGCGGTGTAGATGGAAAGGCTGCAGAGAATGTATGTATTGGTGGCAGTAGCCGCGCTCTATCAATTTGAAGCGGGCTCCTTGAAGCCCTTGGGTGCCGACTTTGATCCAAAGTCTTCATGCATTTCCTGTGCAGATGTGTACATAAGGGCGTGAGTTACCAGGCCAACGGTTGAAAAAGGCGGGGAAAGAGAATCAATTGGAACTCACGAGGAGCAGGCGGATCGCGCGCCTGGCATGTTCCCGCGCAGGGTCCTCCCATGGTCGGGTATTGTGCGGAGCGATTTTGTGCTGGCTCGAGTCGAACGGATACGGGAGGAACTTCTGCAGGTACTCGTACGCGACGAGCGTTGCGCCAAACTGAGGCGAACTGCGCAACACGCGCGCCATGCTGCCCTTGAAGAACGCACGTGGGCCCTCCTGCGCCATGATCTGGCGGAAGCAGTCGGTGATGCCTTTGTACGTCGACTGGCCCTTGCGCGCCTCGACCTGCAGGCGCGTCTTGATGACGTCGGCGGGGGTAGTGAGGAAGGCAGCGGGCATGCCGGCGATGGCGGCGCTGGCGAGCATCTCTCCAAAGCCGAGTTTCTTGCCGTTCTTACCCTCGTGGAAGGTGTCCTTCTTGAGGTGGGCATACGCGGGAAAGTAAATCGCGCTGAACGGAATGTCGCGCAGCAGGCAGGCGCAAGCGCCTTTATACAGTCCGACGAGGCCGAGCTGCCGGACGATGTGGATGGCTCCGCGCGCGACCTTGTCGCCACCCTCCTGCCTGGCGAGCTCGCCGGCGACTTGCAGGCGGATCTTGACGATCTCAAGCGGATTGGTGAAGACGACCTGGCAACCGCCGGCAGCGCCGCCAGCGAGGAGCTCCCAGGGGAGCGAGATGGCGCCGGTCTGCGGGTCGCGCGCCTTTGCGCGCAACAGGTCGTTGACGGTCAGCTTGATCGCCTTCTCCGGTGCGACTCCGATCAGCTGCGGGCCGAGGCCGCGGTAGAAGCCGATGAAGCCCTCGTTAGCGAATACCTTGCGCACACAGTCGATAGAATTCTTGTACATTAGTGGCTCGCCGACGACCGCGCTGCGCTGGTTCTGCATGCGCGTCTTGACTAGGTCAATCGGGTAGACAAGCGTCGCGCCGATCGAACCGGCGATGCCGCCGAGGCCAAAGTTATACGCCGAGTGCGCCAGGTCTTGTACGAAGGACGCCTTCTTTCCCTTCTTTTTCGTCCTCCCCGCTTCGGCCGCTTGCTCTTTCGAGGTGGCGCCGACAGCGGCGGCCGTTTCAGCGGCCTTATCCTGTGCAGCTTGCGTCGCGGACGCGAGCTTGTCCACGGCTGCTTTCCCAGCATCCGGCAGGGCTTTTACGATCGTCGAGCGATCCCCGCCTAGCTCTGCCTCTGCCTCTTCGTCCTCGTCTTCTTCCTCTTCATCGTCCTCGGCCTGCGGCGCCAGACGGCCGCCTTCGTGCCGTTCAAGGTCATCGCTGATGAATAGCTCGTGGCAGACGAGATTTTCCTCATCGCCGTTCTTGCCGCGCACGACGCTGGTCGTATACGAGAGTAGGCCGGGCGAGCTGAACTCGACTTCACGGCGGAACTGCTGGAGATGGCGCTGGAACGCCGGGTCCGCATTCGGCCGCGAGTAGACCTTGGCGGTGACGAGGAAGCGGCCTTCGCCGGGGAGATGCGGGATGGGGTGAAATTGCTGCTGCGCCAACGTTGCTTGCTGTTGTTGTTGTTGCTGATGTTGCGAGACGGTGCTGTGTGAGGATCCGGAGGTGGATGCCTCGCATTCGACCGGTTGCGGCCGCAGGAAGCTGGGAAGAAGAGACGCCATGGTGGCCTGTGGGCTTGTGGATCAGCAGCGACGCAGTGCAGTGGGGGTTTTCTTGGGTAGCGGTGCGCTGTGCGAGCGAGTTGATGGTGGTGGTGTAACGGACCGCTGTGACCCGAAGGCGAGAACAGGGAAGGCTGCTGCACACAATAATCAACCAGTGCGTCCGTCAGTCCGAGCCAAGTGTAAAAAGCAGTGGGCTGACCCAACAGCACCAACGACAACGACGACTACGACGATGCCTACGACTGTACCGATGACCAACGACAATGAACGAACTCCGTTGTCCACCTGTCTAGTATGGTTGACTAGGTATTGTTGCTATGTAACGATGCCTTCTCCGCAGAGGCGGAATTCGCATCAGCCAGCAGCTTGCTCGTCCACCTGCGACGCGGTGTGAGACTGTTTTGTTGCTGTGACTGTACTTCAATATTACACTCACGAACTGCCGGGAGGTCGGGCAGGACCGGGGCGGTGCAACAGCGGAACCCGGGATTGAAGTTGCAGGCACGAGTGCAGCAACCCTACTATGATATACTGCGCTCTTCTCTTCTCTTCACTTCTCTTCCTTTCCCTTCCCTCACAGGTTTCTTCATGCTCTCCTCCTTGCTCTCTACCCCCCACCGACATAGATCCAGCTGCATGGCACCTCCTACTCCAGCAGCCAGCTAACTCTCTTCCAAACAAAGCAGGTCGAGGAGCCCCTCGAATGGGAAGCGCAGGCGCTTCTTCGTCTGCACTTGCGTGCGGCTGGGGTTATGGGCAGATGAGAGACAGCCGCCGACTTGCCGTCGTCGAGGTGAGTTATTGGCCCTGAGCCCCCCTTGCCCTCCTCCTATGGCACAAGTGATGATATCTACCGACAGGCGGACCTATTGCTCCACTTTCCCTCCCTCTCTCCCGTACTTTACCGTACGGTGAGCAGACAGGGACGGTGGTTGCGGATACTTTATCGGCTCCTGATTCCTTCCACGCAGCGAACATGTTTCCTTGCCGTCAGCCACACATGCAGAGAGATCACGATGCTGACGCTTGCGCCTCATTGCCAAATGCATAATGGGAACAACCTATAATTGCCGCTATCGACATCCACAGTAGCAGTAGTAGCGCCCTCCCTCATCCGCCAAAACCATGTCGGGCAGCACAGCGACAGCGTCAGTGACGTATGCGTCCGCCTACAGTACGTCTGGTGCAAGCTCGCCCTTCAATAATGGCGGCGCGATCACGCTCAACACCTGGCAGGACGCCATATGCAAACGCTGGGAGGAGCGAGATCGCCATGAACGTGCATTCGACGACATGATACAGCAATGTCAGCATCTTCCCTCTCGTCTGCACACCATGTCGCGCGCAATCCACTGACGTTTCTTGCACTCGCTTTTGTCGCTTTCAGATCAAAAACTGGCAAGGCATGCTGCGATGCTCAAGGAACGCAACACTAGTCTGCTGCAAGCTGCATCTGCGCCCACACCTGCGGCTGTCGCTTCGTCTGCTTCGGCAGCCGGAACCGCAAGCGCGCCGGCCGCAACGACGGGCGTGGGTCCCAACGCCGTGCAAGAAGCATATGTCCGTTCGCTAGAGGCGCAGCTCTCCTCCATGCGCGACGAGCTAGCAGAGCTGTACAAGACGCAGTCGCAAAACGCGCAGCGGTTGCTCGTACTGAATGAGACGCTGCGCGAACGGCAGGACGTAGGCAAGGCGTCCGACGACGAGCTGCGCGCACTGCGCGGCGAGCAAGAGCGCCTGCAGCGCGCTGCGCAGGACGCCCGGGAGGCGCTCGGCGAGAAGGATCGCACAATCCAGATCCTGCAGGACGAGCTCAATACGCTCAGTCTCGAGCTGAGCCAGATCGAGCTGCGCAACGACGAGCTCAAGCGCGACAATGCTAGCCTGCTGCAGCGCTGGCTCGATCGCATGAACGCAGAGGCTGACAAGATGAACGACGCCAACACCTACCTCGAGCAGGTCAAGGCGACCAGGACGAAGGATAGCTCGACCGACTCATCGACATCACAGAGCAAGCCTGCAACCCTTTCCGCGTCAGCGGCGTCGTAGCCTTGCTACACCCGTTATCACTTCACAGCCCGTCTCATAAAGTCACATGTTGTATTATTTAGCATTACACCCAAGTATTTCATTATGCGAGATAGGTCATTGACATCTATGCTATTGTGTTATTGACGCTTACAGTCCTTTCATTACTGACACGTCCGTTCGCGAGCATGCGCTCCCTTTGGACGAGGAGGCTGCCGCAGCAAATGTCGGTCGGCATGAGCGTTGGGAACAGCACTGCGCACTTTGGTGGCGATGCGATTGCTGCAGCCCACTTGTGAGCGAGCCGAGTCTGTCTTCAAATAGGCGCGTGTTTTGGCAAGCTCATGGTCACCGGAAACAGGCCACTTGGGGTGTTGATTGCGCTGGAAGCCGCCAAACATGCTGTCAGTCGACACGAGAGCTAAAGAGGACGCGAACCGTATTTCTTTCTTAAAGTAATAAAAAGCTGGCGGAACAAAAGAAAGAATCCTCTCAACTTGCACCTTTTCGATGTGCCGTCGATGAATCGGTGCTGACCACGCACTTCTTTTGTCCAACGAGTAGAGAACTGCATCGACCACTGTCACAGGAGCCGGGAGAAAGGAGTGTCTGTCTGTGCAGTGCCAAAGTTGTAGCTTGGTACACCAGCGCGCTGACCATCTTAGACCTGCTGCGTCGGCACCACGGAAAGGCGCACAGCCCGCCATGGTCTCCAGCACAGCCGGGCCGTCGTCCTCGTCATCGCCATCATTAGGGAGCAGTAGCAGCTTCAACTACACCGTCGCCTCGCGCATCAAGGAGCCATACAGCAGCACGCCGTGTCCGTACACAGACTGCCGCGTGACTATCGAGTACCTGCCTCCATCTCCCGAGACACTGCGCGCGAACGTGCAGCCGCACCAGACGAGCTTCAGCGTGACATGCTGCAAGTGCAGGCGCAACTTTGAGCCACCTGGCGCGCCGAGGCTCGTCAGGGAGGCGCGGTCCGGCGCGACTAGCGCCGGCGGGCAGAACGGCACGGTCGGTGAGCCGGTGAGGAAGAGGAGGATAGGGACAGACGAGCGGCCGCTGGATATGACTTAGTGAGCTGAGCGACGAGCGCACCACTCATCTTTCTCGCCTTGGCCCTGGCCGGCCATAATTGGGGGACTGACCGTGTTGTGTCATGCAGCTATGACTGTCTCGGCGTGCCAGCGTCAGCCAGTCTCGTGGAGATCAAGAAAGCGTACCGCAAGCTCGCGATCAAACTGCACCCAGACAAGAACCCGAACGACCCAGAGGGAGAGGAGAAGTTCAAGCAGCTAGCCACCGCGTATCATGTGCTATCAGATCCTGAGCTTCGGCACAAGTAGTGAGTCATGACAGTCGCATTCACCTCTGTGGTTAGTATGCGGCTGATGTTCCTTTGCCCGGTAGCAACGAATTCGGCGCCTCGACGCCAGGTCTGACGCCCGAAGATGGCTTCGTCGACCCCGAAGAGGTGTTTGGTAGTCTCTTTGGCGGAGAGCGATTCCAGGATATCATTGGCACCATCAGCATTGGGCGAGACATGAAAGAGGCGCTGCAGCAGGACTCAGAGGAGCTCGAAAAGCAAGCGAATGGCACCGGGGCAGACGCTCCGGGCACGGTCTCCAATGGCAAGGCGAAAGGCAAGCCAGAGCTCTCGCCTGAGGAGAAAGCGGCAAAGGAGGAGAAGGAGCGAAAACAGACCGAAGCAAGGGCCAAGCAGAGGGAGGAGAGGGTCAGCAAGCTCGCAGAGACGCTCATCGCCAAGCTCAGCGTCTATACCGAGGCCATGAAAAGCCTCGATGACCCCGACCACCAGCGAGCCATCACGGATAGTTTCCGCGGAATGGAAAAAGAGAAGGCCGAGGAGCTCAAAGATGAGAAGTGAGTGTGCAGGCTCGCTCGATCGCTAGTGCCTTCCTTCTCACAGTACATCTTCTCTGTTCAAAGCTATGGCGTCGAACTCTTGCACGCAGTCGGATCGCAGTACACAGCCAAGTCGAAGCACTACCTCGCAGCGACCGGCATGTTCGGCGCGCTGGGCGGCATGTTCCACGGCGCCGCGAGTAGCGTGCATGTCATCCGCGAGACTGTCAGCACCGTCCGCGCCGCACTAGAGCTCAAGACGGTATTCGAGGAGCTGTCCAAGGCAGAAGAGCAAGGTATCACCGAGGAGAAGAAGAGGCAGCTGGAAGAAGCCGCTGCGGAGAAAGGGTACGTCTGCGAGTGATGGCGCTGCCTTGATCCTGCAGGCAGGCTCATGACATTTCCCTTCCATGAATCTTCATCAAGCATGCGAGCGCTCTTCAAAGGCGCAAAGCTCGAGGTGGAGAGCGTCATCCGCGAAGTGTCAGAGCGCGTGCTGTTTGACGCTTCCGTGAACAAGGAGACACAGCGCCTGCGTGCGCAAGCATTGGGTGAGCCGGGATGCGGCAGAACGATGATCCCTATCTCCCAACCGCTGATCGTTGTCTCCAATGCGACGCCCGCGCACCTGCAGGCATTCTCGGCGAGGTATACATGGGCGTTCAAAAGATCCCTGGCGACGGCTCCTCGACGCCGGACGCCGAGTACGTGCGCGTCGACACGAGCAATTCCAAGGCGCGTGACGCAGCCGCAACAGCAGCGACAGCGGCATCAGGGCCGGCGCATGGCCAGCCCTCTGCTACGGCATCCTCGGATGGCAAGCGGGCGTATGAGCCCTACAACTGGCGAAGACCGGCGAATGGCCCGTGAAGAGCATGTTCCACCGGATTCTGACCTGTCACGATTGTTGTTTATGCGATGTATGAGGTACGCCAATGTGATCAAATGGCTCGCGCAAGAGACAGTCAAAAAGAGCTGAATGGATCAATTGTAAAGAAACGATGTGCGGTCAATCTACAAATGCACGAAAATTGCTGGGGAGAGATGGTTGCTGCTCCCGTTATATCGTCCGCCAGCAAGCGCTCGACGGGTGTGCCGAGTGCAACTTGAATTGGTGTCTATCGATGACTGAGAGGGAATCGAATGATGTGCTTACGCACCTCCCTTCTCTGATCCTGTCCTTGTGCCTTGGGTGCCCTGTCCGGAGATATAGAAAGGCAGGCACAGGAAGATCGGACGGTAGTTGCTGTTGCGAAGGTGGGCGATTAGAGAGAGAGACCGGGTACGGTACGAAATTAGGCTGAGTCGAGACAGGCGACAATAAGGTAGAATGGAAAAATGAGCAGAGGGTCGTATCGTATCAACAAAATGGTGACGAAAGGACGGACGCCACGAGCGGTGTGGAGGCTCCGAGAGCAGAGCCCGGCGCCAAACGCGAGCGTCTGCGTGCTGGGAGACCCGGAAATTGCGCTTTTAGCGCCAGAATGCGCCTGCGCGTGTCGCAAAAGTGTGGGAGGCGGAAACATATCGGGGCAGAGAAGCGAGAGAGAGAGCAACAGGCAGCTCCTCCCCACGCCCGTGGGCCGCGTGAGATGTCTCGAGGGCAGTCGCCGCGGCATGGCCTCCCTTTTGGTATCGTAGATGCATTGTGTCGGGGGCGCAATGAGGAAAAGTGCTGAGAGAGACTGTAGATGGACATGTCGGGGTCGGATCGGATATTCGGCAACCAGCTCGCTTGTCCGAATGCAAGCGAGCAGCATGGGTGGCGGCCGTACTAGAGCAAGCTGCATGCTAGCTATAGCTGTACAGAGCCGTTTTTCTCCTTTTTTAGAGAGTGGTTGGCTATGCACAGTGACGCGATGCTCTGCCGCCTGCCCTGCTTAAGGCGCCTCGTCGCTTGCGAGCGCCTTTTCGAGGTCCTGCGCCTGCTTGTGGTTGTGGCCGGGTCCGCCGCCTGCGAGCGCCTGTGCTTGGACCATCTCGACAGTCTTCTGTGTGACGGAACTCTTCTTGGCCTGCATCTCGGCTGCAAGGCGCGCCGCGCGCGCGACCTCCTCCGGCTTGAGAGTATCAGTGCTGACGAGCGCGCGACCGTCGTTGCCCATTTTGGCGCTGTTCCCGCCCCCGTTGGCGTGCAGGACCTGCAGGCCGAGCAGGCCGTGGCTGCCCGAGTGCAAGTAGTGGTAGCGCAGGCCGTTGAGGTTCTTGTACGTCTTGCCGCACGTCCCCACTTGGCACAGGTAGAGGACCTGTTTGTTGTTCTGGCTGCCGGCGCGCATGACACTTGCTTGGCCTGCCAACACACTTCCCGCTGATACCGAGGACGATGATGTAGAAGACAAAGCGGCAGGCGCGGGCGCAGGTGTACTCTGTCGGTCTGCTCCTGCGCTGATACTCGCCGAGCTGCCGGCTGGTGAGCCAGGTAAGGCAGCAGCCACAGCGGCATATGGCGAGTTAGGAGCCGTCGAGTTAGGGGTCGTCGACGCCGCCGCACGAGTCTGCGTCGATATCCCTGGCGCTGCGGATGTAGTAGCCATAACGGCGGCAACGGTAGCGGCAGTAAAGAAGCCAGGCTTGGGCGCTCCAGTCGGCGTTGTTGCCGTGCCAGGCGTTGTGACAACGGGAGAGCTGGCAGCGGACGCGCCACCCGGTTGACCTGCCAGACTGCTGCTACTCGATGCTTGCTGCTGCTGCGCAGCGATCAGAGCCGCTTGGGCAGTGGCAGTCTGCAAGATGGGGACGTTGTTCTGGTTGCAGTGGCCATGTAATCGGTGGTACTTAAGCCCGTTCATCTGCTTATACGCTTTGTCGCACCCGGGTGCCGGGCACTTGTACGGTTTCTCAATGTTGCCGGGCAACATGATCACGTTCTTCGGGTCGAACTTGGGCGTTCCGTCCGGGTTGAGCGTGTTCGGGTTGGGCATCGTGCCGCTACTGGATGAGTTGAGACGCTCGCGCTTCGACGGCGGCTGAGAGTTGGTGCTACTGCTGGGCACTGTCCCGCTCGCTGTCGCCGTCGTCGTCGCTCCGCTGACGCCGTTGGCGGGGAAGAAAAGATTAGGTGGTGCACAAGACGGCAGATTATGCTCCTCAAAGTTATTATTACGCAGTGATAGAGCCGAAAAGGCCGCAGTTGCACCCCCATGCCCGCCAAGCAGTGCGTCGAGGTCCGGTTCGCCGACAGGTGTGCCGGGGATAGACCCTCCAGGGGTCGAGTAGGGGGACGCTTGCCGCCGAGCGCCAGCGATGCCTCCATCGATTAATGCCCGTCGGAGCGACTGGTGCATCACTGAGGACGAATTAGACGGGGTGGTAGAGAATTGGTTGAAGGAGCGCTTCCGGTTGTTGTTGTTGTTGCCAGCAGCCGAGTTGGCTGCTGCGCCTGCACAGAGGCCGGGCGTTGAGAGCGGATTTGAGATGGGCATGCCGACTGACGGGGTACCGTTGCCAGCCTTGTTGCCGGCTGCTGCATTGGTTGCAGCTGCGGCTGCCGCAGCCTGTGCGATGCTCTTGGGACTGGACGGACTGCTGGAGTTGCTCGAGTCTTCGCTGCTCCCGTCATCGTTGACCATGCCCGGGGGTGTGTTGGAGCCAAACTCGTCGGTGTCGTCGAATCGGACGTGACACTCTTCATAGTGCTGAAGCAGGTCATGCAGGTCATCTAACTCTTGTCCGCAACAAGTAAAGTTGCGGCAGAATGTGGTCTCGAGCTTAGAGGAGAGCGATGACGGGGTGATGACTTGAGTCTCGGACCAGGTCGATGTGGCGAACTGTGCAATCGAGTAATCCATCATCCTGGAGGACGGGGAGCAAGATTGTCAGAAATCTATGAGACAACATGACTGAATGCTATGCGAACGGCTCACTCGTTGACGTCCTTGCCGTAGGACATGGGCGTGGAGCCCTTGTACGAGCCACTGCTGGCACCGGAGAGAAAGCGAAAGCTGGTGCCAAAGGGGCTCTTGCTGTACGAATTGCTGAAAGACATGGGGCACATGCCGGCGCCATAGCTGCCAGGACCGGCTCCGATGCTCATGGACATTCCCCCGTTATTGCTGATGGATGTGCTCATATTGGAGATGCTGTCGTTGCGGCGTCTCGAGGCGCCGTGCTGCGAGCCGTCACGTTGCGCACCGGCGTTACCACCTGTACAGATGGGAATCGGAATCGGCATAGTGGCGGCTCGATGAGAGTTTAAAGTGTGTCCGGTTTGTTTGCCCCTAAGATGTTGCACTTGAACGTCGGCGGACACTGTCGGTCCGCTCAGGTGGTAACACTTTCGCGCACACCAACACTCAATTTAAACCAACCCAAGCGTTAGATAACAGCGAGAGCACCGCTTGGAAACAGTGCGCCGTGGATGTATCGGATTGCTCGAGCCAGTAGGCCTGAAAGGCTATGATCTGATTGGCCTGTGGGTGAGAGGGATGGCCGGGAATGAATCCTTGGTCGAGTTTGGGCCGTGGCAGGTGGACCAAAAGGCTACGTTGAACAGGGAGGATGGAACTCTCCGTCTGCACTCGTATCGGCTACCCGTCAAGCGGCGGCGTTGGAAAGCCTTCGTGGCAGGTGCGTTGTTAGTGAATCTAGGGCGTCTCTTGCTCAGCAAGGTCGATGGATTCGTCGCTGCGTATATTCGTCGAAGAGGAGGGATGCTTGGATGGAGGTGCGTGTGTGCGACGGTGACGACGTTGGCTTCTCATCCATCATATGGGGAGATGGTTGGGTGAGGGCCACTTTCGACTTGCAACATCATACATACAGCTTGTGTCTGACGATTGCCTGTCGGCCACTGCACCACTGTCCGTCTCCGTCCGAGACATGAGACTGAGCGGGCTCATTGGCGTTAGTGATGATTCTTGGGGTGCAGACAGGTGCAGTGCCCTGCAGTATCCTTCCCGCGCCATGCAGTTCAGAGTATGAGGCGAGCGCGCGCCGGATGAGGGGCTGTGAGGCTGGTCATCGCCTAGAGAAACACAGTCGCCTGGAGCTTGCAAGGACGAGTGAGCCCGTCAGTCGGCCAGAGGCTCTCGTCTCCACCGCACACGTCTATTGCACCACACTCCTGTGGCAGAAGCAGGCACAGGAGCGCAGCACCTGCAGAGTGCAGCCTCGAGTTGAGCCACGCAGGTAAATACTTACATTAGGCTCGCTGAGCTGAGCCGCACACTGGTATAGCGAGAGAGTCTGTCCGATCAAGTTAAGGGGCAGACTCGTTCGGTATAGCGGCAGCTGATCAGGCGGCCACAACAAGCCGCAACAGAGCGCTCGCTCGCTCATCTTTCCGGTTGCTTCCACTCTGCAGTCCGCCGTCACACCTACACACATACAAGGGTAGCGCGAAACCCAGTCCGAGGCCAGGGCACCACACGGCTTTGACTCTAGGGTATAATGAGGGTGGGCGATGCAGCCACCACCACCAACTCAAACGAGCACCGAACTTGTAGCGGAGCCAAAAAAAAATAGAGTGATCCAGCGCTGTCCCCTCGAAACTCGTCACGCGGCAACTTCCGCTAGTGTTGGCATTTTCAAAAAAGTTGTCGGAACAGTTTCAAATGTGGAAATTGGCAACACCGAGCGACTCGAGACAGCCCAAGCCATCCATCAGCTCCCTTCGGGCGGTGAGAGGCGAGACCAGAGTGGAGGCCAAGTATGTAAGTGGACTCGAGCGTAAGTTACCCGAGTCGAAACTCGGGACTCGCACTGACCGCTGACTCGCTCGCGAAACAGTCTGGCCAGTTCAAACTTGTGCCGCACTGGCCTCGATTGTACGCGCCTGCGTCGCAGTGTGCGTCTGGCGTCCCCTTCGTCACGGACAGGATATCAATTGCCAGAAGTCCTATTGCGTTGTCGTGCAGAACGGAAATGATCACGTGTCCATACATTTAGGCCAGCCGCGGCATGAATCACACCTTATGCACATCCACCAGAGTCTCTCTCCCTTTTCGTCACATGCTTCGACGAGGCTATGTGGGCGTGCATGCTTCTCAGCCTTGTTGAATCTAGCCAGTATCCCCGGTCTTCGTAGAGTGCCTCTGCACATCTGGGATTGGTCCACTGTGAGCGCCGACGCTCGCAACAGTACGTCATACATACGAGTGGCAAGTCGTGGAATACCCTGATACCAAGCCTTAGCCCTGTCCGATCAAGTGTTTCAAACCAAAAAGCTCATCTCCGAAGGTGGTGTTGTAACGCATCCAACAAAATGTCGCTTGCGAGTTCGTGCGACCTTCCAAGCACATTGTTCACCGGACGTCTGGCGCACCCTACGTACGAACTTCAATCGCAAAAGGTCTTCGTCTCTACCCGCCAGTATACTACGTTGTCCTTTTGCTTGGGTGCTATGCCCGGACCCACGCCTGCTGCGCTCTGGTGCTTTTTACCTAACGTATCATACCCTCAACGGCCGTTGCGCTAGCCTGCCTATGCGTGTCGCATGATCTGAGGCAGCCTGTGTAATGCCTGATTTGATATAACTTGACGTGTCAGGCCGTGCCATCTGTCACATGTTGTTTGTGGGTTGGCTGGTAGTCCCTTGCCTGATGCCGAGTGCCGCTACAGGATGGAGGTAGCGCGAGCGAGTGTTTGCGACGCCACACTCAAGTTCGCTGACTTGCGACACGTTGCCACTCGCGGGGCCGGGGGTGCCGAACACAAATTGTCGCACTGGGTCTTACTGTGCGGACAGATGGGTTAGGTAATATTGAAGTAGCGGCGGGGATCTTCTTGCGGCTCGGAGGTCGCCAGTCGCCACCATGTAGGTTGGACTTGGAGCTCACGACATGCGGTGTCGGCTAGTGCTGGTTGGCTTATCTGTGCAGGCATTATATGTAACAACGTACCGCATTTGAGGCAGTCCACAAGTCCCCATAGGCTCCACCAACTTCGGACCGGCTTTCAACGACATAAGCAATGGCGCTCAAACCACTGTTTCCGGTGGGCCGGCGCCGGGACTAGCGATGGCCCGTTGCCGATCACAGGAGGGGTAGCTGGGGGTCTGTGATGTTTTGCACAGCTCAGTGCAAGCAACGACCAAGTGGTACATGGGATTGATCTCTGGCGGACAAGGACATCGCGGAAGATAGATTCCACATTGAGTATATGTAACACTATGTGCGTGTACGTCAAAGGCCTAGGCTGTCACGAAGCGGAGATGTCAGTGCCGCAGCTCAGTATCACTTTCAACGACCAGATTCGGATTCTGCAACATGTCTGCGCGCATGGCTAGCGAGTAGCAACCATCACGTACTTGAGAATTGCTAACATGTCATTTAGAAATGCAAAAAGGTTGTTCATCGGCACAGAAGCCATTGCTATGCATGTGTTGTGTTGCTCATGGCGATTATTGGTATCGTCACTCAGTCATTGAGATTGGAGCATCAAGCATCAGGCATTAGGCATGGTATGGCATGGAGCGGGCACTCGGCAAGTGGACGACGGGCTTGATGCCGTCCTAGTACAGTCTCTTCGAGAACCAAACCCCGTCAAACTAGTACAGTTTGCTCGCCACACGCGCGCATCCAGACCGCTGTATGAAGCTTCCAGACGCATGCTCGCGTTTCCCACCAGACTAAGGTTGCCGCGATTCGCAAGCGGCCCTGTTGAGTGTCGCAACTCGTATTGCCACTTCGTTTGCGGCCGTCGGTGTGACGGTGACAGGGGAGTCTGTCAAACAAAACAGCACGTTTTAGCTTGCCAGACGGCTTTAGAGAGCTGGAAGCTGCTGACAGGACAGAAGGCAGCAGGAGGCAGGGCAGACATCTCAAAAAAGGCTTGGCCGGGCGCTGGCGGAAGGATGGATCACCCCAGGGTCAGCACTACCCCGCACTCCAGTCTTCGAATTACTCGGAGTAAGCGCATCAACTGTTGCTGCAACAGTGCCCTGCAATGCCTCTTTGCATGTAGCGACGCATGTGGCCTCTGTGCCTGGTTCTCCACATGGGTGATTGCATCAGCTTGCACCTTTTCTCACCTCGCCTGAGTCAGTTCCTGTTTGTTGGAAGCCCCTTTGAGATTATAAGGTTTTTGGTACTTCGTTGTCGGAGCTTTATTATTAGGCACTCATAGCCATACGGGTTGATTTCGTTAGTCCTCAGCTTGCAGGGTCCTGCAGTTGGGAGTTGGGGCGACTACTTTGCAGCCTCGGGTGTACGCTATCTGGCGGCTGCGATCTGCATTGGCTGCCACGCGTCATGATCACATATGCCAGGGGACGGAGTAAGGAAACTGGAAAGCTACGCCTTTATACCGCCAGTCGTATTTATACCCGTGTTCCCTCTCGCATATACCTCGTGGACTGTAGACATCTGTATATTTGGATCTGCATTGGATCGTCAGCAGATCCCATCATCAGATATACTACAATCCCATCCCTGTTCATTCCTTCACCCTTCCCCTCTCCTCCACCATTCCCTTCTGCATCCTTTTCCTCCGTCCTCGAGCCCCTCCTCCCATCGCCTCCGGTTTGCACTCGCTGGCTCCTTCTCATTCAACATAACCTATTTCGTACGATGCAGCTCACCGCCTCCCTCCTCGCGCTCTTGACGATCGCAACGGGCCTCTCGTCCACGATGGGCACGCCGCTCGGTCTTGCGTTTCGGCGCTCGATTCACGACGAATTGTGAGTCGATATTGTGGCCGAGCGCAATGGGCAGCACTTACCAGGCCGCTCTCACCGATGTCTTGCACGCTTCTCCCTCATTTGTGACCTCGCATTGCCCACAGCTTCAACCCTCCGGCTGATTTCTCAGCCAAATCACATGGCAGCATCCTCAAGCATCGTAAAGTCGACGTCAGCGGCTTGAACATCACCGTTCCTGTCCATGCCGCTTACCAGCTGCTGTACAAATCGTGGGACCCGATCCTACACGAACCGTTTGCCACTCCTGCCACGATCATCGTGCCTGCTGGAAACAAGGCGGCCGTCGAGGGCAAAAGCAAGGAGAAGAGCGGAAAGGACAAAAAGAAGCAACTGAAGAACAAGATTTCGTTCCACCAGGTCGCTTACGACTCAGCGTACAAGGCTTGCGGACCGAGCTTCCAGCTCGCTAATGACTCTCATGGTGCGCAAAGAATTGGAGTTCCCGCTTCGGAACCTGTTTGTTCACAGATGTAACGTGTTCGTCCTGGTGCAGTTGATCCCACCGGCACGGACCTGCCCCTTGTGGAGCTCTTGCTCTCACAGAACATCACTGTCGTCCTTCCTGACTGTGAGTAGTGATTGTCTGCCGCCCCCCTTTACGCGCCGCTGCCGCTTGCACCGCCACCCTCTTGATTGACGTCAATCCTGCTCTTCTTATCTAGATGAGGGCCCTCGTGGTGCATTCAATGTCGGACCCGTTGAAGGGAACGGCGTGCTCGACGCCGTGCGCGCCGTGCTGGGCTTTTCGCCTGTCGTCCCCTGGCGCGAGGAGGCGGCCGTCGTGCTGGACGGCTACTCGGGCGGAGCGATCGCGACGGGTTGGGCACTGCAGCAGCAGAGCTCGTACGCACCTGAACTGATTCACAACATCAAAGGCGCGACACTTGGTGGTCTGCCGAGCAATGCTACGGCGGACTTTTTGAAGCTGGACGGTACTATCGCTTCTGGTCTTGTCGTCAGTGGGCTCACAGCCCAGTCTAACATTTTTGAGTGCGTGCATCTAGCTCAAGGTAAATTGGCAAAGGAAGAAGCTGACTAGTGCGTCACAATCCTCTGCCTGGCCGCATAGCTCCTTCAAGAAGTACTTCAAGCGCCACCTGAATGACGCAGGTCGCAAGGCGCTCGCGCTCGCTGAGAGCTCCTGCTTGACCGCAGACGAGGCGGTATACCCTCACGTCAAATTCTTCGAGACGTTCACCGACCAGACGCAGGCGCAGGCATTGCGAGACCCTCTGCTCACCTCTGCGCTTTCGCGCCTTGTGCTCGCAAAATCTAACAGCGCCGTGCCGCAGGTACCTGTCTTCCTCTACTCGAGCGAGGTGGACGACATTGTCCCGCACGAGGACTCGGTGCGCTACCGTGACTCAGTGTGCAGCCGCGGCGTCAAGTCGCTCGAGTTCCTTAACGTCCTTGGGACCAACCACACTGAGACACAGGCCGCTGTCTTCCCCCGGAAAGCGTACCCGTACATCCTGCAGCGCTTTGCAGGCGTACCAGCAACGCCAGGCTGCACGGAGAGCACATTTGATGCCTCGGGCCTCTGAGCTGCCCTTGCAACTATGTTTTGTATCTTGGCGCAGCGTGCGGACCGCGCTCGTTGCAAGCGGAGGTCCCTCCGGCTTGAAAGTCGATGGAACGATCAGACATTCACCTCTTTGCTTTTAACATGGACGATGTAAGGGAACGCTGTAATGCAGGCAGGCATTCACACCATCAAAACTTTTACAAAATTAGCGATGTCGCTGATTACTTCTGCTTCCCAAGCTCGTGCTGATGACCCTGTGAACATTGAGAGCGTACCGCCCATGATGAATGCCTCTTGTGCAGCGTCTGCGTGATGCACCATCTATGTCGTCGTGCTGCGCATTCTGCAGCTTGCATACGTGAACAGGGCTCGGAGTCATACATTGGTCGCAGCTCTTCAGTCTCATTTGATGCTACTACAATCCATCCAAATGAAAGGCAACCCTCACTTTGCTGGGGACAGTCTACGCCTGCCGCAGTGCCTCCACTACTCCACAGCTTCATCATCGTCCCCAGTCCTCCACTCCAGCCAGCCGCACGAATGCGCAAACCACAGTGCAAGCAAGATGAGCAGGACAACCGAGGCTGCACAAGCGACCAAGATCCACCTCTGGAAGGCGCCTTGTTCCTCCCACCACCGCTGTCGCTGCTGCCTGCGCTCCTCGACCTGCTGTGCGTGCTGCGGCAGCAGCGTGGGCCCCGCGAGCGCGCGGTAGCCGTACGGGTCCAGCGAGTCGGCAGAGTCGGCACTGGTGCGCGAGCTGGCTCGCAGCCGCTTATCGCGTGCTCGAGTCCGTCGCGAGCCTTGAGCGTCGCTGTCCACTCCTGTGATTGCGCCGTATTGCCCACTAGCAGCTCGTGTCGCACCCACACCTACAACTACACTGCTACCCTCTTTCCTTGACTTCGCCAGCAACGCCTGTCGTTCCATGATCCCACTGGCCTCCGCGACATTCGCTTCCTCCTCCGCTTCCTCCCTCCTCGCTTGATTCCAGCGCTGGACAAGCCATCGCGGCCCGCTGACAAGTGCAGAGACGGCGCGCAGAGGCGCCGAGCGCGCCGTCGCGTAGTCAAAAAAAGCACATGTGCCGTCCTCAGTTTGCCCCGGTCCGCCGTAATGTGAGCTGGGGGCCTGCGCAGACGTCGAGGCGGGGTGTGGGAAGGGAAAGGAAGTGAAGAACTTGGATCGCTGGCACTTCGATGGCTCGATTGGTACGCCATAATCTGAGTCTGCGTGAGCAATAGGCCGCGGAGGTTCGTTCGCCGCCATTGCAAATTCGAGGTTCGCAACAAGCTGTGGACTTGCTCTGCTTCCTCGCCGCTTTGTAGACACTGTGCTCGGGGATGCGGTGCGGCTGCTTGATCGCGGCTCGCCTCTATTCCGCGACTTGCTTTTGGTCGGCGTCAGGATTGGCATAATGTAGCTGCTTCGGCGGCTGATTTGTTGACGCGATGTTGCAACCATGTGGGGAGGTGGCCATGTATTTTCTGCAACTTTGCTCGATGATGTGGCATATGCCCGACTGTCCCCCGGCTCGCCAACCCGTTCGCTCGCATCGAGAAAGATGACACTCGATTGCCTGCTTGGGAAGCGTGCTACGGATGCGGGGCCGATGCTGTATTTGTATGCCTGCCCCAGCGCGGCAGGGCCGATGCTACTTTCCGAGACTTTGCGTGAGCGTGCCGATTCTGGTTCCACAGCAACCGCGTTGGCGGTGGTGGCAGCGGCGGCGAAGTATGATGAAGCGGAAGCAGAGGCTGAATCCGAAGCTGAAGCCTCGGTCGTGGTTGTCGCAGTAGATGGCCACGCAGCCTTTTTACTATTTGCAGCCGGCGTCCTCGCTCGCGTCGCTGCCCCAGACGCGGTGGGCATCGTGAATCGAGAATCCTCCTGCTCCTTCGCCCAGGGCCCTCTCGCGCCCAGGGCCGGCGCGACAGCTCTGCTTGGGCTCTGTCAGGTGCTTGTTCAAGATTTCGTGTCACTGACCGCTGGCGGGCTGTGGGGATCAATAGTGACTGGCGGCTAGGATGAGGACGACAAAGGAGGCTACTTGACTATTGAATAATTGAGCTCGAGTGTTGGCTGTGGCAAAAACGCTCTCACTATCTCAATCTCATCTCTCAAGCGAGAGCACTGAGAGCGGAACGGCATCTTGCACACTGCAGACCATCAAAGCGAAATATCAACTTTGCCAAACCTAGAGAGAGACATTAGAAGCACGGTTTCAAGTGGATGGATCTTCAGCGCCACGCTGTAACGAGCAGTATCAATATCGGCAGCTCAGAACTCCTGTGGAATCGCTCATCTGAAGGGCGATAAGTTGGCTAGCGGGGAAGGCGCGTGCTCTGGATCCTCGTTCGCTACAAATCAAGAGCTGGCCCTCCGTCGTGTGGTATGTCTCCTGGAGGAAGCTCATGAGCAGACAAACAAGCTCTCTCGTTTGTGAAGTCGATACTTGCACGGTCAAAACAGAAAGGGAAAACGACTTCGATCCGCTAAAATCTTCCTGAATCACCTAAGGGATCAGAACGTAATTGGATAACATCTAGCTCGGCAAACTGCATTAGGCAAGGTGTCAATATGGTAGAGGACGACAACAGTGGCGCTGCCGGCATGGAGGCACTAGGGCTCCCTTCCTCCTTCTCTTTTGGCGGCAGCGGCCCTTCAAGATCCAAGGAGCACGGCTCCGGATTACAGCAGACAGATGCGCCTAACGCGCGTTCGCAGCCACGGCATGAGCGCGGCGGTGGGCGAGGATCTGGGCGCGGGCGAGGCGGCCAAGCGCAACAAGGGGTTGGCAGCAGGGGCCGAGGTGGAAGAGTGGGTGGGAGGTCTCACAGTGCCGGGCAAGCGGGCCCAGGCCCAAGGGCAGGTGAGGGAGGTGGAAGAGGAAGAGGCATCGGTCCTGGCAACCTTGTGAGTCGGCAGGGGCTGCCATACAGCACAGGGAGGAGGAATTCTGCTGCACATGCTAACCGTGGCACTGCCTCCTACTATGTACAAACCAGAGATACGTTATGAAAAGCGACTTGCAGCCTAGTACGGAGCCAGGTGCGTCGCGCAAGAAGAACACTTCATCTTGACCTTTCTTCAGCGGTGCACCATTGCTGACGCGTTTTGCCCGCGCACTTTTCCCGGCTTTTGGTCACAGTGGTCTATTTCAGCCCGCGGATGCTCGAGGATCCTTGGGCGAACGTGCTGTTCAAACAGTCGGGCTTGCACAAAGGCAAAGGCCGAGCCGAACCCGGCGGGGCCGATGTCGGTCCCGCACAGCCCAGGCGAGACGGCCAGAGTCACAGCAACAAAGCGGGGCTACCGTCGCAGGCTGCTGCGTTTGAGCGCGCAGCGACCAGGAACGAGGAGGAGATCGAAATTAATTTGTCGGATCTCGATGTTGATGGTGAAGGGGATAGTGTCGGACCGCGAGAAGGCGAGCTTGACGTCCAGAGCAAGGCAAGCGGAGGCGATGGCGGCCACGTCCCCCCGTGGACGAACGAGAGGATAGACGCGGGGAGTGATGATGATATTTTGTAGCAAATGTGGAAGCGTGGTCACAGGCCAACGGTTTTGGTTCCCCTCCCCTTTCCGTTGCCACGACCTCTGTCGGGTATGTCTGTGCACCCCATCGTTCATCAGCGCACACAAGCACGTGCAATGAGCGCCGTGGACGTCACGGGCCACGTCGATATTTTGGAGACATGATAGTAGCCAACCCTAACTCCCTCGGTCGCCCAGCTCGGTGCGGACGGCAACCCCGCAAAGAGGTATCTTTGCAGATTGGGAGGCACTGTGCGAGTCGAGTCAAGCCTTGGCTCCCGCCCCGCCCACTAAGGCTCATCTCTTTCATGGCCAGCATGTGCTATACCAGTATGTATCATTCCAACCTGGCTGGGGAATCTCCTGGTAACCCAGAGACTGGCACAGCGCCTGCCTAGGTGCCCATAACCCGAGACCCCGCCTGCGGCTGATCCATCCATCGCCCAACCCCCAATCCACCGCTCATCCATCTATCTGTCCAGTCGAGATCCAAGTCCCCCCTCTGTCCGTTCCTTTGGAGCAACCTGTTGTCAGCCGTGTACGCTTCGTATCATCAGCGCAAAGAGAAATCATCTTATGCGGGGCGTGCCCTGCGCTCCATTGCGCTTCGTTTCCCTTCGCTTCTTCTCTTCCGACTCTCGCTCCCCGCGTGGCCGCATCTCTTTCTCCAAAGCACATCACTGTGGAGACTGCAGGCCGAACAGGGAAAGGAAAAAAAGATCGATAGTCGTTGCAAACCATGTCGAAATTTGTGAGTGTCCCATGTGTTGTCGTCTTCCGGCTGCCACCCCGTTCGCCAGCACTGTGCTGACAGTTCGTCCGACCGCGCGGCGCCGTCCCCCCTCCCTGCTCTCGCACGTGCACCGCCAGTCCTCCAAGGGAGAGCAGTACGCTGCAGAGCTGGCCAGCGCGCGGCTACGAGGTGAATGGGCCACCTCCGAGATCGGCAATAGCAGCACAAGCGCAAGTGGAGGTAGCTCATCCGCTGCTGTTGCTGCTGCTAGCGGCAAGAAGACCGCCGAGTGGTCCGAGCTGCTGCGTAAATTCATCAAGCACAACCCCGACAGCAAACGTGAGTTCTCTATTATTCCCCTTTCGCCTCATTTTGGTTAGGCTCGCTTGGCTTCCGCGCCCCTGATGGCATGCAGCGCGAAGCTCGGCTCGGATCATGGAGGCTGGCCGGCGGGTCTGCAGGGAAAGCCAGCGACAGCGAGGGACTGAGACCTCTCTCGGCTCCCATCGCGCCGCATATATACTGCTTAGAATCAAGTTTTTGAGCCGGTGCGGCTCAGAGCTCACCATCTTCTTAAGGACATGTTCAGCGCCACTGCGTTCCATGTGGAATCCATTCTTCTCCGCAGATTGAACATGCGCTGATGGCTGCTTGACTCGAATTTCCTCGCCATTACATGCACCATACGCACACTCACACGCATCGCGCCCAGTGGTTGCCGATGTGGCTGCCGCTGAGCAGGAGCTGCGGGTGCAGCTCGCCACTTTCTATGCCTCGCAGGGTTACGGCGATCATTCGCACGCGCAGGACAGCGCTGCGCCGACGCATAAGGACACGACTACCTTCCCGCCCGTCGCGTCCGACTCCGTATACGCGAGCAGCATTGTGCGGGCCGTTGAAAAGCTCGCGATGCTACAGCAGCAGCAGGCAAAGACCGAGGTTCAGCGCAACGCCATTGCGCCGATCCACGCACTCGGATTGCATGCGCTCGGCAGGGACGAAGACGCCGTTGCGCTCCTGCACGACGCCCGCTTCATCGAAAGCTTGCAGATTGATGATCTCAAGGACGTCAGGAACAGTGAGGACTACACTGTTGCGCTGCTCATGATGGGCTTCGTCGTTTATGGTGAGTGATGCAAAGTGCTTAAATTTCCTTCCCCCTCCTCACCAATCTTTCCTTCCTTAATCGCTCGCAGGCATGGCAAACGAGCGGCTGCACCACGCGGACCCCAGCGCGGGCTATGCGCCGTTTGCGTTCGCGGGCTACGCACGCGCGATCGACCTGCATGAGGGCGTGCGTGGCGGCAAGGCAGCGAATGCCCTGCGCGGGCTGTCGGCGGACGAGATTGAGCGATGGGCCGAGAATGCGCTGTATCGCAATGCGCTGCTGAGCGTCCGCGAAGGGTGAGTCTTACCTGACAGTGTCAGAGCTGGGTTGAATGCTAGCGCTAGGGCCATGGCTAGGATATCAGCTGACCCAACCTGTTTCGCGCTTCCCACTCCACTACATTCCATTCCACCCGCCCTTCCTTGCTCATAGCGACATGACGCTCGGCTTGAACGCCCTGCGTGCCTACCAGGCACACGCTGGCCGCTGGCCGAGCGACTTCCGCATCGTCCAGCGCTCCGTCATTTACCGCACTTATCTGCAGGCGCTCAACCGTTCTGTCGAGGAGTCCAACTACCTCGAGCCGCCCTCTCTGCCGCCCAAGTCGACCAACGACCCGCGCTCGCAGGCGTACCAGTTCAATGTTGTGCAGGCCGTCGCTTCGCGCGTGTCCGTCCGCAACTTTGCCAGAGAGCGCACGCGGCGAGACTCCCAGAGGCCCGTCACGCCTGGCGTCACGAGTCACGCAATCACATCGCGGACCGTCTCGACACGCCGGCCGAACAAGCACCTCGCTTTGAGGCCCGGTAGCACCGTCTGGTCGAACGAGATGCTCACCGTGTCGCTGCTCGCGTCCAGCGCCATCAAGCGCGGCTCCGCCTTCCCCAAGGCGGGCCGGCTGAACGCTGCTGCGCTCGACCTCGCCGATGCGCTCGTCCGTGGCTGGGAGCTTGACGGCGAAAAGGGCGGCGCCGACGCGGACGAGCTAGCGCAGACGCTCTACACGCTTGCCAAGCTCTCGTTTGGATCGCAGCGTATTGCCCGAAGTCTCGTGCGCGTCCTCGCCGCTGCCGAGCTCTACGACGAGGCCAAGCTCGCGCTCGAGCTGTATGTTAAGCTCGTCGACAAGTCGCGCCAAGCTGACGCCGCGCAGAGCGACGCGCTCGCCAGTGAGACAAGCGAGGGAAAGAGGGTCAACGGCGGCGGCGCTCCTGCCACTGCGAATGGGATGGTCAATGGAACGGAAAAGCACGCAAAGGACCTCGCGCATGACGCCGACGATGCTAAGACGTACGTGTGCATGCTGGCTTTCGGCTCGCGGCTGTGCTGCAAGTACCTCTGTGCCTTTGCGGACGCAGACAAGTTTGCGCGCAAGGCGCTGGAAATTGCGCAGAAGGACAAGCAGCTCTCGGACAAGGCGGCCGTTCCGAGCCTGCTCGCGCAGCTCAAGCGCGTCGCAGGCACCGCACGTTCGGCGCTGGCCATTGCGGAAGGGAGCCCGTTGACGCGCTCGCAGACGCAGCAGGAGGCGCTCGCGCTTTTGTTGGAGGCGGCCGACCTGGACGCGCAATCGGCAGAGACCTTCTACCACCTTGCCTTCGTCCAGGCCGAGCTGCGTGACGTTGCGGCCGCCACCGTTAGCGCGCGACGTGCCGTCGAGCTGGAGCCTGCCAGCATTGAGCCGTGGCACCTGCTCACGCTTTTGTTATCCTGTAACAAAGACTATAAAGGCGCATTGACACTCGCCGAAGTGGCGCTGGAGCAGGCGGAAAAGGACGATGGGCATGATCAAAGCTTTACCACTAAGGAAGGCCTGCAGTCGCGCGCTGTCGTCAACGGCGTCTCGGTCGCAGGGCCGACAGAGGTGCGCACCGCACTGCTCAGCTACGACTACCCGCCGCGCGGGTCCGAGCGCGCCGAGTCGATCCTTCGCTTGCTGACGACGCACAACGCGCTTGAGGAGGTAGTCGAAGGTACAGAAGCAGCCATTGAGGGCCAGAAAGAGATCTTTACTTTCTTCCACGATCGCATCGCTACCGACGCCACGCTTCGCAACGCGAGGGCCGGTAACACGACGCTACCCAAGACCAACACTGTGTCATCTGCTAAGATGGACAACGACTACGGCATCTCGACGCAGAAGCGCAGCAGCAGGCTCTCGACATTGCTGCACATCCATTCGCCGAGTGTACATGTCAGTGGAGTTGCAGCTGTTCGCGCGGCATCGGCTGCTCCTGACGCCAGGACTGCCACGCTCGAAGGTGGCACGCGGTATGGCACCGTCACCGGGCTCGGGCAGAGCGGGGCGTGGAACGTCCGCTCCACCACGCTTTCGTTGAATGCTGTTACGTTCGGCACCCGCTCCTCCCGTGCGCTGACGATTGCGTTGCCGCCACCCGCCGCCACGGATGTGTCTGCGGGAGATGGAGAGGACTGGTCGCCGGAATCGCAGCGTTTCGCGCTGCACGCCAGGCGCGAAACCGACATGCTGTCATCGCTCTGGCTCATGAGCGCCGCGACGTTCCGCAGGGCTGGCAAGCTGAGCGAATGCCGCATCGCAGTGCAGGAAGCGGAGCGCATCGCTCCGAACAATCCAAGTGTCTGGCTGCAGCTTGCGCTTTGGTTCGTCGAAAGCGACAACATCGGCCTTGCCACTTCTTCGCTGTACAAGGCCCTGGCGTGCAAGGGCGACCACATCGCATCCTCTGTCCACCTTGCGCGCATCTTCCTCTCCAACCCAGACAGCATACCGGCTACGAGCCACGACAGCTCGGCGTTTACCCCTTCTGCGCAGATGCCCACACCCGTTCCTCGGCCAGGCGTCAAGCACGACTTCCTCGACAGCCCGCAAAGCCGCAGCATCGGCGTATCGCCCAAGGTGAAGGATTACAGCCCTGGCGGTAAGGAAACACACTTCAAAAGTACAGCTGAAACGACGGCTAGCCGCGAGACGAAGAAGCTCACTGCCCTCAGTCTGGCGGAGGGACTGCTGAACACAACAACCGCCTCGAGCGGCTGGGACGTCCCCGAGGCTTGGCTGTTCATCGGCCATGTGGCGCAGAAGACCGGTCGTCCAGAGAGGGCTGCAGAGTGCCTGCGATATGCCCTTGCACTCGAAGAAACAAAACCGATTCAACCGCTCAGCATCGCTCTCGAGCGAACAACATGAATCTTGATCTTATCTCTTCTTATAATGCAACGGCCTCTCGGGATGCTGCATAACGGATACCATGATAATGTATGGCTTGCCTAGAATTGTCAACTTGCTTAGTGTACATCGTGAATTTGCATGCGTTGCTGCGGCAGCATTGGCCGACCAACATTTAACGGCGCGCGAGAGCAATGACGAGGTCCCATCCAAAGATGATCTTCTTGATTTCCAGCAAGCGCTTCATCTCTCGTGTCGCCACTCCCGACGCGCCCGTACCGACGTCTGCAAAGAAACGCCGCAATTCAACGGCAATTGCATCTGGAGAGCTGAGCCCCGTCGTTGATGGTGGCAACAGGACAAAGTCGGCTGGTGACTGAAGGCTCCTAACGAGACTACCGAGTAGGAAGAAAATCATGGCGACGAGAATCAAAGTGCTGATGGAATAGGTTCGAGTTTGGAGTCCTTCCATTAGACTGTGCAGTTGCTGCTGTGGTTCCATCCCTCCTGCTGTTGCAGTAATGGCGCCTTCTGCGGCCTTGCTACCATCTGATGATGTGGAGTGCGTGGTGGTGCCCGATGCCATGCTGGTAGTAACACCGGTAGTGGTTGCGCTCAGCCGGGTGAGTGGGTAATTGTTAAGAATGTTCATGATTTGTGTCGTTGCAGCTGTTACTGGGTTCTCGCGGGTGAGACTGCTCGCAGCTTCGTCAGAGGCGCCTATGGTGTGTCCATCGAGAACTGGAGTCGAAGCCCCAGGGGTATCGGGTTCTGCTTTGACGTCCTGAGCAAAGCTTGGCCCTTTGAGCGCAGTAGGTTGAATATGAGACATGGGTGGGGTTTTCAGCTCCATGTTTGCAGCGATGGGTTGTGCCAGTAGACTTGGCACATATGGAGCATCTCCGTCCGATGTCCTGGGGACAAGGTGGCGTCAGCAATCAGATATTCCAAATGCAGATCATGTAGCCTGCACTCACTTGCGGAGCACAACGACCTTGTCCGAATCTCGGTCTTCGCGCTGTAGCATCGCTGATGTCTGATTGACGTGAACAACCTCAACACGCTCCCCAAGGACCGTGAATATCCCTTCCACTGGTGTAGAGCTACCGGAGGGTGAAAGCTCCTCGATTCCACTGAACTCAGACTGGCTTCCCGGTTTACAGTCGATAGCAAAGCTGAAAAGTGCCTGTTCGTTGTTCAGACGCTCTCGAATCGAGGGGCCCTCGGTTGTGGAGAACTGCTCTTCTGCCAAAACGACACGAACAAGGTGACATCGAAGCCTTGCGCCAGGGTCCAACGTGGCAGCAAGCAGGGCAGATGGTGGTAGGTCGTAAATCAGGGTACGGAGCGCGATAGAATCGCCAGCTGGTAATTCGTCCCGCAGGTCCAATACTGACTCTTTGCTGGGCGCTGCATCGCCTTCACTGGATGTGCTGGCCCTGTTTAGCTCAGGAGACGACTTCCCTGATGAAACGAACGCGGCCTTGCAGTCGACATTGTACCCATATGGAAAATGCTTCAATTCCACTTCAACCTCAAAGAAGACATCGGACCGCCGTGGATCTCTTCTTGCTGAAGCTGCTCGTCTAGCCTCGCTGACGGCACTGGACAGCGAGGAGATGCTAGTTGTGCGAGTGACACTTGGCTCGGTCCGCTGATGGACTCCCAGGGCCTGATCGAGTTGTGGACTGTTGGAGAGAGATGGTGGTTTCGAGAGGGTTGCGGCAGATTGGGCTAAGCCACGCTCGGTGGACGCGTCGGAGAGTGCAGCTGCTCGAGGTACATCGCTCGGAAGTGGACGAAGCAGCGCCAATGCCTCGTAGCGTCGGCTGACCGGATCGAAATCGCTTCTCAAAAGAATCTTGCGAAGGCCTGGGTCATGAGCAACCCATGCAGAGTCTGCAGACTCGTCCGTTCCATCACCAACGACTAGCAGGCATGGGGGCGGCTTGATGCTGAAAGGTGCTACACCTTCCTTCTTTAGCACTGCTTCGAAGCTGTCCACAATGCGCGGCAACGGAGCGTTCCATGATGTGTTCACCGCGCTTGGAAGTGATCCGGCGTAGTCGATGGCAGTGACATGGGTGCATCGCGTCGAGGGAATCTGGTTCGTCGACGAGGCGTATGGGTCGAGCGTCTCCAAAATCCATCCATCTATAAGCACCTTGCCAACCGGAAGCCCTGTAGGATTGAGGCGGGAAGAAGGGAACTCGACGTTGCTTTCGGCGTACGAAGCTGCAGCATAGAAGTACGCCACAGGTTTGGACACTGATATAACGCGGGATCCTTCATCTTCTTCCTCTTGAGGTGCGGTCCTTGCAGTCAGATGGGCGACGTGGAAAGCCCTTCCTCGAAATGGGAATGAGGGTTTGGTCTTCATGTGATATGTCCCAGCTCCGTGACCGTAGCTTTCCAGACGGACGATGCTTTCGATCCTTTCATCGCAGCGCTTCTTCATGTCAAGCGAAGAGACGGCATGTAGCAGGTCTTCTGCGGCCAGGCCTTGAACCACCTTGTCGGCTCGCTGTATGAAGACTGTGAGAGAGATTGACTGCATGAGTTTGCGGCGAACGTGGACACCGTTGCGCTCCGACACCAATGTCCAACCGGCGGGTGTCACTGCTGGGTCGGGACTGCGCTCCGCGTAAATGCGCCGTAGGAGAAACAGAACGTCGAGAGGGCCAGTCATTATATCATTGTCTGAGCGTTTCGTGCTCGCAGGCGCGACTTCAACAGAATGGGCTGGAGAGGCGGCACGCTCGCTGATTGTCGCGCTTCTCGAGGGCGTTTCAGGCGGCATATCTGTAGAAGGTGTCAACGCCGGGCTCCCTCTTACCCTTGTGTTGTGCGTGGCGAGATACGCAGGCGATGTGAGATCCAATGGCACCCGTTGCGGCCTGCTGCGCTTCGTTCTGAATAGCTCTTGCATGTGAGTGTCGTCCAGCTCATCCTGGTCGACTTTGATAGACGCGCCATTGACCAACACTAGCCCTTTTTGTGTTCCCATATTCCCTTTACGCACAATGATGCGTGCCGCGTCATCTTCCAGCGAGGCAGAAGCGTGTTCGATAGTGAGCCAGAGACCACCTGCCCCCTGGCCAAGCCTGTGTCTTCGGAGACAGCTGACGTTGATCGGAGGGGGGTCGATGACGAGGTCCAGATTGGGGCTCCATGTCTCGACATCGCAGCGTAGCTCGCATTCGACGTGCGGAAGATCTTGAAGGTCATCTGATCCCTCGAGCTGAGTCATCTCGTACTCAAAGCGATACTCTGCCTTGTCGTGTTCGTACTTGCTGCTCTTGGCTTTGGCACCCAGGAGTCGGGTGACAATCGGGGGGCCGCCGAATTTGATTGCGTAGTCACCAACGCCAGCTACGGCTGCAGTCATACAGGATGGCACGGCCGATTTGCTCGTCCATCCCTTCGGATCGCTCTGCTCAAGGAGTGTAACGTGCACTGTGGTAGGGCTGAGGCTCTCCACCGACCAGCCACGGAGATCGATTTGTGTCCGGATCGTTGTAGCTGGTACAGCTGGAATTTCTGGAAACAGCGCTCGGTCATCGGTTGAGAAGGCAAAGATGTGGACAGAAGAGGTCGACTTGTACGATGTTTGAAGCGTCACATTGTCGCGGGCGCTGCAGAATCAGAGAAAAGAAACGAACATCAGCCGTTAGGCCAGGTCTCATGGTGACCGTGCATGAACGCTCACCTGACAGGCCACGCAGCTTTCGTGCGATCCCACCACAGACTCGACAGGTCATTGACGTCTGCCAATAGTTGAGAATCTTCCAACCCTTTATCCCAGTGCTGTCGGGCACCCGGAGTGTTGATGGTAGAGAAGAGGCCCCAGACTCCAACACCAACGAAGGTTGCTTCCGCTCGGTATACCACTAGAGTGGGGTCAATTGAGTCCAGTTGCGTGACGGTTACACCTCGCGAATCGCTGACCCTTTTCCATTTTGCTTCAGGCTCTTGGAGCAGACTTGTAAAGTAAATGTAGTTTCGCCGGATCAAAGAGTCTATCGCATGGGACACGTTTGCTGCTCGACCACTTTCGGACATTGTCGGTTTCATCTGCGACGAGTCTGCGGCTGTGGTGCCATTTGAAGCGATGCTGATCCCTGAAAGGCTCGCTGCATCGTCCAACACCCCCGCTGGTGCCGCCCTCGGACACTTCGGTTCAGCCAGATTGACTTGCGTGACATCACCGTTGACTCTGATATCGTTGCTAGCAGCCACACGTTGAATTGTAATTGACGCGCGTGCAACATCTTCGGCGGACGGTATCTTTCCGTGATGAACTTGAAGATTGAGCCTTGTCGAACCCTTTTGGCGTTGCACCACCGCTCGCCAGTCAGGCGTGGTCGCAGTGCTAGTCGCAGCGGGTCCGTAGGCTCGAACTTTGATCTTAACATCCCATCCTTCGGCTGCGGACATCCCAAATCCAATCACTGGTCCGGTTTGGCCATGTTCTGGTTCTGAGGCGGCGTCCCTACCTCCCAGATCCTCCCCCACTATACTGTAGTCGACAGCGAGCGTGTCCCGTGATGCATCGAACGTCAAATGCTCGACATCAACCCCAGAATCGAAATGTCGTAGCGTGGGTATTCTGCTACTTTGTTCGCGCACATACGTTACGAGGTGCCGCAACAGAAGTTGCAGTTGATTGCCTAATCCACCCGTTGGTAAGCCGAGCCACGCTCCCTTCAGATTCCAGCTCCAAAATGCTGTAATCTTGATCGACTCATCTCTGCCCCTAGTCGAAGTGGATGATGGTAGCTGTATGCACCAAGCGGATATGTGCACATGAGATCGAACATACGGCGGAGCTGGCCGCAGATAAGCGGGCGCATCCGGCGACGCACGCAACGATGTGGTCACATCGATTAGGGTCTTGTCATCTTCGATTGTTCGGGAGACGGTGATAGCGTCCCGGGGGCTAGCTGGCCAGCCGAGGCGAAAGTTCGTCTTGGTCACCCTCGTAACAGGGTCAGGCATCTCAATCAACTCGGAGCTCTCGACAAGACCGTCCCATTGTGACCGGGCATCTGGGGTAGTAAGGGCGCTGCGGAAGCCTTCCAAGTCAGGACTATCTCCTTCAAACGGAACTTCGAATGTGGCCCGAAAGACGTCTGGACCTTTGCGGTGGGGATTTGAGCGGCGGTGTACAATGATCCGAGAAGCTTTCTCAAGGCCGCAAAGCTGGAAAGTGGCCATTTGCTGGTCCGAGGCCCTCCCATTTTCTGATGTTGGGAAAGCCACTGCAGACGGATCACTGGCTCCCTCCTTGTCTTGTTCGATCTTTCCAGATTGCCGAAATACTGTTCGTGCTGAGCCTGTCTTGGCCAAGCTGATACCACCATCGATCGCAGCTAAAGGGTAAGAGTTCGAAGCTCCCTCTTGAGCGCCCGTAGCGCTCTGTAAAACCACTCGCTTCCATGCCGAAGAGGTAGAAGATACTGCCAGCTTCTGAAAGAGTGAAATCGCTTCTTGGACTATCGCCTCCCTCTGCGCAGCAGCCCTACACGAAGGTTCAACCACATAAAACAGCTCAGCCCCGACTCGCTTCTACCGTTGAGGTGGCACTCGTGCCGCGCCCTTTCGCCATGCTCACCTCTCGACATCTTCCATGACGTTCAACGTCCCAAAGGGGACACACTTACAGCGACCCTATGTCTGCAGCATTTGTTTTTCGGTGAATAGATGTCTGCAGCGAACACCGCATCCAAACACAGTGTGAACAATGCTCAATCTAGTACCCTGCGCTCAGCAACGGCGCTGACAAAGCGCCTACCAAGTCGGCTTGCTAGAAAATCCCAGCGCGTTTGATGGATATTCTGAAGTGCGGATCTGAGTTTAGAGTGGGGCTCGCGAGCTTGATGGAGATCCTACGTCGGATGCGAGGTCAGAGTACAATGATGGTGCGAATGGTGATGTCTTGATCATCCGCATCACACATATTTTGTGAGCCGATGTGGCCGTGTTTGTAGGCCCGCAGGACTCTCGCCGCGCTGTGGGGAATGAGAGTGAGAGCCAAACTCGCGCAGTGGACTGGGAGCCGAGCTGACGCGTGTTCCTCATCAGTTCTCTAAAAAGGAACTCGTATCCCATGCTCTGATTCCCATGTAGCTCCCTCACGTCAAACACTTCCCAATCATACCCTTCACAATTCACGGCTCCAGTTGCAGAGGTTTACTGTAAGCGACTGTCGACTTTCGGCAGCTCTGCTAGTCTGCCCGCTGCTCAGATATGCAGAGGAGTCGAACTGGCCGGCCGGATCGTGTGAGCCTTCCCTCTTCGACTCTTGATGAGGAACGATATCGGGCCTTGCTCTCTGAAGTGCTCCACGAGTACTTAAACCCGGATGTGATCGACGCAAATACCCTCATCGCGACGGTCGATTACGTCGTTCAGGAGAAACAAACAAGCACGAATAGATGTTTTAGCTCCTCCCCAAGATCCCATCGAGGGCCAAATGGTTGAGAAGTTGAACCTGACTTTGCCAGAGTTTGAGTTACAAACTCTCTACTCTTCGCACCTTAGGCCCTCGGCAACCTGCTTCTAATCGATTAAAGCAAAGCGTTATTGGTAGTTGCAGAGGTTCTGGAGGGCTATTTTGCGTACTCTAAGCGTGACGAAGATGCAGCAGATGCTGCCATTTGCCAGCGAAGGGCTCGGCAATGACGTATTGGGAGAGTTCCAGCTGTACTGACGCATGAGGCCGCTTATCGAACACCACCTCATACCGCGCACCCTACACGCCGCATTTCTTCGCAAAGGAAGGGCGACCCTTACATTCTTACGCTCCAAGGGAAATATTGCTATGCTCTGCCGACCTTGTCACTCTGAGGTTCACAGGCAACTTCCGAGTGAACTCAGAGAATCCTACATTACGCCGGGCAGTCTCCCGACCCATGGTATCCTCAAGTGGGCGGCATATGCTAGCAAGCTTAAGGACAGGGCCACCTTGTATTCAAGACTACGCCTGAAGGACAACCGATGACGACAGCTAAGTGGGAATGCAAGTTCGTCTGGTCGCATGCCGCAGTGGCGGCCAATATGATGCATGGTGCAGAAATACAGTGTTCGGGACTCACAAAGCCCCCCAAAGCTGCAACGCAAAAAGTGAACGTCAGCGTCGCATCGAACCCACTGTTGACCATAGGGTGTATTACTCACCTTGAATGTACGCGCCCATTCTCCACTTGCCAAGTATTGCCGATCTGCCAAGACGAAGCGTGTCAGCATCATTCCTGCACGCGGTATACGCAAGCCGACCAAATATCCTTCTTCTACGCCGCGTCGAGCAACGAAGACCTGCGGCCCAACGCAGCGGCAAGCACTCAACGCCAACCGCGCAGAGCCTCGATGCTGCTGACGCGGGCAGGAATGGCTAAGCTCTGGTCTCTAGCCGAAGAAGTGGAAGACCGAAATAGCGTTCCTCACCTGATGAAATGTCGACGCTCATGACCTTGCCCGCATCACCGCTCAAACTGCGCATTAGCTGCCAATCATCGGCGCTCCAGACTTTGAGAAATCCGTCATACCCAGCTGTAGCTAAGTAGAGTCCCGAAAGCGTGAGTTGGGGTTCTTCATTTGCTGAAGATGTACCATTGAGTGGCGCGCTGCTCAGATCGACATCCATCGCACCCTCTCCCCCGTTCTTGCTTTCTCTGGGCGCAGCTCCATTGAACAAGCCGAAACCGAGCAGTTGTCTTCGTTCTTCTGCCGCTCGGAAGAATCTCACGTCAGATACCGAGCTCTTGTGTGCCGGAATGGTGTAGATGGTCTTGAGGGCTCGCATGTCCCATATTCGCACAGTGTCATCACCGCTGGCTGTCGCGCACTGGTACCCGTTGGGAGAAAAGTCGATGGAGAGAATTTCCTTTGCGTGCCCAGCTAAGACCATCGCTGTCCGGCCTGTTCGAACGTCCCAGACTCGCCCAATAGCATCTAGCCCTCCACTTGCAATCAAGGCGCCATCCTCCTGGAACTCGACCGCATACACCTCTTTCGAGTGACCTTCCTGCAAAAGCAGCTCTTTTCCGTTCTCCACATCCCACAGTCGCCAAGTGCCGTCATAGCTGGCGGATGCGACATAGTTGCCGGACGGGTGAAAGGTCGTTCGACATACTCGTGCTGCATGCCCTTCGAGGGTGCGGAGAGGCTTATCCTTGTCTAATGACCAAAGACAGACTTTCCCCTCTCCACCTCCGCTGACGAAATTCACAGCACTTTCTGATTGCAAAAGCGTTGCCGCAGGATGCCATGCCAGCCCGCCAACCTTTTCGGTATGCGCCCGAAAAGACGAGATGGAAGTTGCAGATGGGACGTTCCACCGCCGGATCATGCCACTCCAGCTGGCAGTGAGAAGAGATTTGCTGTCGGGAGAGAAGCGAACGACAGAGATCGGCCGTTCATCGCCGATTTGCGAGCCGAGATTCGTCAACGTTTTTAGCGGCTCAAAGATGGCCTTTCTTCGTTGCACGACTGATCGCAGAGATATTTGAGCTTGCTGTCGTTGTGACGCAATCCGCTTCTTGGCTCTAGCTAGTGAGAAAGACGCAATCCGCCTCCGTGCGTCTAGCAGCTCGCTGCTCCCTTCAGTGTAGAACTCTTCTTCCTGATCTTCCTCGCTATCCTCGCTCTCACTCTTGACCACATCGCCGCCCACATCTTCGCCTTCCTCTTCTGCCCGCATCCTGATATTCGTGAGCACGGATCGCAAGCGCTCTCGTCTGTCCACTTCGCGCTCCCCAAACTGTGTGATAGGCTCGCCAAGCTCTCGCAGCCGCAGTCGCACTTGTTTGTCATTGGTAGGCACCGCCATGCTGCGAGCGGCTACACGTTCGTCCAATGCACGCATGACCTCGCGATGCTGGGCGGCGGCCCGCGAGGAGGCCTCAGCAGCCATGGAGTAGTCCACATCGTCCGCTGGCGGTGATTCCATGCGAGAGAAAGTCAGCCTGAAGGCAATGTAGCTATGTGCGTTCAATCATTCCTTTCAACTCACGTAACTCGTCGATGGACATGACTCCAGCACCACCGCTGGGCTCCGAAGGCTCCATGATGGCAAGGCTATGATCCTTGTGGCCGTCGAGTGTCGCGAACAGGAGGCGCAAGTCGTTACGATGCGGCTGCAATCACGCTTAAAGACGTTTAAGTGCGCGGGTTCCCAGGACTCAAGTATTTGCGCTTCCTAGTTCCTACCATGCGCTGTCTTCAACCTTGAACCACTTCTGGTCGGCACTCGGCGCTCCCGATGTTGGGATTTGATGCAATTGAACGAACGTCGCAGCTCGCCAGGTGGTGGTGGTGGTGGTCGCGTCAGACATTCCATCATCAGGTTCGCGTAATAGTTCTCTTCGCGCGAGCGGCGAGCCTAGGCAGAAAGCGCCACATGTCACGAAGACTTCGAGAGTCACATCAACAATTCAGTTAGGCATGTTCGAACTTCTGATCTGCGACGCTTCAGCAGATATAAAGCACAGACCACAGCGTGCTCCGACTCAACCTGATTCAGCATAGCAGTGAAAATTCGAGATGCCTGCGACGTCGGCATCGACTTCCAAGGGTGCTGCATCGCAACTGCGGGCGCGAGGCTCCGGTACCGCGTCTAGGGCGAATGAAGCCCGGGGTCCCCACAATGGCGGCGCACACAGTCACACAGACGAACACACTTCTTTATTGGAGTCTTCAAAAGGCCGCAAGAGGGGAAGCAAGAATGACAGGGACGCTGAGTGGGATGGCTTTGCGGATGATGATTTCGCCAGGAAGGTGAGCGAAGTGGGCGTGCGACGCATGGCAAGTAGCTGATTGCTGATTGCGTCGTCCATTTGCAGTACCACGGTTTACCAGTACCAGAATCCATCCATCGCTTAGACTCGGACTATCCCATAATGTTAGTTCTCCTTGCAGTAGCCTTCGCAGCCCGTTTCTACAAGATCTGGCACCCCAATCAAGTTGTCTTCGACGAGGTTCATTTCGGCAAGTTCGCCGCGTATTACCTCAAACGCGAATACTTCTTCGACGTACATCCACCCCTTGCAAAGCTCATCAACGCGCTCGCTGGCTATCTTGCCAGGTTCGACGGGAAATTCGAATTCGACAATATTGGGGACAAGTACCTCGATCACAACGTGCCTTATGTCAAGATGCGCAGCATGCCCGCGCTCATGGGTAGTTTGCAGGTGCCTTTGGCCTATGCAATCATGCGTGAAACGGGTCATTCGCCAAGTATTGCTTGCCTCAGTGCAGCCATGATCTTGCTCGACAACGCTCACATCGCACAGGACCGTCTAATTCTGCTAGACGCCGCCCTCGTCCTCTTCATGATGTGCAGTCTCCTTTCGTATATCAAGTTCTTCAAGGAGCGATACAAGTGAGCTGCTGCACTCGTCCGAAGAACAGCGCATGTCTGACACCCTCTTCCGTTCGCTTCCGTGCCCAGCGAGTTCTCTGCTCGTTGGTGGTTCTGGATGTTTGCCACGGGCACGAATCTGGCGCTGACCATGTCATGCAAGATGGTTGGGCTCTTCACATTTCTGTCCATTGGCAGCGCCGTCGCTCTTGACCTGTGGAACCTGCTCGACATTCGGAGAGGGCATTCTATGACGCACATCTCGAAACACTTTTTTGCGCGTGTTCTCGGCCTGATCGTCTGGCCAGCATGCGTCTACATCTTCTGGTTCTGGGTGCATTTTGCCATTCTGACGAAGAGTGGCACGGGCGACGCTTTTATGACGAGCGAATTTCAGCAGACTCTGGAAGGCAATCCCATGCTAAGCAGTGCACGAGGTGAGCTGTCTATTGCAATGCTTCGCAAACGCGCAATGCGCTGAAGATCGAAGAACCTTGATACTCCACAGATGTTCATTATGGAGACCGCATCACCGCCATGCATAAGGGAACCAATGTGTATCTGCATTCGCATGTCGAGCGTTGGCCCCTCAAATACGATGACGGCCGCATTTCATCCCAGGGTCAGCAGGTCACGGGCTACCCGCACAATGACACAAACAACATCTGGGAAATCTTCCCCGCGACCGAATTACCCGAGGATGTGAGCGGGGACGCGGCTGCTGTGCGCCATGGCGACATTATCCGCTTGCTGCATGTCAACACGCAGAGCTATCTGCTCGCACATGATGTTGCCTCTCCCCTCATGCCAACCAACGAGGAATTTACAACGTGGCCTTGGAACGACACGAGCAGGTACAACGACACACTCTTTGAGCTACAGATCGAAGGAGTCAACGACAAACAGAACATCTGGAAATCAAAGAGCAGCTTGTTCAGGCTGATTCACGTCCCTACGCGCGTGAGCATGTGGACTCACGCGGAGCCGCTGCCTGAATGGGGCTTCCAGCAGCAAGAGATCAACGGAAACAAAAATGCACTGGACAAGACGGCCTTGTGGTACGTTGATGACTTGCATCCAGATGAGAGTGAGTCTTACGTCTCTGCAACATGCGATCCGGCTACCGCTTATCTCTCTGCCCTTTGAACTTTCCATACTCAGAGGCCAGCGATCACGAGGAACGATTGAAGCCCTTGCCACCTCGCAAGAGGACGCATATGAACTTCTTCCGGAAATTCTTCGAATTGCAGCTTACTATGCTCCATCAGAACAGTCAGCTCACATCTTCGCATCCATACGCGAGCAACCCGATCAATTGGCCTTTTCTTATCACAGGAATATCGTTCTGGACCGAAAATGACACCCAGAAGCAGATTTACATGATCGGCAATGTCATCAGCTGGTGGGCCGGAGTCCTGAGCATCAGCATCTACTGCGGCGTCATGGCTGCGGACGCTCTCGCGCGCCGGCGCGGCATTTACCCAATCCCTTCTGCAGTGCGCAGCCGAATGATCAATTCCGTCGGCTTCTTCGTCGCAACATGGGCCTTCCACTACCTTCCATTCTTCGTAATGAACAGGCAACTCTTTGTGCACCACTACCTACCCGCTCACGTTATCTCTTGCCTCGTCACTGGTGCTATCTTCAACTTTGTGGGCACAGAGACGGTCAACTTCCCTATTTCGCGACCTGGACCCTTACTCAAACCAGGCAGGGTACGGCCTGTCATGCGCAACGTACTCGGAAAGCGATCGCGCGCCGTCTGTGGTGCATTTGTTGGCGCGCTCATCATCGTATTTTGGTGGCTGAGCCCCCTAACATACGGCACGCCGGGGCTAAGCAGCTACGAGGTTCATCAGCGCAAACTCCTGACTAGCTGGACGCTACACTTTGCGAAATGATGCAATGATGATCATGTAAGAGTACAACAAGCGGTATTGAGAAAGGTCGAACACATGGTCGTTTACTCGTGTGTCATTCGGCGTCAAGAAGTGAGCTGTGTACACAGCGCGTCGATCGCTTGCTGTGCAGCGCTGATGACCAGTTGTCGGTCGTTCGAGGCGTTTGTTGTACTGCCGCCCTCCAACCGTTCGCGGGCCTCAATAGCACGGCAGCGTAGCAATGAAAGATGGTCCCGATCTAGGGTGCCCACTTGCAGTAGCCTTGACAGTGCTTTAGCGCACGCAGTTGCTACTTTGAAGTTGATGCTGCTCAATTCGCCCGCAAGTGCAGCCGCTGCCTGTTCGAGGACTGGCTCTGGGCTCAGTGCGTTTATCAGAACTTGATTGCCGAATGCCCGCTCTAATGCGTACGCCGCGTTCCATTGGGCTTTCGGTGTGCGATCCGACATGGAAGCAGATATGCCTCGAATAGCTTCAATGCTAGGCGCCTTCTCTAGCTGATGCCCGGCCAGAGCAAGGATAGCACCTGCAGCTCGGACAGCGTTCGTATGTACGCTTTCAATGTCTGCCATCAAGTCGGTTGCGACTTGGAGCCAAGACGCGGGGGCAAAAGGCGCTGAGTCGGAGAACTGATTCGCGGCTGCATCACACAGGGTCGCCATCGCCCACGTGGCCTGAACTTTTTGCTCGACTAGCATGGGTCCGAGACATTGAATATTTTCTTTTAGAATGTCGACGAAGGCTTGAAAGGTATGAAGCGCTGGGGGTTCGCAATTGACTGCGGATTGGATGGCTTGACCGAGTGCGTGGAAAGAAGTGGCAGCCACGCTGGCAGCGTCGTCTTTGCACAATTTGCGCAAAGCTTCTTTGGCTGATAAGTGTACTCTGCTGCTCCTGCGAATTACATTCGAAGCAATGGAAGCAGAAAGACAGCGTATCTTCGGATCCTGGTCGAGGGCCAATGTCCTGGCGTGCTCACTGGCTTCAGCGAGCATGTCGTCTGGCAGCTGCCAAGCCTTTACTGCTGCGTCTAGAAAGGATGTAGCCCCGAAGCGCACGTCTGCCAGGTGGCTGCGAATAGCTTTAGTAGTAGCGGCGAACAGGGACCTCTTGGCATGTGGAGGAATGGAAATTTCGCCGTGACAGGCTGCGACAGCAAGAGACCAGCATTCGACTTGTTGGGCCGACTTGCTGGTGTCCTGTACATCTGCGCAAAGCTGGTCGACATTTGTGACAGGAGTGATCACCCCCTGTCTTCCTTCCTTGGCAGGGCTTGTGCGTGCTCTTAGAGCACTTAACAAGTGGCTCGCTTTCGAACAGATGCGAGGGTCCCCATGCTTGGCCACTGCAGTAAGAGCTGGCATGAGGACTTCGCTATGCTTGCGTAGCAGCTTTGCATCATCGAGCCTGTTGATGATGACGTTGGCAAGATCCAGTAGCGCACTATGGAGCCTTGTGGGCTTTTGTGTTGCCAAGCTCTGCAGTAAACACCGCGAGACACTGAGGCGGACGGTGACAATAAGCCCAGCGACACGTCCGGAGAGGGCGGTGAAGGCGTACGGGCGCGTCGTTGTTGCTCTGAAAGGATGCATATAATTAGATCAAGTTATAGGGGAGAGTCGAACGGCCTTCATATGCTCACCTTTCCGCAGCAACCTGTAAGTAGCCCCCGGACCGCGCTGCACTGAGCAAGGCACCGATGCAACCAGCTGCGTCTACCCGGACTGGCAAGGATGGGTCATCTTCCATCAATGGAAGCAGAATGGAGGAAGACGCTGCATTTGCCCTGATATTTAGGCCAACAGGGTCAGTCACCAAGCTGAAGAGATGCGCAAAGAGAAGTCTGGGCGCACTGGCCGTCCACGCAGAGACGCAAGCAACGATCCTTAGCCTCACGGATCGTTTGATATCCTCGACTCGCTTCTGCCTTCCCAAAGGAATCTCATTGGCTGGATCACTTGCGAGGTGTCCGAAGCGGGTGTCGGATTCGGCATGCGAGTCCTCGATGATTGCAGCGTTACTTGTCCCAGAACTGCCACCAGCTGCGCTTCCTAAGCTCGAATTTGAAGCCTTTTTCTCCAGAGCTTGATTCCCGTGAGAATTCGCGGGTCCGGACCGCCAATCGGAGGTTTTGTTGAAGGCAACTACACGAGCAGCACTGAAGCTTCGAGACGTAAATGCAACTCTCTTGGAGGAGAAGTTGCTGGCCGAGACGAGAGCTTCCACAACGTCTGTCACCTGGAAGTTGGAAAGCTTGAGGGACTGTGGATGCTGTATGAGGCAGTGTAGGAGCCGAAGCAGAGAATTTACCGTCCGAGCTACCGAAAGGCCTTCAGCTTCATGCGAAGTCTTTTTGCTATAGTGTTGAATGGCCGATGCCGTGGCTAGCAGCACTTGAGAGCACACGTATGCGGGTGGCTGGCCATCTTGCATGCAGTCTGCGACTGCCGTGCAAACCACTCTCGTCGCATCTGGTGTTCCTCGTTGAAGGGCCTGAACTAGGGCCTCGGTGATGGGGGTGATTCCAGTCTCTGCTGCCGAACCTATCAAATGAGTCACTGCATCCCGAAGATATTTGAGTGTCACTTTCCTTTCCTCCTCGGACAGCTGAGTTCGCAGGCGTTCGAGAAGTAAGGGGACTTTTTGAGCATCGACCATGCCTTCACAGTGCGTCTCGAGCCACAGGGACAAATGTCTCGAACAGGACGCCTTTTGATGTCGACCGCGCGAGGTCTGACGGCCTTTGTACCGGCCAGTTTCCTGGTGGCGGTAGCGCCGAGCAGCTGAGGAACGAATATCAAGGAAGTAAGTTCCATGGTGGTCCCGTCAGTCGCCAACGACCCGACGCATGAAGCGCGCCAGTGAAGTCTCGTTGGCGCGTCAGTGCGTCACCACAGGAGAGGGGAGACTTTCAATATGATGCCGTGAGTAAATGCAGCCACACCCATACCGAACTCAACAACCAGCAGCGAGACCCGAAGCTTCAGGACACCTAACACAACACCTTACGGCACAGTTCAGTACAGGACGATCAAAGTGCCCGCATCAGAAACGATCCGGCGCTTCCAATGCGACTGTCTAGATGACGTTGTTCTCGTTCCTCTTCTCCGTGGGGCTGGCGGTCGGCCCGCCGTTGATCTACGGCGAACAGGCGTACCAGATGCAACAGAGACGCAACTCCGAGGGATTCTCAAAAGATGTATGCGCAGTTCTTCTGGTGGCAAATATCTCTGTGAGTTGCGCAGCGCTGCGTCGTACATGCAGCCAAGGGTACTGACCAATGTGTGGAATAGCGCATCTATTGGTGGTTCGGAGTGCACTTCGAAATCCCTCTTCTCATTCAGTCCATATTGATGATCGCGGCCCAGCTTGGTCTACTGTACCTCTGTCTTTACTATCGACCGGGTTCATGGGCTTCATCTGCCTTCAGTGTATCATCAGAGGACCGGCAAGGAAGCGTTGTTTTCGATGCGAATACCCCAGGGACCGGCCTGCCTCGAGATGGAAGCTCCACAGCGTTTACCCCATATCCACCGTTCCAAGTTGTTGTCGACCCACCTCCCGAAGAATTGGAGGGCGGCTTAGGTCACCACGCGCCCTCACATGTTCCGACTGGAGATGACAGGATTGGCTCGAGTCTCAACGTATCACAGACGCAGCAAAATGAAGGCGTTTCTCAACTTTCTGTGAACAGCCTGCACCTGCCCGAAGTGCTCGCTTCGAATAGGCCTTTCAACTTTTGGGTTTGGCCAGACTATCAATCGTATGTGCCATATGTTTTGAAATGATTTCTGAGCTAGCATGTGCTGATGGATGCGTCTGTTGCAGATATATCTGGGCGCTTCTCATTGTCGTGGCCGTCCTCGGAATATTTCAAGTGCTCCTCGGCTGGTCTTCTGTTTATGTCGCTATCCTCGGCACATTCGCTCTCGGGCTGGAGAGCATGCTACCAGTACCTCAGCTGATCCAGAACCACAAGCGACAGTCGCTCGCTGGATTTCAGCTGAGCGTGCTTGGAGGCTGGACGCTGGGAGATGCTATCAAGGTGAGAATATACACACACGGGTCGCTCGAGATATCCTCTGACGTGACTACATTTTCCCCCAGTCTGTTTACTACATCAATAACGGCGCCCCCGTACAGTTCATCATTTTTGGCCTCTTTCAGCTGATCGTCGATTTGCTGATTTGCGCTCAAGCATACACATATCGCGATAAGACCGTAAGCGACATGGCAGCGATGCAAGCGGTGCAAGATCAGGCAGTAGCGCAGCGGCGAGCAGAGCGTGGAGAAGGAGAATCAGAGCTGGATACAGGAAGGTGTGCGCTTAATGATAGACCGCCGACAGGCTCGATCGGTCCTAATGGCTCACCCTTTGTGGCAGAGGAGCATTCGGTGTCACCTAGCAATGCTCCTTTCGCCGTGGGCGAGATCGAAGCTGACGAAGACGATAGCTCTAGCGAAAACCCGTCACGATGACGGACTCTTAGAGAAATAGATTGCGTGCATTAGCTGTTCGCTTGAAAGTGTTTGGTGATGAGCGTATGACTTTACTGGTCACTCCTGGGGATTTCTTCATGCGGACTCCCAGATACACAGGTACCATGTAAAGATCTGAGGTGTAGTGGCGTTGTGGCGCAAGATCGTGGCAGGCGGCAGATCGCTGATCCGTCAGTACGCAGGATTCATTAGGTCACCAAATGCTTCAACAAGCATCGTCTGTTTCTCATCTCCTCTTCATCACTGTGAATGGAGTCGAAATGATTGGTAGCTTGAAGTCTGCCCTGTCGCGTACACACAGCTGAATCACGCATAATATACGATGCTGTCAGATCTTGAGCGAGGCGGTGCGCCTGGTCGGTCCGTGCCTTTCTTGCGCAGACGCAAGCTAACGATCCTGCTCCTTGCCTTCCTCTGCTTGGTCATGCTCGCTATTTCCTTTCGCAACGCGATTGCAAACGGATCTCCCACACGATTCCAGCTACAGAAAGACTCGCTGCAGTCGGCTCACAATGCCCCGGAAGCAACAGCGCAGACGCCACCGGACCTCACCAACAAAATCGCAGCGAACCCTCCGACAGTTCCTGCGGCGAAGCCTTTTAGGCGACCCTCCTCGGCATTGCTTGAGTGGGCCAAGAAGACTGGACAACCGATTAAACAGGTGGCCTCCAGGTCTAATGCAGGGCGAGAGATATCAAGAGAAGAAAAAGTCTTACTCTTATTGCAATCTGTGACGAGTCCCACTTGGAACGTGCCGGCTTCATGGCAATCGCTGTTGCTGCCCAAAACTGTGAATGAAATGGCAAGTAGCCTGATGGTCACACGTCCAACAGAAGAAGGCAAAGCGGATGCAGCCATGGTACGTGCTTTGTTCGCGACACAGTATCTTCGTTGCAAAGCTGATGAGCCAATCCCATCCAGTACTTGCAAGACCCGAACAAATGGCTGCGCTTGCATCAACAGGAAAACCACCTGACTGTCTTCAGCAAGTCTTACTGCCAGTACTCAAAACGAGCAAAAGAACTACTGAATTCGATCAAAGCGACATTTAAAATCGTGGAGGTGGATACCCGAGGTGCGTCCTCTGACAAACGGTTGTGCCGTAGGCACCGTCTAACTTTCAACCGTTTGCTTGTCGCCACAGACGACCATGATGAACTGCAAAAGGCACTGGCCGCCATTTCAGGTCACAATACCTTCCCGACCATTTTCGTCCAAGACAAGTTGCTCGGCGGTTGGGACGAACTCGAAAAGATGCACAAGACTGGGTTGCTTACTCAAATTTTGAAAGAAGTTCAAGCAATTTGAGGATCACGAACTCACCGGGCTGGCGCCGGACTCTTCACGATCCTAATACGCTTTAATCAGTGCATTCATACACCAATTCACAATTGCTTGCGCAATTCACCCTTTTTGCAGTGTCCCAATGTATTCAAAACCCACATGAGGCGGGTCGCGCCGGGGCGGTCATGCACTTCTGAGTGCTGAGCCATCGTCACTTGTGGCATGGGTAGTTCAACAAGAGCTGGTATGCATGGGCACGGGAGCGCGTGGATAGCGTTTGCAATGAAAGAGTGAAGACCCATCGCAAGCGGTGTAACCGAAGTCCCCGTCGCTGTGTTCTTCATCCGCCAGCTTTTCTTCCAAGCTGACAGCACACGAAACAATCTTGGTGGTCGATTCGACGGACTCGTCACTTCCGGTATTTCTGGCATGCTAGTCCATCAGTCGGACGATGTCCGCGCGGTTAGCGGACCTTCGAAGGGTGCAGCAGTGTCAGGCATAATTAGTTTCCCTGGCTTGACGTTGTCAAGGGAGGCAGATGAATGTATCTGGCCGCCGTCAGACTTTGCGGTGAGCGTGACGCAATGAGCGAAAGGCGCAGCGCCACGCTGGTGCTGGAACCCGTGTGATTGTGCAAGAGCGCACAGGGGTGCGATTGGTTTCCGCGCCTTGAAGATAATCGGTCTGGTGCGCGCTAGGGCCTGAAGTATTCTTTTCGACCACTTTATGGTGTCAAGTGATAGGCCGATGTTTTATCTTGAGCGTGAGATCATTCCTGAAGGACCCCCTCCATGCGGTGACTCTTGTGCGATCAGCGCCATCCCCAAGGTTGACATTGGTAGTTTGAGGCGAGGGAATTGGGCTGAGGATCCTCCACGAAGCGCGAGCCTGGTACCTACCGTGTGTATCAGTGCCTCGGTCAGTTTTGAGCTTGGAGAGAGTGTGTCTCAGCCATGTTATCACCAAGACCTGCTTTACGGGTGCGAGGGTGTACTCATACAGGAGTGGAGGCCAAGGAAACCATCAGCATTGACAAAGTGGCAGCCTAGATAAAGCCAATGAGAAGAATGGTGTGTGCGGGTGTACGGCATGGTCGCCTCTTCTTGGGTGTTTTTTGGCATTGCAGAACGCATTGCAATTCAGCATATGTCAGAGCAGCTAACTGAAACGACCTCTCCGATGCACGCACACCGCAGAGAGACCAACATTAAGGCATGCGGTGGATAACCAGCCAGCAGCGTCGAAAAGAGCGAAAGACTGAACTATGCCCTTCCTTCCAATAATGTGGGGCGGCACACGGGCAGCTTTGACTATGAAGAAGCCCCACAACTAGTGGAATTGAAAATAGAATGCACGGTACGTTTTTACTCACATTGCGCTACTGCTACAAAGCAGCAGGATGAGACTATCAGTCACAGGATACTGATCACTGCCTCAAATGTTGTCTGGTACTTTTCCAGCGCGAGTGTTCGCTGTACGAGAAATAAAGGTGACACCAAAGACGCGACGGCACAAAAGGTCTGCAGCAAGAGAACAAGTATACCTCAAGGACTCCTAGTTCCTGAGCAAGCCTTGCTTGAAATTCGCACACTCAGACGAGGGTGATGTTTCTCCGAGAGTCAGGTGAGCCATAGCGGTGAGAAGCAGAAACGCATGAGCCAGGAGCCCTTCCCGATCACAACTTCCAACCTCCTTGCAGAAAGTCAGAGCGAAAAATAAGCATCCCCTGGGTCGCGCCTCTGAAAGCCACGAAGGTAGAGAATGCGGTGACCCTTGTGCTTCCCAAAGCGCTACTGCATTTTCTTCTTTTCCGGAGGAGGCGATCGGAAGACAATGGTTCGGGCAGCAGCAGCGAAACGGGCGCAAAAATTGAAACGGAAGCCCGTGAAGTTCATCAGACAGTGAAGAGTTGAAACGCAACAGGTGTACCATAGACTGAATATAAGGCCCTCTGTGCCATGATAAGCTTTTTCGATCGTCACCTCCACATCCGAAAGCGCGTTCACCTTCCCCAGTCAGTCTCCGGGCAGCTGAACGATTGAAGAGAGCAGAAGAGGAAATTGAATCTGAGAGCATGAAGTAGAAGGGAGAAACTGATGGAAACTTGCAAAAAGCATCATGCTTGCTTCCTTTTTACCTTAAGACGGAAGAGCTGGTCGGCACCCGTGCCTGGCGATGACGCGCGTTGATGTCCAATGATGAACGCCCCATTCTTACAATCGTGATACATCACATGATGCTTCATGCCGCCGAGGCCGTTTCGTTGTACGAATCGGTGCAATCGGCAAGTAAAGGCCGGCGGAATCCGGAAGTGATCCGATTAACTCGTACGACGATATGGACAGCAGTGAGCCTGTGCCCGCGTAATCCGTCCGAGATTCTCTAATAAGGTGAGAGAGCCACGAATCACGAACCGCCATCGTCCTCAATCTTGGAAGAAGAGCTGTTCGGGGGAATGCGCTTGCTGGCGCTGCGACAATCGGACATCTGAAGCCCCAAATTCTCGTGTGCAACGACTTTTACGCTGCGGCCCTCAACACAAAATGGTGCGCGGCCGTAAATGAGCCCAAGCCAGCTGGTAACGCTACTTCTGAAGCTTAAATAATTTATCTCGCTATTCACTGCACACAGCCAAAAAAATTCCTAGGATGGCCGTGGCCCTACGGTCCGCTTCTTAAGTGCCGCTACGGGGAAGACCCGCTTTTTCGTATGCAAGGTCGAGCGTGCGCATGCTGCGGCAGAAGTTGAATGTCAGCATGTTTCAGTAGAATCTAGTAGCCTTTCGCGGCCGAGGAAGCAGGGAAACGCACAAAGCCACGCTCTCGTCGTTCGAGACCCAGACGGTCCCCCTTGTGCCTTTGGCGGGTGTACCTGCTTGACTCTTGCGAACGCTTTCCACAAATGCCTCGAGCATCCACCTGTACGTGAGCCGGTAGGGCTTACCCTTTCCTGCGGACCAAAAGCCATCTTTGGCGGCGCGCCTCATTTGCTCTTCACCGCCTTTGGCATTTCCGGCACCTGGACCACCAGCGGACGTGTGCTTGGGGGTTGGAACATACGCCTGCGAGTACCTCTTCGTGCCTTCCTTTACGCCAGCCATCTCCGCGCGCAACCCGCGGAGCGTGGTGGTGATATGATGGTAAACAGTAGGGAAAATGTAGTTGTACAGCTCCACCGAGGTACCATCTTGGAAAGTTTCCTTGAGCGAGAAGCTGGGGATGATCTTGCGTCGCTTACCGCCGAGGAACGGAATCCATGTAGGAACACGGTCACTCAGTCCGGGGCGTACTGAGCATTTGATCGCGTGTAGCCTTGCGCTAGGAACCTCAAATTGCGCTTCGAGTATACGGTCGATCGCTGGCTTGCCATTGCTGTCGCAGTGGGATTTGCTTGAGATCAAATTCTTGTGCGTTGGAATGAACAGTTCCGCATCGGCCGAAGAGACCTGGATGTCTTTCGGCCACTGCGCACGCTTGTCCGTCCCGCCTGCAGCACGGCATGCATAGATGGCAGATGAGACAGCGTAGCAGCCCAAGTCCATGAAGACACCTCCGGCCAGCGGATAGTTAAAGCGAATATCGGTCTCTTTCCAGAGCGATCCAGATGCTCCCAAACTCCGAGTCGGCCTTGACGAGCGGGTTTTGGGCCGACATGACCTCATAGAGCTGGTACGGAAACTCGTGCAGCGCCGGATGGAAGCGATAGTGAAATGCTTCGAGTACTACGACGTTCTTCTTCGCAGCAAGTGCGAAGGGCTCGCTTGCTTCCTGTGCGTTCGAAGCGCTCGGCTTCTCGAGCAGGTCATGTTTGCCAGCCTCGATGCACTTGCGCGTCCAAAGCGCGTGTAGCCCGTTGGGCAGAGGATTATACACCCCTTCAATCTCGGGATCATTAATCAGCGCATCATACGTGTCGAACACGCGCTTCACGCCGTGTTTTTTTGGCGAAGGCCTGTGCCTGCGAGACGTCCCGCGCTGCGATGCCATGCACGACTACATCGGCGTGCGTTCGTGCAGGGTTGACAAGCGCCATCGGAGCGATATCTGCAGCGCCCAAGATGCCGATGCGCAGCGGATTGGCGTTCTTGGGCAGCGTTGGAGGGTTGAACGCACGGTAGATGCGCCAGACGCTGTCGGGTAGCGAGAACAGGGAGGATGCCATGCCGACGTCTGCGTGGCGGCGTCTGTTGTTCAGCCTCAGATCCTGGGTTGTTGTGTCTCCTGACTATTCAAGATGGAAGTTATCCCAGATAGACGACAATGGGTTACCCTTCAGCATTGAACCCGTTGCTGTTGTCGCAAGAGGTGATCCGAATATCTCTGTTCCATGATGGGATGGTGATGAATGACCTCAATAACGCTTGGCTGTAGCACGTGCCAATGCGTTTGATGTGGCACTCGAACATCCACGCGTTCTGACTACACCTCTTCTGGCAAATGCTACTTACTCCCTTTTGCCCGTTTTATTCATATTTTAGAAAACATTCCATCTCCCGCTCAAGAATCCCTTCAAAGAGCCCGGAGCTTTTCAGGTTTACGCTCGAATTTTCCAGCGAGCATTTCCCGCTCGATTTACTCCTGGCAGCGCTCATCGCACAAGTCGTGAAAACGCGTCCTATTTTCCTCCTCCTGCCACTGCTGAGGGGCACGTCACCTCGACTGATAACATTGTTGCCGAGCAACCGCTCGCATGAGGATTGCCCATGCAGTATACTCGATCCCATTCGGCTCATTAGGACGTAAATACATAGGTTCAACCTTTGAGTAGGAAGAAGCTTACGGACTTACAGCTCATTGACGACCGTCTTGCGAGGGTTCTTCTACAGCTACCCCAGCAGGTTAATCATGTCTGCCCTGGAAGACGATACCAAAGCCGGCCTTGCCCCTCGGGGTCTGGTTTTCACGAACCTCCTCACCCCGGATGTAGACAACCTCTTCTCAGTTTTCAGAGACGCTTACGAACGCCGCAATAACCCATCAGGAATGGTCAATTTTGGTGTGGCGGAGAATAGCCTGCTGCGCGAGGAGCTCGTGCGCTACTTTAACACCGTTGGTCTCCAGCTTTCCAGCAAGGAGCTTGCGTACAACGGTCGGTTTACGACGAGCCAGAAGCTAGTCGAAGCGCTTGCAAATCTCTACAACCATTATCCAGATGGCTACGCGAATCGCAATGATTGGGCAGACCGAAAGCCGCTCGTGCCCGTGAAGCCCGACCACATCCACGTTGGCTCTGGCGCCGGAGCTGTCCTCAACAGTCTCGCATGGACCCTGTGTGAAAAGGGGGAGGGGGTACTGCTCAGTTTGCCGTACTACAACGGTTTCCTGTACGATTTCACGTTCAAGGCTGAGGCGACGCTCGTTAAAGTCAAGCTACCAATACCGGAAGCTGGCAAGAGCAGCCATGATCAAGCATGGCTCAAGCCGGATACCGTTCAGTCCTATGAACTGGCGCTACTAGACGCCAAGGAGAAAGGGATCAAGACTAGGGTGTTGCTTTATTGCAATCCACACAACCCCACAGGTAAATGCACATCCGCAGAGCTGCCGTGGCGGTGCTAATGATCTTATCCACCTCTGCAGGTCAAATCATGCCTCGCGAGATGACGATCGAGCTGCTCAAACTGGCAGCGAAGTATGACCTGCACTTCATCTCAGACGAAATTTACGTAAGTCCCTAATCACCTACTCAAGCTAGATCCCCACTTCTCTAACAATCTTTATGCTTCTCTCATTTACAGTCGCGTTCCGTCTACGAGCCCTCACCCGCGAGCCCTGCTCCGCCTCAGTTCCATTCCGTTCTGTCGATCGACACTCTCGCCGTCGCTGGTTTGCATCCATCGCGTGTGCATGTCGTCAGCTCCGCTTCGAAAGACTTTTCCGCGAATGGGTTCCGGCAAGGCGTGTGCATCTCCCAAGCAAACTCTGCTCTGCTACGAGCCCTCAACATGCAGAATTTGCCATCGCAGTCCTCGACGATTGCCGGAAATTTATGGGCGAATTGGCTGCAGGATACAGAGTACCTCGAGTGGTACTTGGAGGAAAATACACGGAGGCTCGCCGTCGCTTGCTCGCACACACAAAGGTGGCTACAAGTACACGACATTCGGTTCGTCACCTCCAATGCAGGGCACTTTTTCTTAGTCGACTTCAGGCGTTTTCTGGGCGGCGTGAATGCCGAAGTCAGCTCTGACAGCTCCTTCGATGAGATCGAAGACGCGCGGAAAGCAGAAGCTGACCTCGCTGGGCGGCTCATCAAGGGAAAAGTCTTTGTAGCTCCTGGAGGGCAGTACGAGCATCCCGTGCCGGGATGGTTCCGTTTCACGTATTCTGCAGAGCCGCACGCCTTGCTTGAAGGCATGGAACGTGTCGAAAATGTGCTCGGTCTGCCGGCCAAAGCGAAGGAGTTCGGATTGTTGGATTTGGAGGGTGGCGCGAAACAACCGCCGAAGCGCGGACTGGACGCAAAGACCGCAACAGAATCACAGGGAGAGGGAGCAAAGGAGGCGCTAGAGGACTCGAACGACTCGCACAAGGGAAGCGCGCACACCTCAAGGTCCCACACCGTGGCCTATCCTACGCTGCTCTCTTCAGCAGAACAGCCGCGGAAGTCGAAGCGCAGTTTGTTTCAACGTTTGCTTAGCTTAGCTTTGCGTGATGTCATTTGGAACTAACTATGCTTCAGAAGCACAGGGACACATGCGATTCCTGTCGTGTGCCGCATACCCTCCTCAAGCTCTCTCTGCCACGGCGCCCGATGTCCTATAAATGGAATACATACTATGCGCCCTCAAAGAAGAGATCTCACGACTCCTCTTTAATGCCTTCGTCTAGAAAAAGCATCATGTGCTCGAGCTCATGCCTCACAGTCGCGGCGAGCAGATCGAGATTATGATCGCTGGGATCATGCCCGAACGGCATTTCTACCTCGCTGCTCAGCCCCTCTGTGCCAATCATGGTGAATGCGACGATGGTGACGACGGGGATCATGCGCCAGGAGAGCTCCGAGACGAGCGTGAGAGGTAGGGCGAGCAGGTAGAGTAGCACGCATTGCTTGAGATGAATCCCATAGATTGCAGGTAGCGGCGTGTCGGCAATTCGTTGCATGTTGAAGAAGTGCGTCGTCAGGCTGTTGATTAGTTGGTTCGACTGGCCGCCCATGAAACACACAAAGCCAAAGGGAAAGCATCGCTAGTCAATACTTCTTACGCAGTGCAGGAAGGTGAAGCCGAGCCGGGCTTACAAGCGAAAAGCCCGCTGGACCTGCATCATTGGTCAAAAGGCCTGCCCTCCTGGCGCCGGAGAGATACATGGTGATCTGGTGTAGACAGAAAAGAGGAAGCGCAATAGCTGGTTGCTTAGAATGCTCCTTCTCCTCCTCAACTTCGGAAGCTGTTAGCGGCGTCGTCTCGGTCGCTTGAGCAGCGGCAGCGGCAACAGCAGCATTCTCATCCTGAAAAATAACCGATGTTATGGGTGTGTAATTATCTCTTTCGACCGCTGCTGAGGCTTGAGACGCAGGACGAGCGTCGGCCTGTTTTGAGTGGATGCTGCGCCGAAAATGCTCTCGTGATCTGCGCTGTAGCACATAGTAAGCCTGTCGTACGTCTTGAGGAAGGACGCCTTCATAGTCTGCGAATTCGACACCGTACTCTTGTCTCAGGTGATGCTGATGGATAGGTTGTAAGCATCTTGCCTAGACTTTCGCAAGGGGATATGTGCGATGTAACTTACTTTTGTAGCGTACAGGTAGCATACAAGCAGTCTGATTACCCGGCGCTTTCTTGCCATGCGTTCTTGTCGCAATTTTTCGACAGCATGCGTTGCACCTGCATCAATGCCGCTCTTCTCTGCGTCCTGCTTGAGCTTCTTCATTTTCTCGCCTGCCTCAACGTCGACATTGACCCAGATGAAGCGAGACAATGATCGAGTATCCGCCATGGCAGCATTCAGCTCTCCAGAGCCTGCCCACCATCGATCATACGATGTGGAATTGCGGAAGACGATGAGCAGACCGACAACGACGGAGAGAGGGGCGATGATGCTGTTGCTGGTGCGCCAGTGCATGCCGTACCAAACGTCTGCGGCAGCAATGACGGTCGCATACAGCGTGATTCCAAGTACTGAGACCCATATCCGATGCAGAACCGAGCCCCTTATCCGGATAGCATCTACGGTTCCAGTCAATGCACAAGTTCATTCAGCCAATCACGTCCCTGTTCGTGAAGAATATTCAAATTCAGCCAGCAAGCAGCCATTCTCACCTAAGAAAAACCTCGTCTTTGACAGCCTGAGCTTGTTCTCGCTCTTCTCTACCTCATGTCGGAAGAGCCGATAAGCATCCAAGTCGGACAGGTCCTGCAGCGCATTCAGCGGGCTCGACAAGGCTAAGCCTTGTACCATATTGGCCAGGAAAGATACCGGCCATCGGCTCAGGTGCCCGCCTTCTGTTCACTTTGTGTTAGTTTTCTAGTTGTCCGGGAATTACAGGTCGAGCTGGAGTCTGTGATATGCATGCAGCAGGTACCAGGACGTCAGGGGACGGGGTCCAACGATAAGTCAGTCACAGGTCGATGTTAAACTGTGTTGTGTTCAACTCGCTGCAGAGCTTTGTGATGAACGCTGTGGCGCACAGCTATATCAAGCCAAGATTAGAAACCACCCACATTTAGGTAACTTCTTGAACAGAATCACAGTTGAAAAATAGGATGCAGAATCGGCCAGAACTGCTTTCAGGATTCCACAAATTCGTTACATGCTCTGGAGACATACATAGCGGGAGCAGCTACAATAGATCCTCCATATTTGCTAGCAAAACATGGGATAGTCACATAGAGGCGTTCCGGAAGTTATCGGAGGTCGACATCGAACAGCCGCTTTTTGGAAAGTTTTGCAGGGGTTTAGAAATATTTCTGTAACCTTGGCGTGGTATTTGCTAGGTTTTTCGGGCAACTCTAGTTGACGCACGATCATTCTGGAGAGTCGCAACTCTTATAGTGTGTCGCACCGGAGGCAGGCAAGCCCCTAAAGCTAAGGTGAATGTTTTTTTGAATGGCCACTTTCGTGATAAACAAGAGTGCCAATAATGGTGCGTCAAACATACCGTGATTCCGGGGTTTCCAGCAGAGGCGCATATAGCTTCCAGCTCAGCTATAACCCAACTGGCCCACTCTTTGACGCCTTCACATGATTGCAACATCACTCTCCTTGGGACTCAGGCAGGCTTGGCTTCATGAAAGAAAGTGAAGCTGAAAGCCTTGGTCCTTGTAACTTGCATCCCATCCCTGCCTAATGGGACACTGCCTTCGTCGCCAACACTACCATGTCGTCTTCGTTCGGAAGAAGCTTCCAGGTGCAAATCAATCATCTTGAGTCGGTGCTGGACGACTCTGCAATTTCCTGGAAGAAACTCGTGCTCCAGCTCCAACTAGCCGTTTACATCTTCGAGACCTACGTCTCATGGCGACAATATGGCCTCTACTCTCGTCCAACGCCGCCTGCAGAGCTCACTAGCCATGTCGATCTGGAGACGTATAAACAGAGTCAGGCATATGGCAAGGACAAGGCTAAGTTTGGCTTCATAACGTCTGCCGCAGAAATGGCCATGACGGCTGCTGTTATTCACTACGACGTATATGCGCGTGTGTGGACTCGTACAGGCTACTATCTGACAAGATTTGATCTTCCCCAGTCTGAGGTGGGTGATGGGGCACTGACTAACTGAAAGTCAATGAGTTCTCTGCTGACGGCCATGTTGCCATGTGACCCGGCAGGCCATCCACTCTGTGCTATTTGTGATAGGAATGTTCCTCGTCCGAGAGCTCCCAAACATTCCATTCACACTTTACAAGAATTTTGTAGTCGAGGTACGTCTGAACTGGCCCCTGCATACTCGCGCTCTGCAAAAGCTAACCGCTTGGACTGCAGGAAAAGCATGGCTTCAACAAGATGACCATCGGAACGTATGTTAACTCATGCGTTTAGCTGTCGTATTCATACGGACTCTGAAATTCTGCTCCATATCCGTAGCTTCGTCAAGGACACCATCATCGAATGGATCGTCGGTTTCTGCATTGGCGCACCTCTCATCTCCGGCCTGATCTGGGTCATTCGATGGGCAGGCGATGCATTTGTCGCTTACGTAGTCGCCTTCCTCCTCGTGTTCCAGATTGTTGCCCTCGTCCTCTGTGCGTACACTTTTTACTTCGTATATTTGCCTATCCTTTGCATCAAACTTATCACTTTTACCTTTTCAGACCCCACACTAATCCAGCCGCTATTCAACAAATTGACACCGCTTCCAGAAGGCGCGCTGCGGGATCGCGTCTTAGCCCTCGCCGGCTCACTCAACTTCCCACTGAAGCACATCTACGTGATCGACGGCTCTAAGCGCAGTGCTCATAGTAACGCATACTTCTATGGCATCATCCCGGGCGGGAATAAGCACATTGTCATCTTTGACACGCTCATCGAGAAGTCCACACACGAAGAGATCGAGGCTGTGTTGGCGCACGAGCTTGGGCACTGGGCGCACATGGATACGGGCAAGCTGCTTCTCATTGGACAGGTGCAAATCTTGCTACAAATGAGCATCTTCACCCTTTTCATCCACAACGTCAGCCTCTATCGAGCTTTTGGCTTCTCCGCAGCGCCCAACCTGTTCGAGAAAGCCCTTGGGACCAAGCTCCCAGCCGCGCAGTCATCCCTGCCAGTCATTGTCGGTCTGGAATTGTTTCAGCTTGTTGTTGGTCCGCTCGACGCCTTTACGAAGTTTATGCTCAACAGCGCCGTCAGGAGCATGGAGTACGCCGCCGATCGCTTTGCCGGTGAGCTTACGCGGCCCCCGCCAACAGCGGCGGAGCTCAAGGCAGCGGAGGTGTACAATTCGGCTCCTGCAGTCGCCGAGCGTATGCAAGCCAACGGCCATCCCGCCTTCTCGGGAGCCGTTGAAACTGCGCTGCTCAAGGTGGACCCGTATGATCAGCTTCCGTATACTGAGCTCCTCAAGCGATCGCTCATAAAGCTCGGCATCCAGAATCTCAGCAGCATGCACAATGACTCGTTGTACTCGGCGTATCATCACAGTCACCCGACTCTTTCTGAGAGACTACATGCGCTCAACCTCATCGAAGCGCAGTTGAAGAAGAAGCATTAAAATGCCGAACATACACTTCGTTGAATCGCTCAACTATAGTATATAAGAACTTTGTGTGCACGAAAAAATAGCATCCTCTCATGTAGATGAATGTGGATTCTTTCCGGACAATACATCAAAACGCACAAGGTTTACTAGCAAGTCAATCGCAGCGCGGTAACTGGTGTCAAGCCAACAGCAACCCAAGAGTATGTATCCATTGACTCGAGCTTCCGTAAAGGCCCACCGTGTTGCTGCCTCGAGGAGGCTGCAGCGTCCTGAGATTCCCCCCTTCACCGCCGCGCCACCCAGACTGGCGGCCCGATGAGAGAATGATATTGATTGCGTCCAGCCACAACCCACTCCTGACTTCTATAGCAGCGATTTGCTCACCACGCGCGAGGTCGAACCTAAAGGCTTCGCCACCAGTGCAGCCTAGCAGCTCGCGCGAGCCATCAGGGTAAAATAGGACCAGGCCATCCACGAACGCACCCGCGCGAATCTTACCGCGTTCATTGAATTATATTTAGCTCGAGTGCAATGCGAGCCGCTTTTTAGGGTACTCACAACGACATGCGACAGATTTTGTCGAAAGACATGCATGAAACACTGGTGTGACGGGTCTTCTTTGCCGACAGACATGCCTTTTGTCACGGTGAAGGGTACTCTAGGTAAGGATATCGGGCACGCGTATGCATTGTTCCTAAAGTCTTGCAATTGAATTTCGCGCATGTTGCACGCGAGAGCCGTGAGATTGACGCTAGGCGACGCTGGTGAACTTACATCGAACCCAACACATTTGCTAAGGTATTCGTTGGTGATGAGCATCTCCTGTTGAACAGGATTACCATCTGGAAGACCAGTGAACTCGATATGCGTTTTGTACGTGTCTCCGAGAAAGACTTCCAAGCTTGCAATGCCTGATTTCGAGCGGAAGTTCGCGCCATGCATGGTTGGCTCCCAAGTTGGCTCGGCTTCCTTCCAGTGCTTCCATGTAGAGGCATCGCCATCCCGGTTCATGAATGGTAAAGGTGGATCGCTAGGCAGAGCGAATGCCGGATGCCACCGCGCACGCACGCCTTGGGCGCGGTGCAAATGGTTGGTGCCGCTGTCAGTTTCCGGTGTAATGGGGTTCATGTTGCCCGGCCGCTTGCAGTGAGGTCCTTCGCTTGTCATGAAGGCTCTGTTGAATTCCACATATCCGCGCGCCATAAGACCAGACGGCCAATGAGGATTGGAGAAAGCATGGCCGACCTGGAGGAAGGACATTTTTAGTGGAGCGGCACGCACTTCAGGAGCCCATGCTTACCACGCACTTCATGCATCTGCAAGTAGGGCAGAAACAGATCAGCCAAAATTTAAATCTCACCATCAAAATTCACGCCTGAATCTTACCATCGCACCGGAGCCAACATTGAGCGTTTCATAGTGATAGACGCATTCCAGGAGATCGTTTATGCAGTATGCGGTATCCGTCCGAGAGCAGTTTTGAAAAGCACTTGTCACCTCATGTAGGCTTGAGGGAGCGCTCCACAACCAGTGCGATCCCATCACGCCAAAGCTCCACGAATCTGGGCTGAATGAGCCCAAAGCTGCATGCCCTCGGAGTAGTCGCAAGCACGGGTCCCACGTTGCTTCGAGAGTCATGACTGCAATAGGCGCAGATTTGTTGTTACGGAGCTCCGGCGGGCATCTTTCTGGCTCCTCCAGCACTTCACCCGCGAATCGATGTTGGATGCTCCGATTTTTCGCTGAAAAGAACCATTTATCAATCAATAAAGGGAATCTTAGATGCATTTTAAGTTTGTATTGACCTCTTTGGTTTTGCTGTGCATTGTCAGGATCCCTGATCTCCTTAGTGGTGTGACGACTAACAAGAATGTGAACCTTTGGGTACTCGGACAGATCTTTGCGATAGCCACCTGATTCTGGCTGAACATCAGAATTAGCGTCATCTAATGCAAAAGTCCGTGGACCGAGGCACATGCGTCGCATCTGCTCTGCATGGAAAGCCTGCCACAGATACGCCTGCAATGCAAATCTCCGCTTGACTTCATCGAGATTCTTAAGCTTTTCGCGCCCTTCACCGGGGGGTGCATCGACGAGCGGGCGATCTTCATCGATGCTTCTTGGCACCAGAGAATTCGCCAGCTGCTGAGAAAATTCGCCCACTAGCTTTGAGGCTCGATTTTTGGTTGGAGGCGGCTGCTGTGATGCTGACGTTACACCCGGCTTATTCAGCGCTGGACTATCGCAGGCGACTAAGATTGCAAGCTGTAAAGGTAGTGCACCTCGATCGCGTTGGAACCATATCGAGAGCCGTCCCTGTACGAAAGGCTGACGTTGAAGAAGGTGATCAGGGTACTCAAAATCCCCGCCAAAGACTTCGAATGCGAGCTCATTTGGGCCAGGAGACAGTGGAACTAAAGCCTTGAAGTGTCCATGATTGACTTGCCAAACAACAGGCTCATAAGCTGGACCTGGTTGAACCAGTATAGTGTCTCGGACGTTTTGATACCCCTCAACATAGCCTTGGACGATCAAGAGTCGCTGGAAAACCGTTTCTCTGTTCTCGACATTACTGATCCTGATTCGAGCCGATCCTTGGGCAGGTGGCATGTTGGTTGGCCACAGGGTGAGCGAAGATCCCCTCAATAAATTTTCGTGCGCTCATAGCGAGCTGGATGCACTGTGCTCAACACTGCGAATAGCAAAGAGGTCCACGATCCCGCTTCAACTTGTCGTGGATGTGATCGAATTGTTAATGGACAATGTGATTTCCCCTGAAGCATACGTAGGGCTAAAAGGATTTTACAGCGGAATTTGCTCTCGGAGCTTCCGACATAATCGAGTTTAATGCTTTCCCCGCGTTTATTCCAAAACGGCGTGTCAAATATTTGCCGAAACTGGGGATTCGCCGACTGATGGAGGTGCTGATCTCGATTCAAATGAATACCGTACAAGGCATGATTCCTGGACAGTTTACCTCACTTGAATACTGTATGGGACCGACCATATACGCTGAATTCTCGATGCATGGGCTGAAGGTTAAGACGTAGCAGGTGCAATTCATGACATTTTTACTCTACAAGAATCTCACAAAACCCCCATGAGAAAGTGCGAAACATAAAAGTGTATTCTACAAATGGGTATCGGCCGGAGAGACGAAGGTGCCTTCGGAGTGCTCGGAGCGATGGCCGACAACAGCCACTAGAACCGAGATGTCGTCGTGTTTACCACCCACGTAGTACTACGTGGAAGCATGCTATCGTCAGCATCTGCCGAAAGGCGAGAAACATCGGTGACGAATCCGGCAGAAAACTCACCATACCCTCCTCTTGGGCTGCGATCTGAAATGGGCTCGTGGTGGCTCGGCGGTCCTCGCTGACAGCTTTTGCACGTGAGCACAGTGCTTCGGAGACATCCTGAGGCGAAAAGTCAGGCGGAAGAACAGATCCTATCGCTGTACGATGCGGCGCATCTTGACCTTGAACTTGACCTGGATGGTCGTCTGCAGGTGCCACAGGCGCGTTGGCACCATGGTCAGGTGCGAATTTGCGAACCTCCTCCAAAATGTCCTCGTCGAAAAGATTGTCAACGAGGCCATCGCTGCCGAGGATGATTATGTCTCCTGGTTGCACCTTGACGGTCCATCGCCCAGCATCTCGCCTCGGCTCATCCCATTCCGTGTCCTCTGGATCGAGGGGTGGTTCTGGCCTCGGTGTAGCTTGTGCTGCACTGGCATCTGCAGGCAATTCACCTTCAGGTTCATCAAGACCTTCTTCATCAGAGTCTACATCTTCAGCTGCCGTTTGTCCATTCCTCTTTGCCTCTTCCGCCACTGCCTGCTCTGTCGCTGCAGCTTTGATCCGTTCCGCCACCGTTTCGACGGTATCGCCCATCATGCCCAGCTGGACGGGGAAGTTGAAAGAGTGCTGTTGTTCCGTGGATCGGAAGAGTAGGTCGCCATCGCGAATGATGAGCAGGACGCAGTCACCCAGGTTGGCTATCCGCAGCTCGTCCCCTCTTAGCAAAGCCAACAGTGCAGTCGAGCTGCCGAGGATGCCCTCCTTGCGTGCTGTCCGCACACAGCGTTCCCAAGCCCGGTGCATCACCTCGACGGGGTCGATCTGCGCCCACTTCTTTAGTAGCTTGCCATTGTCCGCTGCAAGCTCATCGCGTGATAGCTCGTCATATCGAGAGAGCTCAACAGCGCAAAAATGCATCAACAGCCGCGAGTACAGCGCGGCATTCGCTCCTGGCCGTCGTGCCCAGCCACCGACGCCATCGGCGACGCCTAGTGCATCCTACAGCAGAGTCACCGATCAAACGAAGTCAGCAATTGCTTTCACGCGATGGAGGCTTGCGAAGCATACTTACTGGACGAAGAAAATACGCATCTTCACCGACCTGCACGCTCCGAAGTCTATCCGGAACGAGCTTGCCATTCTCTCGTAGCTTCAGCTTCCGCCCACCTTTCATCTTCAATCGTGGCGTGTATCCTGCAACGTGTCCTGGTGGAAGCATACTGGCAAGCTGACTCGCTGCCTGCGAACCTTCCGTAGAGTCCTGACCCGCAGCTGGAACGGGTGGCGCCGCCTTGATCTCTTCCATTGTCAATTGCGGGCTTGTCAGAAAGTCTGCTGCCGCGCTTAGCATGCCCATCGCACTTCCCGGCCCAGATCGTGTCGCCTTCCTAGGCGGCGCGGAGAGAGGGTGCCTCTTCGGGATACCATAGGCGCCATGATCAAATGTGAACTCCGGCTTTGGAGCACGCGGGATGGAAAGTGCGCGGGCCATGAAAGGATTGATATGGCTTACCGGCGGGTCGGCTCGTTGGTAGTATGAAGACGGCAGAGACTTGGGATTGCCTACCATGGCGCCGCTGCTCGACGCGGACAGAGCCATCGGGTATGTAGAAATGGTCCCAATCTGATGCGTCGAGGCGTTACCGCCAGATTCCCCGCCACTACCGCCATCTGAGCTACCAGTTGATGCACTCGCACCAGTCAATGAGTACGTCGCTTTTGACGATGAGCCATCGTTAGGAGGAGGAGGCGAACTAGCGAATATGTCGGACAACCCGTTTCCAGGCGAGCGGAAGCCACCGTTGCTTTCGGCTCCACCGAATGGATTGGCAGAGCTCCCGAACCCGCTGCCGTTTCCTCCTCCAAACACCCCTGCATCTCGAAAATGAACAGATCCACCCTGTGTGGCCTGTTCCCAGGTCAGCAAGGGCTGCTCGTGCAAGTTGTTCGCGTAGAACGAGGACGAATCTGCCTCAGTCCATAGATCCAGAGGCAAGTCTACACCTGGGTCGGATCTCGACGTGTAGATAGTTTGCGAGTCGGGTGTTGGCTTCTTCGTCGGTAAGGAAGACAGATCGACAAACAAGTCCAACGAGTCTACCCATTTTGGCAGCGTGGACTGTGTGCCGGTGTGGTAAGACAAGGAGACCGCGTTGGCAGCACCGCGACTCGTAGACGCGTTCCACAGGTGAAATGCTCGTCGATGATAGAGAGCGCCTGCCCCCGTAGGCAATATGGCGGCAGGGGCAGCGATGGGAGAGACGCTCGTGCCGCTGCTGTTGGTGCTTGAAAGGGCTGGGGCTGCCCCTTGCGAGCGTGGTGACGCATTCGCAACAGTTGTCGATGATGAGACGGAAACAGTGGATGCAGTTCGAGCGGAGGAGGTCGATAAGGCACCACTGCCAGCTATGGATGGCGGAGATGCAGATGCAAGCTTGAACACAGTGACTCGCTTCGAAGACACTGCGGCGCGTGCGAACAGACTATGATTGGGCAATTTCGCCGACATGTTGCAGCTGGTCCTTTATCGGTGCGGGATCCGCACGTTTAGCAGTGTCCAGCGTCCAAAGAGCGCGTTGTGATGTGAAACAGTGCAGATGGTCGGCTTGGTCGATGTCTTCAAGGCTTGTGACGAGGTTGGCACCTTGTGTTGCACAAGTAGAGCCCGTTGAGGCCTTGGATCGAGGTGGCGTCGCGATCACCACAACATCACATGTCCGTCGCCGGGGCGCAGGCGATCTGCCTTCCCACAAGGAATCTGCTGGTAGGCAAGGAGACTACGAGGCAGCACGCCGAGCAACGGGGACTTCTTTGACACCCTCGGTCCTTCGACGCGTGAAGGCCAGATGAGGTTTGTGCTGATGAGCCTAGGCCTCGTCGTGTAGATTACTACAGGCGACGAGCAGGCTCGGTGCTTGCTTCTGTCCGAATCCGGCCGGTGGGCACTGCGCCACTCTCTGCTTCCCGCCCAGCGCTGCGCCACAGCATCGTTATTCTTAAGGTCGCGCCTGGCTGCGCTCTCCAAAAGGTGGCAGCTGCTCATCCAAAACAATGCACACGACCCAAGGTAAAACTCCTGCACTCATACTTAATAATAGATGATACAAGAGACGTTGGCCTTCCATGTACGTGGTCAGAGCATCGACCGGATCAGATATGGCATGCCGAAAGATTCACCGATCAGGCCTGGAAGTGGCAACAGTAGCAATTCGGTGAAGACGGCGGGCGCTTCCCGCCCAAACTTCCACACGTCGATTCAAGACCTCGCCTCAGTGCTCAATGCCATTCCGGCGGCCGAGGAGTTGAGTGCACTATGGCTGGGAGAAAGCTTGCCTGATGAGGTGTGCCAGCAGATCTCCGCTCCTGTTCAGGTCGACGCGGGAAAAGTAATCCCTTTACAGCTGCTCAAGAAGGGTCTCGATAGCGGGCGAACAGTGTCTGCACCTTCCGGCCGTGGTCTCCCTCTGTGGTTAGCTGTGCGTCCAAATCGCCTGTTCCCTGGAACCTTGACCTAAGTGGCTGATAAGAATCTCTCTGGGCGCTTTTCAGGTGCGCACTCTCAAAGCATCATGGCACGCTGATGGTACCTGGCCCCTTCGTGGTCGTGATGAAGGGGGACTCAGCAGTCGTTCCTGTGATTCAACCTCACAAGATCTCGAGCCTGTTCCAGATTTGTCGGCAATGAGACTCCAAGCAGGCGGAGGCACGGCGTCTGAAGGTCACGGCAGCGACTCTGATGGCCTCTCCGACAACAACAGAGCGCTTAACGGAGGTGTGCTAAAGCCTGAGCCGACTCAAGGTTCAGCTCAAATGTCGACCTTCATCAGCAGCCTCCCTCCCTCTCCCTGGCCAGCCGCCTTGTTGCTAAGGCCGATTTCTCTGGATGGTCTAGGAGCAATTTTTGGCGACCAAGCTAATGCATCTGTAAAGGTTGCAGAGTGCTACGCTGCGCTCCCCTTGCGACAGCCAGAACCGGGTCCGCCGGCACGGGAGGATCCAAGTCCGCGTTATATCGCAAAGATGTATGCTAGAAAAGCACAGCATTCCTTGCATTAATAAAACCGGCCGATCTGCGTCTTCGGGGACTGCTATCCATCTGTACCCATTTGACTTTAAAGACGTGCGCCGGATTTTTTCGCTTCAGCCTTAGTGAGATGCGCGACGCGGAGCTCGCGCTGCGGCGTGCATGCTAGACGGACGCCTCTTGGTAAAGCCCCCTTTCGGTCCTCCAAGGTCACAAACGTTCATTACCATGTCCAAAACTTCTGCAAAGTGTGAACACGTCCATAATTCTTTGCCACTGCGGGCTGCACCGCAGCGCAAATTGCTCCATGCTGAGCACCTCATGCCACCATGAATGAGCCACCTAACGCGGCTGGTGCGACTGCATCTCGGCAGTGGAGCTCAATGTCATCAAGTCCATCCCGTGGACGCCCTCGCGGAGGGTCGTCCCCTATGACACCTGCACAGCCGCTCCAAGGGATAGCCATATGTGCTGCAGGACCTGAGCCTGCAGCTGCAGACCCTGACGACGTTCGTCTTTCTGGCATCAGCACATCCCCTAGCACCCCGCGCCTTGGACAATTTCGGAAGCCAATTGAGTCGAGTCCAAGCCGAAGGAGGCGAACTCCAGGCACCACGTCTCTGAGCATACCTCGCCATAAGAATAGTATCGGGACTTCAGGAATTGCCCTCGCTTCTCCGAGGCCCATTTTCTCAACATCTGTGACGTCCCCGTCGCCCATCTCTGTAGTGACCCCAACCTCGGCTTTCAGCACGACGACACCTACAGCAGCGACCTCCTCTGCGTCCGCAAATGGAGCGTCAACGACCGCTCCGTCCATTACCTCTGTTCCCTATGAGCCCCTAGCTTTCTCAATGGAAGATGAGGCTGACAAGAGATCAATCTCGGTTTCGACGGCCGTCACGAGCGCGGCCCCTACAGATCAAAGGGAGCAAGCTGGCGCTCCAATTGCACGGCGCAAGAATCGCAACTTGAGCGTGTCGACGAATCACAGCCTGTCCATCTCGAATTTACCCCCCCCTACATCGGTTCTTTGGGCACATTCGGCCCTTCATTTGAACGCTGACGAGCCACGTCAAGCGGATGCACCAATTCCAGTTGGTGATGCCGAAGGCTTGGAGCAGGGCAGGCTGGGAGAGCTCAAACGCTTTACACTGTGGGAGACAAAGACCGTGCGTCGACTCTGTGCCATTCCTTGTTTCATAAACATATCACCTTATCATTTCTTCCTGCTTGGCGGACAGCGCTTCTATCTCGTTGCCTTCAATACTTCGAAGACACGTTTCCGTATACTCAAGATCGACCGGACGCCGCCGATTGCACTTGCTCAAAGCAATGCTGCCAAAGGCTCCGTTTCGACATCTGGAGGCGCAAGCTCTGAGGCAGCCATGAAGAAGCCGCTTGAAGGAGCGGATGGCCTCGCCTCACAAGACTTGCCCCGGCGAGATCTTGCCAATGAACATGCCAAGAACGCCCGAAGCAGGGTGTCACAAGCTGCAGCAAGTGCCAGTCAACCTGACGAGGCCGTATGCAACATCGATCCGTCGATGTTGTCCGCAAGCGGCGAGCGCTATCTGACAGCCAACACGGCTGACATGGTCATGTTGCAACGCCCAACGGATGCCAAGAGTTCCACGCTCTCCGAGCTAGCCAGCGCTCCTAGACTGAATTTGGGCGGCACAGGAAGGTCGACAGCGCCACATCCCGGCAAGGAAACCACCGGCTCCAACTTCTCTTTTCCGCCAAACGAGAGGAAAGATGCTTCCTACTCGACAACGCGGCTTGCTAAGAGCTCCTTCAGTGCCAAGCCATCTGGAACTTCATCCTATCACGAGCATACAGGCCGAAGCAGGGATGACGATGCCGATTGGGAGATGAACGTCGTAGCCGACTCTGTCGTCTACACTCGCACGCAGATCGAAGAGCTTTTGGAAATGCTGCGAGAGGGCAATAAAGCCTCGGGGGGGCTGAAAGAGATGGGGCGCTTTTATGGCATCGTCGGCTTTATTCGCTTCACCAGCACCTATTACATGGTGCTCATTTCCAAGCGCAGTGTCGTCGCACTTTTGGGTGGACACTACGTGTTCCATTGCGATGAAACAAAGATTGTGCCCATCTGCGACCCTGGAATGCTAGCTTCACTAGGAGGCCGCTCTAAAGTCAAAGAGCAGGAAGAGACAAGGCTGCTGGCGACGTTCAAGCAGGTCGACCTGAGCAAGAACTTTTACTTCAGCTACACGTATGACCTCACGAAAACGCTTCAAGACAATCTTACGAGCAAAGCTGAGGCAGAAGCAGGTGATGGACACGTACATCAAGATCATCGGCAAGAGCCGCTCACCGCATGGGGCTTCAACGAGAAGTTCGTCTGGAATCACCACTTGCTGATGCCGGCATTTGGATCCTCTGTGCGGAAGGGCGCAGCACTCGGCGATGGGTGGTATGGCAGCGAATGGGTCCTGCCGCTCGTCTATGGGTTCGTGGATCAGGCCAAACTTTCGGTCTTGAACAGGACCATCTACGTCACTCTTATCGCACGCCGGTCACGCCATTTTGCTGGTGCACGGTTCCTCAAGCGCGGTGTCACGGACAGGGGTCAAGTGGCCAATGACGTCGAGACAGAGCAGATCGTCAACGAGCCGCTCACAAGCCCATTCTTTGCACCTGGAACAGGCGAGAGCTCGCGCGAAGGAGCTACATACCAGCCATTCATCCCATCCCCACGCTTCACATCGTACGTTATGCATCGGGGGAGTATACCCATATACTGGACGCAGGATTCGACAAACATGTCTCCGCGCCCGCCGATTGAGATCAGCGTCGTTGACCCATACTACTCGGCTGCAGCATTGCATTTTGACGACATGTTCCGGCGCTATGGTGCGCCTGTCATCATTCTGAATCTCATCAAGAGCAAGGAGAAGCAGCCGAGGGAGGTGAAACTGCTGCGCGCCTTTGGGGAATGTGTCAATTACCTCAACCAATTCCTACCAGAAGAAAAGAAACTCAAGTACATTGCATGGGACATGAGCCGTGCCAGCAAAAGTCGCGATCAGGACGTAATCGGCGTGCTAGAAGACATCGCGGAGGAGACCATTGAGAATACCAAGTTTTTCCATTCTGGTCCGGAGCCAGCAAGCTTTGCCGAGTTCGCAACAGAGAGCACGTCGGCTCGCAGAGAACAAATCCAAGTACAGAGCGGGGTCGCCAGAGTTAACTGCGTGGACTGTCTCGACCGCACCAACGCTGCTCAATTTGTCATTGGCAAAGCCGCTTTCGGTCATCAACTACACGCTCTGGGGCTCCTAGACCATCCAACGCTGCCTTTCGATTCTGATGCTGTCAACATGCTGACGGAGATGTACCACGACTTGGGTGACACCATCGCCTTGCAGTACGGCGGCTCACATCTAGTCAACACCATGGAGACGTATCGCAAGATCAACCAATGGAGCTCTCACTCACGCGATATGCTGGAAGGAATCAAGCGGTACTATGCAAACTCTTTCGTTGATGCCGAGAAGCAGGCTGCGATCAATCTCTTCCTCGGAGTGGATGCAGAGATGCCAGAGACGAACCGACTTGTCAACGTCAACAATCCTCGCTACCAGAAATGGTTTATCCCTCAGCATTTGGGTCCGCATGACACCGTCTCTGAACGCATACAACGGTTGCTGGAGGTGGTAAACTCGGACAAGGGCTTTTGGGCGGAGTACTACCGGCCTCGACTGTTCACAGAGTGAGAGTCCTTAATGGTTTTATATTGTTCGGAGGGCTGACAGAGCGTGACTGTTGCAGCATGGCGCGACATCATGCGTACAAGATGACTGCGGTACACCAGCATCATCCCATGACGCCAATGCACCAAACAAATCACATCCCCATCTCGCCGAGCTCGATTCAGCAGACTCAGGTCATTGTGACGAGCCCATTCGTCAACAAGTACGCGCCAGCAGCCATCGGTCGCCATAATCAATCCTCCTCGAGCGGATTGTTTGAGGAGAACAACCGAGCTATTATCGGTGGTGTCCGGCGATGGATGAGCATCAATAAGGCTGGTGCCGGACCCGTTACGAAGAGGAAGCGTTCGAAAATGTACGCGAGCGGCGAGGATGGTCGCGCAGAAATTTCAATCAACGAGAAGAGGGACAAGACTGGCGCTACAGGAACTGGTGCAGCAGCCGGACTTGCTGCTGAGATAGGGTTGACAGCGTCGGCGGCCACTGGGCCGGCAGGCGCGTTCCCTGCCTTCGAAGTCGCTCTCTGCCGCATTCAGATGCCCACCGTGAGCGCCGAGGAAGCTTCCGAGTACGAGTGGTACGCGACCCAATTTGCCGACGTGTCGTTTAGCCAGACACACCACGTCGATGAGGCAGACGTCGCCATGTATGAGGACGGTGCGGCCGTAGCTGCAGGCGCTGTTGACAAGGTGGCAAGCCTGCTTGTCGGAGGGGCCGGACAAAGCAGGGAGGGCGAAAAGAACGCTCAACTCGATCCTGTGCTGCTCGCTTACGCGAATGCTTTGCCTGGGTCGAAGGCGTTGATATCCAAGTTAGAGAAAGTGAGCGATGCGAAGATCCGGGCGTACAGCAACTGGTTGCAGAGTCATGTGCCGAAGTAATCAAATTGTAACCGTATTGTTAGATAGCTGTAGCATAGCAAGGGGGCTGACACAGCTCATCGCAGGTAATGCAATCGTTAGACAACATGTTTTCCTCTCCCCCTTCATCATCATGCCCATACGGCTCCACCATCGTTTCCTGATTAGATCAGTGCAACTTTTCCTTTTTGAATTCCGGCTGGAGTGGATTGAGCTTGAATAGCTTCTGGAACTGGGTGAAGCCGGCGAAGAATGTGCTGATACTCCAAAGCGCAACAACATGTAGGCTCGCTTTCCGTCGGAGACAGAGAACAGCCATTGCAATAGCCTCGATGGCGTGAACTTTTGCGAGGATGCTCATGACAAAGTTGCACGTTTCAATGCCATCCTCGCCGCCGATCTTGGCCATGATGTACTCGTTGAAGCCTTTGGACAAGATTGCATCCCGCACTGCGGGCGTACGAATGACGATCCATGCTCCGATCACCATGGCCGGAAATATGAAGTCGTATGAAGGAGAGTAGAGGATTGGGGCGTTCTTCTGCCTCCTCTCATCTGCTTCCTGACAGATGGCGATCATCTTCGGTCGCGCTTCGGTGTCTGCCTTGAGCGGCTTGTCGAATCGGATGAATAGCTTCTGTAGTGGTGGTAGAGTGAGCAGCGATGGGCCTATTGGTCGGAACTCGAGCTCTAACCCCGTTGAAGAGATTGAAAGCATCTTGGCCTTATCTGGCAGACGATCTAGACCAGCATGGTACTGAGCTAGCGCCTTGACCGCGTCCTGTAGTTAAAGGAGGACAGAGTAAGTCTTGCAATGCAGGCACAGTTTCAGCGCGATTTTCTGCTCACAGAATGATCCTTGTTCATGTGAGTTGTTATGGCCGCCGAGCGTGCAGCTACGGCATCCTTCTTTGCGGGCGGCATCGCTAACACTTCTCCGGGTTGGGATCGTTGAAGCGGCTCGGCGTGGCCTTGCTGCAGCGCGAGTGTTTTGCTTCTGTCTTCTGGGTTAATCCTGCTACCAGTTGGAGACAATTCCCCGCTATGCGCTGCTGTGGAGAAAGATTTCTCTTTGGTGCTCGTTGCGTCTCACGGTCCCCTTTTTTCGGCTTACTTGGTGCGTAAAAGGTGTCTACCCCGAAGATGCCTACCTTAAAGCGCGCAACAAGCCGTGAAGGCGTGAATGCCGCCACCTACCCAGTGGAGCGTGGCTGAGTACCGGCGAGACCGGTTCCGACGTTTGCTGTTGTGAGCCGATCGACGGGTTGATTACGTAAGAACATCTCTCCCGAGCGCGAGCGCACGGCCACAACCAAATGCACACACGTCGCCCTCTAGCCCATGACCACCATTGAGCTCGACCTCACAGTGATCAGTGCAAGGAGCCGAAGAGTTCTACGCATTGCTTCGAAAAGGAGAAGCAAAAGCTTAAGAACCAGGAAGAGGTGGAATTATCTCAGCTGTAAGGCAAATTCAATATGGCGGCGTCATCTCACTTCCCGGGCCAAACCTGGTCATCGCAGCCGTGCGTGGACCACGTTGCTCAAGGCTTTTCGTCGCGTCCAGCAGCGCAAGATGCTTTCGAGGCCGGGCGACAGCATACGCAGTGAGTAATCTTGGATCATTTGTTTCCGTAAGGGCTGAGCGCGTGGAAGAGGCTAAGTGATGCTCTGCGACACACCCTTTGCTCCACTTTAGACAACCTATTGTCACGGGAACTTCCATCCTTGGCATTCGATACAAAGACGGAGTCATGATGGCTGCCGACACGCTCGCTTCGTATGGCAGTCTAGCAAGATTCATGGACGTACGGAGGCTTCACGAAGTTAGCCCAAATACACTACTGGGAGCTAGTGGGGACATGAGCGACTTTCAATTCATCCAGCACGAGCTTCAGAAGGTTATGTGAGTCGATCCTCTGATCTGTATATCCTTGGACTCGGCAAAGCGCTGACAGTGTTCGAATCGGTCGCGCAGGATCCGCGAGTCGAATGCAGCGGATGGCCACACACTCTCGCCAAGCCAAGTTTACGCCTACCTCTCACGTTACATGTACCAGCGGCGGTCTAAAGTGGACCCACTCTGGAACTCCTTCGTGGTCGGCGGCATTGATCAGAGCACGGGTGCCCCCTTCTTAGGCTATGTCGATCTCCTCGGCACCACATATGAGAGCACGACCATTGCCACGGGCTTTGGCTTGCATCTCGCTCAGCCACTGCTACGGAAAGCGGTGGAAGGTAGGGAGGACGAGCTGGATGAGTCGCAAGCGAGGAGGATCCTCGAGGACTGCATGAAGGTTCTCTTCTACAGGGACGCGCGAAGCATCAATCGTTTCCAGATCGCTACCATCAACAATGCAGGCATCTCCATTTCCGAACCCTTCTCGGCACCAACGAGCTGGGGCTTTGCGGAAGGCCTTAGGGGATACGGTCCGCAGACGCAATAGCCACATGAATCATCATGTAGAACAGCTCGTTGACTACACAAGTTCTTACGCAAAGCACAGGCTGTCTCGCACGTGCTCGACCGGCTTTATCTTTCCTCCATAGCGCTATAAAATTGCTGGGACTGAGTATTACTGAGCGGCGGCCCACTTTCAATAAGCCCAATCAACCCTCACGACTCACGATAGCCTTTGTGCGTTCCGCAGCCTCCTGGAGCCTGCGTCACTCCTGGCCAATCTCGACCCCTGTCGCTTCGCCACTCTGTGCTAGTGAGGCGAGTTCAGTGAACATCAATATCTAGCAAAGAGCATGGCGCAAAGCATGCTTTCATCCTATTGCCCGCATGACCAAAGGGCAAAGACAACGTACACAAGTCCATTTCAGATGTTACACCAAGTTGTTTATAATCTTAGTATGTACCTCTCACGTCGCAAGCGCATGGGTGCACCCGTTTTTTTCCGCGTATGTTTTCTGTAAAACCTTTGGGTTTGTCCTGTATTTGGCAACCATGAGCTTGGAATCTAACTTCAGCGCGTCAATTCAAAGCCTCACACACCCTCACGGTGTGGTTCTCGCCATGTCACCGCGCTCGCATGTCACGTTGGTCGTTTACCACTGGGCATTGCTTCCTCAATACCACAGGCCTACATCCCGTGGGCACGGCATGACCACCTGTCCTATTTGCGGGGATCCAGCAGGCTGCCTCAAGACTTATTGCTAGGCGCAAAACGGCTCAGTGTGACCATTACAGGAGGATGTGCTGACATACATACGGTTCGGTGCACAAGGCGTTTCAAGCATGGCATGGAAGGATGAAGGTACCGGCGGCAAGGGCTATGTCTATTCTCAGGAGATCTCTCAGATGGTGCGTTTGTGATGACTAAAGGGAGCAGCTTTGGGCTTTACGCAATTCTGACTGTTGATTGTCTCTAACCGGATCGAGCATAGACCTTTGTGTTCGCAGAGGTTACAGATCCTGATGAGTCAGTCCTGAAACTCATCGAAGACATTGTTCGCGCCCAGTGTGTAGAGCTGGTCAGTATTAATGGAGCCTTCAATTCAACCGAAGCTCCTGGGATTACATATCGCCTTGCTACTAGAATGCTTACCCTATGGACTTGTTTGCAGCTGGTTCAGTCACGCAAGCTGGCCATACGGCGCAACAGCAAGTTCCTGGCCGCGGAGGATCTCATTTTCCTAATCAGACACGATCGTGCTAAGGTGAACCGTCTGCGAACATATTTGAGCTGGAAGGATGTTCGTAAGAACGCGAAAGAGAGCGGAGGTGATGCCGGCGGTACTGGTGGGCCTGGCGGAGAGATAGACGGGCTCGACGATGGAGCGAGTGAGTACATGTGTGCCAAAGCTTGCATCGTCCTGTATCTGCACATTTATAGAACTGCGAAGGCTTAAAATCCGGACGCTTGGCCTTTTCGGTTTGGCAGTGGACACGATGGCGAGGACGCACGTGATGAAGCTCAAAATGCCATGGGAGATCAGTACGATCTACAGCGAGAATCTGCGCGCTCTTCAGAATGAGGATGACGAAGAGCAAGATGAGGACGACCTCGAAGCCCAAGAAGCCAGTCTGCAACGCTTAAAGGAGGCAGACGACGCAACGAGGCACATGACTCGCGAGGAGTACGTCCACTATTCGGAATGTAGGCAGGCATCATTCACGTGGAGGAAAGGTAAGCCTTCCCATGGCGCATGGCATAGGTATCCGCTTTTCAAGGCTCACGCGCAATTCCTTTTTCGCAGGCAAACGCTTCAGGGAATTTATCAATGCCGGCGCATACATTGATGTCAAACCGAACGACGATATTATCGATATCCTCGGCTTCCTCGCCTACGAAGTAGTGCGAGAACTATGCATCAGCGCAGTCGCGATTCGTGACGCCGAGGAAGAGCGTAACCGTCAACGCAAAGCTGGTCTCACAGGAGGCCAGCGTTCCGCAAATACCGGCGCGCACACGGGCTCCAGCTCAGATGGACCAGACACATCGACCGAATCTATCGACAAAAGTAATCCCGACCTAAGCAAGGAAGATGAATATGCGTCTGGCAATACATCGGGCCTGTCAATCGCAGCGAATAGTAGGAAGCGCAAGATGACGATAGACAGCACAACGAGCGCTGGTCGGAATAATGTGTCTCCGCGGAAGCGAGCGCGGCAGGGCAATGGACCATCAGGAGAAGCCACCTCGACGTATCTAGGCGAAGGAAATGATCGCAATCACACCGGAGATGGCCTCGTTGATGATGGCGAACTCTGCTCTCTCTTCACCGTGCCAGCCAGCAAGCACGTCCCGCTAACTGCTGCCCACGTGCAAGAGGCCTTTGCACGCGTACAGCGTGACAATGCAGCGCTTGCAAGTAGCGGCCCGCCTGGCCCTCCTGGAGGTCTCAGACGAACGCGCCTCTTCGTCATTTGACTATCTCTGGATCTCCAATCTGAACACGCCGTTTTCCACATCGGTCACTCTTCTGTACAATAGCCATTTTGCAAGCAACTCGATCCTTCGTTGTTCAGAGCAGATGAGGTAAAGTTACAATAGCCAAAGCCCTGCATCGGACAGTGTGCATTTGCTTCTACAATTTGTGTCTGTGTACAGTGCGTATGAGACGTTTGAGAGTGTGGAGTGGATGATTGCGGACAAATGCACAGCGAGTGTATGAGTGAGTGAATGGGCGTTCGCATGATTGCAATTCTGATGGTGAGAGTGATAATGATTGCTTTAACCAGAACCCAAAAGCCCAAGCAGTGGCCCCATTCAAGGATGATAAGGGTTACGAAGGACAACTTTCTCAAGTGGGAAAGAAATCGTGTTGCTGCTGCTGTTGCTACGGGGCTCTTGCGCGGCCTCCTTCTCTAGCACGTATTGTGGCCTGGTGTCCGCCGATATTCGCATTGAAGTGGGCAATGACATCATCATCGACGGGTCATAAAGGCTGTCATGATGTTGAGAATATGCGTTTGTCGGATCAGATGCGTGCATCTCCATGGCAGGGGCGGCAAAGCGCGCGTACGGACCCATGCTTGACGAGACATCCGACGCCGAGATACCGCCCATATTTTCAGCATACAGTGTAGCATCTGGATTTTCGTAACCTTGCAGAGCGGCTGTTGGCGCATCGTGGCGTGCTCCGGCCCAATGTTCCAATTGCGGAAGCCCGGGCTTGCGAGGAGCACTGCCAGGCTGAGCGGAATGCTGCATGTAAAGCAAATTGCTGTGAGGCATAGATCCACTGGATGGAAGAAAAGTCGATGCCTGCTCATAGTTGGACTGGCTGGGTATTGATGCAGCAGACATCGCAGATACCGGCCTCGATTCCTTCCCAAACTCGGTCGGCACTTGATGAGGGTTGGGTTCGAGCAACGCCGTATCGGATGGCGTTGGATAGAATGGCAAGGACTGCAGATCCTGGAAGACGGCTGGGCTGTGACTGAAGCCTTGTGGCAAGCCAGACGGGTACGGTTCGTAGCGCCCATACGGGTTGCTGTGCATGTTGTACGTAGCTGCTGTCGATACAGTCAGTGGCAACATGCTGGATCCGCCAATCTCGTGCGGCATAGGTGGAGCTTCGGAGACTGTGCGATGCCTGCTAGCAGTTGTAGCCGACGCTGCAGATGCTGCTCGTGTACGACTCGGTCGTCGACTTGAGCCTTTTGGCATGCTAGCCTCGTCCAGGCCAAGCCCAGCTGGTAGGTTGCTGCCTGCTGTCGGAACCTCGTCCACTTCCCCTCTGTACCGCGGGATCCCATCAGGCCCGGTCTCAATATGAGGCGGAACTCGAAAGTTGGATTTGGCGAGAAAGATGGGGGAGATGGAAAGCGAAAGGAATTCTGGCATCGACGCTGGAGTCCTCAGTTTGCCTGCATATACGTCGTCAAGTGAATAGTACGAGATGAGATGGTGGTGCGCGCCTTCCACTTCAATAGAGATAGTCTGGCGGCGCAATGACAAGTTGCATATGGTCAGCCTCGGTGGTGCGGCATGGATCCACACACCGTATTGCTCACCTTCTTGCATAACCCCTTCTCCACGAAAGGGTAGCTGTTAGTCAGACTGCCCACAAGACTTCTATGCAAATCCGAATTTCGCCTCGACATGCTTGGCGCCCCTCGCCTGGAGCCCGGCCGCCTTTGGCTCTCTGGCAACATGAGATCCAAATTCGAGTCGAGGCTGCCGGACCGATCCCGCGTGGTCATGCTTGATGACGCAGAAGCTGTAAGGAGCGCATCTTCGCCCATCGCAGTACTGCCTTTCGTCCCGCTCGGTCCAGCGAGTTGGTGGTCGAAGTGCCTCGGCTGCTGCTGCTGCTGTTGATAAAGTGGATTAGGGACCATGAAAGGGGCACCACCTGCCAAGCCCATGGCCTCTTGCTCCTGAATGCTGGGAAATTTAGTGTACTCAGGTGGAGTGGCAGATTTGGGAGAGGCATTACTTGCAGGCTTTCGGTCAATCTGTCGATAAACCTGCAGTGCCCTCAGAAGGCCTCAGTCGGTATCCTTTGAACATCGTCGGCGTCAGGCGGATGTACGCACCAAGAAGTTCTGCAAGATGCGGCTCGGGCTCCACAAAAGGCCATCAGTCCATCGTTTGATACCGCTCTCCCTTTCTTCGAATAGAAAAATTTGCCCGCTCTTGATCAACCTTTTGCGTTCATTATCGCGCAGCCGCCTTCTGATCTTTGGAATGTGACCGCGCTTGGCAGCTTCAAACAGAAGCAGTGCATCTTGCGTGGATGACCTGTCAAATATGGGGTGATTATTTCAGCACGAAGTTCCCTGACCAGAGCCACAGCGGGGCTTCGACTCACACATAGCCTTGCCAGCTGCTTTCCGAAATCGGGTCCGCCAACGTGCTCATTATGCGCACCCACCCTCCAGGATGACCAAGACGGACTACGCTGCGATCGAAGAGCTGCTCTTCAAGCAATGAGGACCTGGATTTCAGAGAACTGGGTTGTTCTGGGATATAAAATGGCGTGTGAGGTGCACCTGGCAAGCCGCCTGCAAGAGGCAAAGGCTTTCTTGACTAAAAGACTAGGAGCGGGGCGATCGCTGGATCAAGACGTAGGTTACGCAACTTGCACGCTTTCCTTCAATCCAGAGCTGCAGGGATATCGACTCCGAGGAATGTGCCGGAGATGGTGGTCGCTTACCCTTGCTGACTGGAAAGTTCCGGTGCCAGGGGTTGGATGCGAACAGTGGCAATCGCTTAAATGGCGCAGGTGACAAGGCGAATGCTCCGCTTTGAACCAGATCTTCCGACGGCCAGCCGTCCAGACCCGGGAAGGGATGGGGCTTGATGCCTGCCTACTTAGAGACCGAGAGGGAAAGGGAAAGCGCCGGCTTTATTGCCGTGATGTGCTGTTTAGGTCTCTGCTTGGCACCAAGCAGCAAAGCCCAAGCTTCGAGCTGGGTAGCGGTTGTGATGATGCTACAGGTTTCGACGAAAGGAGAAGTGATTGTATGAAAAGTGAAGGAGCTTTCTTTTCTCTTTCCCTTTCTGCGCTCGATAAGGCGAACTGTGAGCCTCTCAGATTGGTGGCAACATCAGCGAAGGCGTCCAAAGCGGTGACGCTATCCAGGGGAGATGGTGATGTCGTTAAATAAAGCGAGTTTCGTCAGGCGCTGCTTGGCGAGTCGAAAAAAACGAACGTCCTAACAGGGCTGTAACAGGATGGGTCACCAGCGAGTATGCAGGCGGAGAAGCCGCTTGGACGAGGACGAACTGGTGAAGAGACTTGCTCAGGCAGTTCTTAATATGACCTTTTTCTCTTTTATAAAGAGGACATCATCCGGCACATGTGACGGAATGACGAAGCTCATTTTCTGTTTGTAACAACTTCTGTGCCGTTCTGCTACATACACCTGCATCCTTTCGTTCCCTTCTGCTCGCTGCCTCGCTCGGCTGTCAGCTGGGCTTGTGGGGAGCATGGGGCATGCTTTGGGGGCACATGCGCTCATGAGGTCAACTTGGTCTACCAGCCACGGACGGCACAGAGGATTAGCGGTTGGGACTGTAGGGCACCGGGTACCGGCGATTTGCAAACTTCCAAGAGTCCTCTGCTGTCGCGCTCGTTGCTGTCACACCATTTGTGGGCGACTTCATCACCGATGGCACTCCGTTCCCACTTCCCAGATTGCAGTTGCATTTACAATTCCCACATGTACACACACTTGTTCACACATTCGAGTATGTACATACTTGGCACTAAACAGGGTTTATGTTATGTAACCTCTCACGCCACCGCACGTTCCGTGTCCGCAAGATCGCGCGCCACTAGGAACATATGAATTTACATATTCACAGCGTTATAGTGCCAGGCACACGCGTGGCCCATGAGGGATCGATTAGGACCCGCCAGGGACTCCCCCCACGTATTCGATCTGCCTCTCACGCAGATCACAGTGGTCACAAAGCGGTGCTTGACCAGCTGCCAGCGCACGGCGGACTGATGCCCGAATGAGAGCAACATAAATTGGATGCATCAGCGCACACAATACCTTGCATCTAATACGTAAGGGTGGTTCTCTTACAATACTCCCACGAGCCACACCTGCAGTCCTCCATCAATGCTTTCTTGTGTTCAACAGCGTTGTTGCGCAGACTGTCGAGTTGCACAGACCCGAGCGGCTGCGACTCGTCCCGATAAATTACATACTTCTTCTGTACTTGTCTTATGCCCAATTTTAAGGTTTACGGCGCTAATCTTGTCAAACTGCGCTAAATTCATGTCTGCCAATTCGAAAAGGCTTGTTTATATTCACGTGATTGTAAAACTTGACACCCGCAGCAGCTCCAGCAACATTATCTGCACATAGTAGGTGTCATCAAAAAAGCATAAGCGCATAAACGCCTAAAGCCTGAACAACTGATGCATGATGAACGCCTGCTGAACGATGAACAAGTCACCAGTAAATGTACGACTTCGATTACGAGGTGTCGAGGGTGTTCAGCTTGTGCGGCGCTTCATTCGTAGTCTTCTTGGCTGACACGGTATGCACATGCACTGGAGTGTCGACATTTTGCGATTTGTACATATTATTGTCCTCACTCAATGTATGCTTCTTCGTATTTTCAAAGTACATAATACGCAGTTCCCCAGTCAGCACATCACTCTTTACGGATCAAAGGTCACTCACTAGTCGCTAGCCATTGCATACTCCTAGTCACTTGTATATATTCAAAGCACCGAGGTGCCCAGAGCGCAACGTCGGACTCGCTTCGGTTGGATCACGAAGCAGGTTTCGTCGGCAGAGTTTGCCGGCTGCATCGCTGCAGGCTTGGGCACATGGTGGCCTGTACGTACCATGTCAAGGCCTGGTAGGATCTTTCCCATTTACGCCTCGGAGCTCGGGCGCAGCTCTCAGGGAGGTTGGCGCCGGATGATGCCTCGGGTGTCCTTTATTTTCTTTCTTGCCCGTCTGTCGTTCCCCTTGGCACGTAAAGACACGTAGAAATTAATACCTGGAAGAGGTCTTTGCCCTCACACCTCTCATTCTCAGAATGATATGTGCGCGCCTAACATGACTTGATTTGGTGTATGCATATGATAATACTAACTCTCTATACAGTATACATATGCCAATGCGTACTGAAAGGCAGAGCGTTACCTCTTCTGAAGATCTATAAGGAGCATTAACTTCCCTGTCCACGCCTGGGCTAGTCTGGATAAACGTTCCAAATTCATAATGACATTTGCACATAAATTCGCACGAGTGGAGTAGTTTGGAATCTGTCTCAAAACCAAATGGAAAAGTACACATTCGCGTGATTTCGCATACAATATCCCAAGGCTAAAGCAAATCCACAATGTGGCGTAAATCTTGGATGCTACATTCGTCAGCTTCACCTGGGCGCTGGGCACCATGTTGACAAGTGGTTAAGCATACCAAAAGGCTGTAACAGGGTCTCTGGATGAGGCAATAAGGATGTGGTGATTGTATGGGGCACCAGCAGTCCGTGCATTAAGTGGCCAATGGGTCTCACAAATGTGGGAAGATTTCGATTCATCCTGTGTGATTTTTGAAAACTCCGCCTGTGTGAATGGCAACTGTGAAACCTCATTGTCTCACAGCCTCACCTGAGCTGACTGCCCACTGTCACCCCGGACGCGCCGATTGCCGCCAAGCCCGAAACGCTGCTCGCGGCAAGATGGCAGACGCGGCCATGTAGCGGCACCGAAGCCTGAGAGGCGCTTATGTTCTGGGTGGCTGGGCGGTGAGCGCACGTAGACGAGCTAAGTCTATGATCCAGGACATGCTTCAACAAAATCCCGGAGTCTCCGTATTCTCAATCCAGCTCAACATTCTATAGTGCTGCAGTGCTTTAAGTCTAATCGCCAGTGGGCAGACGGCGCTGCTTTTGCCGCTGGCTGTTGAAGTCTCATCCAGATCCTCAGTCGAGCCCCAAGCGAGAGGCAACACCGACCTCCTGCAGATTGACTATGGTCGATGTATTCACCACTGACTTGAACAACACATTGGCAATTGACCATTGGCTATTGACTGCTGACTGGCATTGTCCTTCGAAGGTCCTTCGCCTCTTCTCACTTCTCACCATCTAACTTTTCAAATGTCACAATCTCACAAGAGATCCAAATTGATCAAAAGTCAATCTACATACACAGCCATACGTATCATACCAAAGATTCTGTTGGACAGACGGTAGCGGCAGGAGAGGCCGTCTTCGACGTCAATCTGGTGCCTTGCAATTATTTTGTCCACAGTCGACATTCAGTACCACTGACCGCTGCTCACTGAGGCACATGTTACCAGTGGAAACAAGGGTTGTCCGAGCGTAAATGCCTTTTGGAGTATGTATGTGATTTGACGGAAAGTCCGACGACAACCGCGTATCTCACATCTCATCTCTCAGGGAGGATCCATAATCGATCACTATCAATTTCACAAATATCCCAAGCTGGCCACTGCTGTGATCTGACCAAATAACGAGACATTATGTTAACCTTTTGCAAGAGGCATCCATGTCATGCACAGTGAGCATCCGGCTTGAATGGCCTCTCAATATCTCAAATTCTCCAAGTGCTGCTTCCATTCGTGACAAGCCGAGTTGCTGCCGAATGCCGCGGCTTCCTAAAAGCATTTCCAACAGCTTCATCACAGCTTCTCGTCGAATGTAATGTTTATTATATGCAGCAAATATTTTCGTCTGTCGTGGACGATACCCAGCGTGCTCATCAGGGAGCTGCATAAGTGCCTCGGACAGATGTCGTCCAAAAGCCACGTATGTCGACCAAGTTCATATCAAAACGCTACCATTATGAAGAGACGAACGGATAGCCCGCGGACGTTTACGATAAGCTGCACCAACGCGACCTAGCGCCTGCTAGGGTTCTCTGCTTGGCGGACCTCCGGAGGCTTGATATCTGCGCATAGATACTTCCGTCTGGTCCTTGTACGATGTGCTTGAGCCACTCAGACCCCTCGAACGCCAGCTACTGGAAGCTAAATCATCAAGTCCACGCATAGGCTTGCTACCAAGCCCTGCCCTTCCCTGAGGTGTCTTGACTTCCAAGGGGGCCTGCATTTTTATAGGATCGCCCTCCATCCTCGCAAGCATCTGATATCCAACATTGGAGCGATCAATCGCCTGCTGTGTGGTAGCTCGTGCGACCGGAGAAGTCGAGCGTCGTTGAAGGGGCGGAGAGCCCGATGGCCGCGTGCGCGGTGGAACGACAGTGTCCGAAGACCCAAATGCTGCCCTTCGAACAGCTGCACGATCCTTGTAAGGGACGTTGCCCTTCTCAAGATGCGCTTCCTTCGAGCTGCGTTTCTTCGTTGGGTTACTTAAGTACCTTGCCTTCATCTCCTGCATCTGGCGTCTTCTTTCAGCTTCCGCATCAAGCTTACGATCACCCGATAGGCGAATATGTGAATAGCTACCAGACGGACCCGTTATTTGACTGTTTGCTGCGGCCTTGGCCATCGACTTGGTCGGACGAAGATCGATCTCGTTGCTTCCGTCATCTCGCAGCTGACACAGGTCGCACGGATACCCATCCAGATGGAAGTGAACTTGGAAGGTGGTGTTTCCAATTCGTAAAAGATCGTGATGGTGTAGCGGGTATGGCGTACTTGCGGCTTTCGGCTGCGATAACCGATGGAATTTGTCTGTGGCTATTGAGCTCAGTAGCGCTGGAGATAGACTAGAGCTCAGAAAGTCAGAGTCCGCGCTTGGCTTGACGAACGTCGAATGTGTAGACCCGCAGTCGACTATGCAGAAACATGGCTGGCGCGTATGGCTTGACGCTCCCGCTGGGTCCCAAAACAAATTTGCATGATGCTTTGACACTTGGAGCGCAGGCAGTCGGAGTCGAGGTGTGTAAGCTCGATCCCGTCCCTGAAGGCATGTTTGAAGATCGCGTCAGCCAAAAGCCAAAGACCATACTCTGTGCTCGAGGGAGAAACTTGCGATGGAGATGCCGTCTTCAGAGGCATCAATAATGGCCACTTGAGCGTCGTCAGGTAGCACGTCCGAGCTGAGCTTGACTAGCCTCAGCTGCACGCTTGCCCCCATTGACCTCTGCTCGGCAAAGCAGAGCTCGCCGAATCTTTCCCCATATGCATCATGGCTGTACCCTTGCATTTTCGAGGTGCCTCTCATACGGTCGATCTCAGGCGATGCAAACGAGCAGAAGCGAGCAATCAAGCTCGTCCACCGTGGGAGAGAAGACTTTTGGCATTGGTGGCCCTCCGTAACATTTTCCCAGTAAGGGAAGACGACGCGCACAAACCGACTCGAAGTCCTTATGGACTCATGGCCCATTAAGTGCGGTGAATGGGTTGTAACTGGAGTCGGGATATCGGGTAATGGGGACGGCGAGGTCAAGCTTAGATAGGCTGAAAGACTTTCAGGCTTTTGTGCACATTTTACGCTTTCTGTTTGAATGTTTGCAGTAAAAAAATAGAGAGAGAGACCAAGTTGCCGGGTTGGAACAATTAGAGGGGTATCAAGGACTTTTGGCTTCATCAGTGTAGGACATGACCTGTGGCGAACATCACGTTCGGTTCGGGAGAGGGTGCGAGGATACAGCTGAAATGGCAAATCCGCGCTTGCGGACCGTGACTTCTGTCGTGGCTTTTGCGAAAGCACAATTTTCTTCAATAACTTGCGTGAGCTTCATAGATTGTACAACTTTTCCAATGAACTAGTAGGACTATCCAACCTCCTCTTTCCATTTCCCCTCCTATGCCCCTTCCACCTGAACGGCGCTGGGAGTTCTTCACTACATGCTGGATGTTGCTGCAAGCGGTACCTACAGCTGCGAGCTCACTGCTATTCAGATTCAGAATGACACTCGAAGAAATATGGATGCTTAAGGCTTTGTGTAGTGAGGATTTCGCGGAGGAGGCCGCGTGAGTTTCGAAAAATTGAACCGTTTGGAAGTTGAGAACATAAAACTTGAACTATCGTGAGTTTTGCTCGGAGCTCTACGCACCGAAAATGTTAAATTCCGTCGGACTCCGAAAGAAGACATGTGTTTTGGAAGCGTCGTTGATAACCCCTCCGAACGCCTACGTTTGCACTTCCAAAAGTCACATCAAAACACATGTTAAATCAGTTCTTGAGAACCTTCATCTCATTCTGTAATGCACAAGCCATTCTAGAAAGGACGTTTCAGGAACTTGGCTAGCATGTGGTCCTCACAAGGAAGAAGCATTGTGCTTCTTTCCGCAGTGCCTCTTAGTTGTTATGCTGCCGTCCTTCTGCATTCGTGAAGCTTCGCTATGCCCTACTGCCCAGAGTACCCGACTGAGCGGGGTGCTCTCGAGTGGTGACCTGCGTGGGACGCGTGGGCATGGGAACCACAGAGGTAAGCTAGACATTCAGAACTAAGTCCACCCGCGACCAGGAAGTCCCTGCCCATAAAACAGGCAGGCACACTCCGCAGGCTTCGACTTGTTTCTTTTCTATTCTTTTTTAATTTTTCATCTTGCCTCATCGCTGCTCTGACGCGGACAGGGGGTGTCAGGGCAGCGAAGTAAATAGGTACCAAGGAATCGTATAGATACTGTAGGGCATCCTCAATTCATCTGCTGGTGAAGCGCACTTGAACCGTCAACTCTGTCTTTCAAGCTGCTCGATCACGCATCAATAAACGCAGCAGGTTCGTCAGAGGCACAGTTTCGCAGGCGATAACGGCTACACCCGCGAGATAGACGGAGCGGTAGGCACCACCGCAGCGAAAAGGGAGATGAGAGTCAAATGTAAGACGTCGCTACTGCTCGCCTCTTGTCGAATTTCCACGAGCCTTTTAGGTGTCTATTCCACAGTAGTAGCAGCAAGCACGAGTGAATTTCTGTGACTCGCCTCTCCGCAGTCGATGCGTAGCTGAATGGTACAAAGTGCAGCATAGTCTTCCCCTCAAGTCATTGGCGAGGGGAGCAGCAGCACAACAGCGCTGGCGGCAGCAGATGTGACACCGTCAGGAGCAGCTCGTCGCAGTTACGCAAACCTGAAGAGTTGTGGAGGAAAGCCGAAACGATATGTATTGTAGATACAGGTCGGAAATACAAATGATGCTTATCGCACCTCAACCGTAACGCCGGTCGAAGTGGAGGGCTTGTACAAAGCAAAGGACGTCCCGCTCAGTGGGATCACACCACCGACCGTTGACGTAACCAAGAGTCGGGACACAAGACGCCTGCGTGATGATGTCTGTAGTGAATATAATGTCAAGTCTCGGCCCGTCATTTCACCGACGTTGGCCGGGAAGTTGCTATGATTCCAGCCCAGCTGCGATAGAGCACCATCTCGGGTTCCTGTAGAAGCTGCTGAGGCCATGTCGTCGCCAGAAAGCCAACCATTGAAAAAGCAGCCGGCTTGAGCCATTGTACCAGACAGCAGGGATCATTCTGCTCGGGGTCAACGGGCGTGGGCAGGGTGTTGTGAGGAAAATGCGCAGGGTTGGGCTCGGGCGCTTGGTCGGCGAGCCTTGATCCGGTGCAAACAAATGAAGGAGCTCGAGACACTGTTGCTGCTTGAGTGAAGGGCCGAAGAGAAATGTTTCTGTCCGATACGAAAGTTGCCGAGATTGTCAACTACAATGGGCATTCCCATTTCCCCGTTATTCATGGCGTCAGGTTGGAATAACATCGTCCGCCACGGCTGGCACATTGCGACGGACAGCTGGGAACTCCTTCTCAAGGACATTCACACATCTTCAAATTCCACTTGTCACGTGGCATTGGCCGAGGAACAGGACTGAGTCTTCTTTGACGAGACTCTTGGAGCACGGAAAGCCACCTCACTCGGTAAATTTTTGGAGCCGTGAAATGGAGCTTGGAGCTTGGGCTCTTCAAACATGGTGGTAGCGTGATTCATCCCGATGTACGATCTATCTATCCTTGACTCTGTGCTTCCACTTTCCTGTGAGGCCGGCTCCCCAAGCAGTTCTGACGGAGAGCAGAGCAAGGGTGACACCGGATACATCAATATCTAGGCTCTTTCGCCAAGGCCAATTTGGGAAAGATCGAGTCAGACAAATTGCTCCACCCCCAGATGATCTGCAAAATATACCGTCCGAGGCCAAAGGGTCATGGTCACCAACGAGTTGTTCAAGCATGGGAATGTACGGTGCAAGCAAGCTCAACCAAGATCAGTAGATAGCAGGGTATGGGCGACCAGGCAGTGTCAGTGATGAAGGGAGGGAGAGGGGGGAAGGGGGAAACGAGACACTGGCGAGCCACTGGATGGTATGTTTCAGGCTGTGCTCGACATGAGTGATGCCTAAGGGCTAGTGTTTAGTGAGGGCTCGAGTTCTTTGAATTCCAGAGAAAGGCAATAGCAAGCTGTTGTGTCAGTGGAGAGCGCGTACGGGGTGTGCGGTCCAGACGAAAGCGCAAAAGAGATGCAAATCTACACTTGCAGTAGACACCATGAGAAGTATTTCAGAACAGCAACCGTCTTATTGCAAATATACATAGGCTCACATCATTGCGTAACGCTTTGACTCTGTAACATTTCATCTGCACTCTGCGAACTTCAGGGTGCTTCTCAGAGCTCCTGTGCGCTACTCGCGGCCGCGCATTTTAAGCCCGAGCGCCAAGCCGACGACGGCAACGCGATCCGCGACCTCCTCGATGCGTTTCTGGATTGACTTTCCCGCGCCGTGGCCTGCGTTCATGTCGACGCGCAGTAAAATCGGATTCGGGTTGTCCTTGAGCTTGTGCTGCAGCTCTGCTGTGAGTTTGAAGGTATGCGCGGGTACGACGCGGTCGTCGTGGTCGGCACATGCCAAAAGGTATGTTGGGTAGATCTTGCCCTCCTGAACGTTGTGGAGCGGAGAGTAGGAGTAGTTGTAGTCGAAGATCTTGGGATCTTCATCTGGGTTGCCATAATCGGCGATCCACGCTGAGCCGATCGTCCAGGTGTGGAACTGCGTAAACAGAGAAGGAATGAATGAGTGGAAAAAGAATAAAAAATAGGAAAAAGCTGTATGCCTTTTTGCAAAGTCATCAAGAATGGTGCAATACCCAGTTTGCCCTTACCTTGAGCATGTCCATGACGCCGACCTCGCCGATGCCTGCACCAATACCATGCTCCTCTGTCAGCATGTTCATGCACGCGCCCACCATGAGACCGCCATTGCTGCCGCCGTTGATGATGATCTTGCCCTTTTCCGCGTACTTGTTCTCGTGTAAGAATTTAGCAGCGGACAAAATGTCCTCGAAGACGTTCTTCTTGTTGAGCAGCCGCCCTGCATTGTGCCACTATAAGAGGCGCAGCGCCCAGGCCAAATGAAAGCGTTAGCTTCTGCACACACGCACGCGAACGCCTGCGCATGCGCCGCTCGATGCAATCTCACCTTCTGCCCGTACTCTCCACCTCCGCGCGCGTTCACCTTGGCAAGCACGCCGCCATACTCAGTGATCCAGGTCATCATCCAGGGGCTGAAGCCTGGCTGGATGGAGATGTTGAATCCGCCGTACGCATAAAGCAGCGCGGGTGCCGTACTGTCCATCTTTGTGTCCTTGTGTCTCGTGACGAACATGGGAACGCGAGTGCCGTCGGTGGAATGGAAGAAAATCTGCTCGGAGATATAGTCTTCCGAGCGGATGGAGGCGACCTTGGTTGTGAGCCATGTACGCTCAAAAGGTGTTTCAGTCGGTGCAGAGGATGATGCAGCGGAGGTCCACGTGAAGCGGTATGTGCTGCCGGGGCTGGTTTCGGACGTGGTGGAGACGAAAGCCTCCTGATCCTCTCTCCGTCCCGAAATGCCACCGATTGTTCCGACAAAGTCGGGGAGCAATCGTTTGACCTGCTGCCCCGACTTGAGCTCATACTGCCACAGCTCGGACTTGACGTCGCGCGTGTAGTTGACGAGCAGCTTGTCGCCCGCCACGACTGTCGCGTCGGCGAGCGTCGCGTCGGCTTGCTCTGGTATGAGGTCGTGGAGCGGCGCAGATGTGTCGAGCTCGGATATATGCTTCGCGGAGCGCGCTTGGGAGAAGTCGAGGTCGGAGTAGACGACTTTACTGTTAGTAGCATCTTTGTTGGTTATCCAGTAAAACCGTGAACCGTCGTGCGCGACGTAGTCTAGAGAGAATTTGTACTCGCCGGCCACAGCGACGTATTTGAGAGCCTCTCCAATCTGCTGGCCTTCCAGCTGGGCGACCCAGATCTTGTTCTTGGTGTCTGTGTCCTTGTAACTAGAGACCACCAGATACTTCCCGTCCTCGGTCACATGTGTCCCCCAGCCCGCCGTTGGCGTCTTCGGGTCCTTGTCGATGACAAGAATGTCTTGCGACTGCTTGGTGCCGAGACGGTGGTACCATAGGCGCGCGTTGAGGTTGGCGTCCGTCTCTGTCCCTTTGGAAAAGTCATTCGCCGCTTCAGAGATGGATGGCTTGGGGTATGTCTGGTAAAAAACGCCCTTATCGTCCGGCGTCCACGTGGCAGATGTGAACTTGCAGTACTCCAGAGAGTCCTCGAGCCGATCAGGACCACCACTGGGGCTGTAAGCGGACTCTTTGTCCTCTCCCGCGACAAAGGGGGACGAAGTCTGACGAAAGTAAATCGTCTCCCAGTCCGAGCCGGACACCGAGATGCCGTACGCAACCAATTTACCGGAAGTCGAGAAACGAGTGTTCGTCAGTGCGATGGTTCCCTCCTTGCTGAGAAGCTGGGAACGAGGATGCAAGTGAGAATCAGAGCAATGGTTCACTGGCACGGTTCCTCACACTGCGTACATACATTGGCATCGAACCAGACCCTTCCTGGCGGCTTTGAGCCGTCGCTCTTTTCGATTGCATCAATTTCCTCCTGGGTCGCCTCGTAGATAGTGCTTTGGGGATCCAGACCCGAGTTGTAGTGCAAGTAGAACTTGCCATTCTTCTTCTTGACCGGGATGTTGATGCGCGGGTACGAGAAATTCTGCTCTACCTTTTCCTTGAATGCTTCTCGCTCCGGATTCTGCCTGATGTATGCTTGGGTGAAGTCGGCCTGTTCCTGAACCCATTTCTTAGTCTCGAGGCTCTGGCTTGGCGGTGTCTCGAGCCAAACATACGGCTCGGGGACGGTGACGGAGCCTTTGTTTGCAGACGTGTACGTCTTAGACGCTTGGTCGTCGCGCCTCGCCTGGGGAAAAGGCCGTGCTTTAAGGTCCCAACCAGGTGCAGGGCTGGCCATTGTGCTTCGGGGACGTCGCGGAATACGTGCCGTGCGAGATAAAGGGATGTACAATGTTGCTACTGCCGCTGTTGTTGTTGTTGTTTCCCAGCTAGTTGTGACTGCTGCCCTCAGGGTAATGCGACTGACACCCCACGCTAGCAGCATGGATGGCGAAGCGGTGGGAGGGAGGGGAGATGGTAGAGGCAGTTCCTTTATGGCAAGCTATCCCCACAAAGACTGTCACCTTGCACTCGTGACCCGCTCAATAGACTCGGACACTCGACCAAGGGGGCCAGCAAGCTCCACTTGGGTATGGAATATGAATGAATCATCCACGCGGTCTCTCTCCATCGGTCATCGCCTCGCCTCTCTTCGACCAACACTAGCTCAAGCCGAGGCAATGTGCAGTTATGCGCAAAACTCCCTTTGGCATGCACATGCACCACAAGAGTGCCCAAATGCCCGCGGTCTCGCCTCGCAAGCAGGCGCTGTTCGGCCGAAAGGCACGCGTCCACGGCCCGCACGGAAAACCTCAGAAGTCAGAACAACGACGCGCTTGCCATCGAACACGAGAACACCGTCTGCAACTGTGCAGCAAGAATGTAAATATGCGTATTCGGTATGGCAGATTGGCAGCACATTGAACGATGCTCAATCTCATCATATCGCTTGTGCTCGGCATGTTCCATGGGTCGAAGCGATGCCTTGCGAATTCAAGACCTTGAGAAGCTCGAAGAGTGAGCCCAAAAGGGCAAACGAAGCGCGTCTGGGCTGTGACGCCGTGCAGCTGTAACGCTGTGCGGCTGTTGGCTGACGAGCGGGGCTGGCGCACATCGCTGGTTGCTGGAGTTAGACGCGAGAGAGACGCGTCTCAACTCGAGGCTGACTGGAGGCACGACGCGCGTCAGAACTTTGTCCAGCAAACACTTTTGGCTGGTGCAGTGCGATGCGAGGATCTATGAGTGACCATTTCATGGGTTGCTCTTGCTGTTCCGCCCGCAACGGCGTCCCACGAGTGAGTTGATTGCACTTGTTGCTCACCGCTCTCTCATCGACGCGGCTCAGGCAGCGCCCCGAACAACAACACCAGCATTCGCCCAACCCCATCACTGCACTCCATTCACACCTCGTCCGCACGTCGTCCGCATCCAGTGCGCTGCACCCGGTCTTACTCGTACGCATCAGAGATCCGCAGACCGAGCTCGGTGCTGAACCTTGGTATGCCGGGAGGAACGCAAGATGGAGAACTACCAAAAGATCGAAAAGGTTGGCGAAGGTGAGCATTGTCCGCCGTTGTTCTTGATGTGGTGTCGACGTTCATGGCCTGGTCTGCACGACCTCGCAACGCAGTATCGACTTTGTAGGCCATGATCGACTTGTGCATCCATAAATAGGCCTTTTTGACATGTTTTACGGATGCAGCTACCTGCAAAGCATTTCTCGCCGTGGTTGTCAGGACGCATCGTGCTGACCTGCCACCTCCTTCCCTACTCACCCTCCTGCTTGCGTCGCATACACGTGACGGACTCATATCCACGTCGCATACATCCTCGACACAGGCACATATGGAGTTGTATACAAGGCTAAGGATATCGGCAATAACCGCATCGTCGCGCTCAAGAAGATTCGCCTCGAAGCCGAAGATGAGGGTGTGCCGTCTACAGCCATCAGGGAGATCTCTCTGCTGAAAGAGCTTAGGGATCCCAACATCGTAACGTGAGTGTGCACATTGGGCGGCGCATTCGTGGGTTCTGATTACATCGCGACTAATATTCATACTTTCCTTGCGCTCGCTGCTTCTCCAATCGCAGACTATATGACATTATTCACCAAGAACAAAAGCTATACCTGGTATTCGAGTTTTTGGACCTGGACCTGAAAAAATACATGGACAATGTCGGCTCAAAAGGGGACGGGCTGGGTCCGGACATGGTCAAGGTACGTGCGATCATCTCGCAAAGCTTTGCTTACATGCATATATTCTTTCTTGCTCACCTGCCTGCCTGCCACCGTGATATTTTTCTTATCCTCCAGAAATTTACATTCCAACTCGTCAAGGGTATCTATTACTGCCATGCGCACCGGATTCTTCACCGCGACCTGAAGCCGCAGAACCTGCTGATCGACAAGGAGGGAAACCTGAAGCTGGCGGACTTTGGCCTGGCGCGCGCGTTCGGCATCCCCCTGCGCACATACACGCACGAAGTCGTCACACTCTGGTACCGCGCGCCCGAGGTGCTGCTCGGTAGCCGGCACTACTCGACCGCAATTGACATGTGGAGCGTGGGCTGCATCTTTGCGGAGATGGCGAGCAGAGTTCCGCTCTTCCCTGGCGACTCGGAGATCGATGAGATCTTCCGGATTTTCCGGTGCGTTCACACCTACTAGCTGTTGCTCCTCCCCTCGGTCCCTCCTAGGTTGCTTACCCTTGCTCCCCCGTCTTCTTCTCTTTACGTGGCGATACAGAATCCTTGGCACACCGACAGACGAGACGTGGCCCGGGCTGAAGGCTCTGCCCGACTACAAGTCGAGCTTCCCGAATTGGCGCGGCAAGCCTCTGAGCGAAGAGGTCAAGAATCTGGATCCGTCCGGGATCGACCTGCTCAAGAACATGCTTGTCTACGATCCTGCGGGCAGGATCTCGGCCAAGCGCGCTTTGCAGCACCCGTACCTTGCTGGGAATGGGTTGTGAGAGGGCGTTGTGAGGGGCAGCGTCCACGGGGTGTGGAAGGCGGCGCACACAAGAGCAGGAGTTTGGGGGACGGCTGTTCGCTTTTGCGAAGTGCGCTTGCCAACGGCGGCATGACTAGCCCATTTGACCATCATCTCCGCTATCAATAGCATCCAAAACTCAACCCCGATCCGACCAGCATTTCTGTCCGTATCTTCCAACCCCCATCACATTCCATTCCATTCCATTCTACCCCAACCCACCTCCCATGCACTCCAGACTCGAACCGAGCAGACCTCCTTTCCCCACCGCTTTTCTTGAGCATGGAGACGATCGACCAAAGCATATGTGTAATTAAGAGCAACCGCATTTTATACGACTGTCAGTCATTCTTGACTGGGTCATGTATCCACTGTCACCTCTTAAATGGGAGGCACCAAGAGCGGATTGAATCGCTTTGCGATGCCTCACCCAGCGCAATGTTGCCCACGACTTGCGTGCTTTACTTGACGTGCCTTGACTGGGTTGATTTTATGATTCCTCCAACGGCCTTACTATGCGATAGGAGTTGCGCACGAGGCTTGGTATGATGTTTGACTTTCAATGTTCAAACTATCCACGGCTCACTAGGCATCCTTAGTACTCCACTTAAAGATACCTGCAATGTATCTGTGGGGTTTTGCAAGCCGATAAGTACACGCTTCACAGCGCTGCGATCACTTATAGCCTTCGCGACGAGAGACTGACCCTACCAATTGGAAGTAGTGAAAGATAGTGCACTGCCAATTGCTAATCCAATCGTCAGCCAAAAGCTGAGTATAGTGGCCGCGGGTTGCCGCTCGTCCACACGGAGTTGCGGGTGATTAGGAGCGGCAAGGAATAGCGATGTGGAAAGGTAACCGTTCGAAATGGCGAAGAGAGAGAGGAGCAAGAAGAATACCCAATCTGCCTGTAGGATTGAGACACTGTCGTTTTTTGCGCGTGACAACAACAAATCCAGGGAATCCGAAGGTTCTGCAGGTGGCGCATGCGTGGTTTGCAGGTGGCCAAGCTTGAATAAGGGAACGAACGCGATCCTTGTCAGAGCCGACAGTATGAATATCCACCCTCGCTCCAGGATGAGCTTCGGAGGCACCAGCGACGGTATTGTCCGGCCGACAACGTCCAGCGTGTTAAAGACAAGGAAGTGTACCGCTGAGAAGATGAGGGGTGATGCCAACGACGTGCCAGGTTTTGCCGATGATGACGTGACGCGCGATGTCAATGCGGGAAAAAGGCACAATGTGATGCCAAACACGCTTGCGATGGAAAAACAAAGGCTAGAAATCTTGCGCTGCACACTAACAAGGCGCTCTAAGGAGCTGATTGGCCGTGATGCTCCGATGGCGGCTTCTTGCATAGCAGCTGCATCCTTCGTGGCGACCTCGGCATACAGCCGCGTTCTCGTGAGTATTCGGAAAGACGTCAAGACAATCGCCATCAGCACGGTTGTGAAGGTGAAGAAGGCAGTGGCAGACTTGATGGTCTCGGCATCGATCGGCACAGTTTCAGTTGTGGAGATACTCTGCACCTTAACGAAGGACAGAGCGGCGATGAGCTGGACAAGACTTATGAGTGCGCCGACAACACCTTGAAAAGAAAGCATCGAGCCCATGCACAGAGGCCCAAACCTCGCAGAGAGTGCCACGGTTGCGTTTTGAAAGTACGCAGTGGCGGCTGCCATAAAAATCGAAAGCAAAATTACGAAGGCAAAGTAAAGCTGTGCCGTTCCGGAGTTCGCTTGCGTCACAATGAAGGTGGAGAGTGTGAATGCGAGCAGCGATCCGAGAATGCAAAGCCCTGACCTTGTAATTCGCGCTTGAGGCGTCGTCTGTGAGGCACTTAGGAATTAGTTGCCCAATTCCTCCCTTCAGCGCAGCAATACTAACTTTTTCCAATGTAGCAGTGGCGTGGGCACTGAAGACGATGGTCGTTGCATTATACCCAACCACAATCCAAGAAGCGAAATTGTTCGCGTACTTAGTGGAAGCGAAACACGCCCGAAAGTATTCGGATGGAGTAATGAGTGCGTTGCTGTGTAATGGAAGAAGACCGTACTGTTCAGTATTCACTCACTTAGCAAGCTTCAAGGATGCTGTTCCAGCTCACAAGGGCAACAAAACACCGGCGCCGAGCAACCCGAACTGAAAGTAGACCAGGACCTTTTGACGCATGGGCAGGATCTGCCACCTGCCGGTCACCTCGACGCTCTCTGGCGTTCCATCTTCGAAAACTTCCGCCGCGGCCTCCTCGCCGGGCAGTTGCCGGTACTCGGCGGCATTCAACATGACGAAATGCAGGTATGCGAACAGGTATCAATGACGGTTCTATCCCTGTGCACCTTCTATCGTAATCGAACTTGATCGTAAGCTGAATTCTGCGCCGATCGGGGTAGGGGAAAAGTCGATGGATGTGCCTGTGGTGTTGAGTATGGGGATTCCTCACCCAGCAGATCAAAGGAGCGAGGTGTGATTGCCAGCCATGAGTCCATAGCCAATGGTCAATGCTCAACGCTCAGCATTCGACGGTGAAGCGATCAAAACTCAAGACCCAAGAGTCAAAAGTCAATACTCGTGACTCTAGCTACTCAAACGCTCAAATACGAAGTCGCGACTATGGTAAAGTAGTAAGTAGCGACTCAATCAAAGTTATGGAGTATGCTAGAAGTCGAGGACGATGGTCGTTGGTAGGGGCCGTCCAGGGCTAAACATGGTGTGAAGTCACTCTAGCCCGCGACCCCCGGGGGGGTCCCTACGCAAGAACCCTTCCTGGAGCATTTTGGGGCGGGCAAGGTCGCGCTTGCATGTGAAAGGGCCAGGGTGATTTTCTGATGCCTCTGAGCCGCGGCCTCAGAGCCCTCCTGTAGAGAGAAACCCATCATCACTGTATTGTGACCGTCAACGCCGACAGTAGACCAATCCTCAGCGGTGCAGAAGCACTTCACGAAGGCAGAGATAATGGCTAGATTGAGACAAGTCTAAGAAGCATACAGGTACAGATACCATAGTCGAGCACGAGTGATACCAGTGGAGAGCGGAGACGCTGGTGGGTGTGTCGAAGGCGGGCTTATGTCACGGTAGGGCTGAATGCACGGTCATGTGTTCCTTTCGTTCTTCACAACATACGGGTGAGCAAGAGAGCGTCGGGAGGCGTGCGGAGCGCGCAGGAAAAGAACAGGGTCGCAGGCTGTGCTCCTGCTGCCTCCGATTGGGTGGTATTCAACGCATGGACGGCCACGCCATCGAGCTGCAATCCATATGACCTCATCGACAACGACTTAGTCGCCCTTACCCGCTGTCAAAAGATGCAATCTAGTCGAGCTTCAATAGAGAAGGCCGACTTCGAAGGAATAGTACTCGCACCAAGGAATCCCGAGCTTCTCTTTGGAAGGAGAATCGTTTCAAGGCAAACGTTTTCACCCATGGTGCAGATACATGGCAACCAAAGAAGGAAACGGATGGGGCAGTTGTTGGCGGCTGCGACGACTACAGAACATCGCAGGCGCGCGTACTGCAGGCTATCGAAGATGAATTGTGGATCCTTTTCCATCTCAACCAAAGTAGCTCCTTAGGCATTCCGTGGGGGCTGAATGCAGTCCGTCAAGCTGCCAGTCAAGATCGAGCGTACATCAATCATCCCGCACAGTTGCAAGAAACAGCAGCTGCCCATATCCTCTTCGTTGCTCTCCATAACAAACACGCAGCGTGCGTGCGATCAGTCTGAGATTCAAGAGAACGTTAGCGTCAGGCCTTGAGTTGGGCTCATGTCGCTGCCTGGAGCGCTTTGCTAGTCAAAAATACGATCACTCTCACTTGATGACAATGCCCGAAAGAGCGGTTATCTAGGAAAACATCCATAGTCTTTGAGGCGCACGCATTCATCAATGCAAGGCTCAAGGTTTCTAGCACCCGCAGGTAATCGGAAGTCTACGGCGCGCATTCGTGGTGAAAGAGCTGGATCAGGAACTTGGAAAAGGTTTGCGATACAAGGACCACCCGCCAGAGAGTATCAAGCTCTACGATTACTGTTTCACGACGAAGAGTTTTTTTGCCTTCGCGTTGTCTCGTGCAGATGCAGAAGTCATTAGGAGTGATCGTCTCTTATTCCTCGCAATTCCTGGCTACTGCTACGGAGAGGATACGACGGCGCAATCGCGCGCCACAAGTCCTTCCACCTTAAGTTAGAAAGCTATACTCTCTGTCGCCAATACTCCGTGCGGACGACAGCAGCCCAGGTCATCCCCAGCCAAAAGCGGGCATCCGATATCAGATGTCAGGTGCTAAAGGATGCGGCCAGGATGAAGAGCTACACACATGGCATGCCCTCGTCTCGCTGGAGGAGCCTCGAGACCGTGTCCAGGCGTGATTGGAAACCCACTTGGACCGCTTACGTAAACAAACTATCGGTGCAAGACATGTGACACGAAGTTGCAACTGGTATCATATCAACAGCTTCGTTCTAGTGGCACTCGCGCGGGGGCGCGCCACTTGAAAGCTTGCGCTTGTCAGCTGGAGGACTGAGGCCTCAACCCTAGTACTGGTCATCATGATGACCCTATCTCCCTGTAAATCCACTCGCCAGGGCCAACTAGGGCCAAGGCGTGTCGTCGCCGTTCCAAGCATCTCAGAATATCATACGAAGTCACAGCAGTCTACTATGCCCCCAGATTAACGAGCACCTTTTGATCTGCTCCATCGTTACAACCCCGACCGTGCAATAGTGTGCGCACTACAACTCAACTTCAGCAAGCCATTCACTCTTTGCAATCCAAGATGGCGAACGTCGATGATGAGCTCTTGGCCCTTGCTGGTGGCGACCTGGGCGGCGGCGGCGGTCTATCTGATCGCAAGAAGGACAAGAAGAGGCAGCCAGCTGCGGACTCGGACATGGACGAAGGGAGCAGCGATGAGGACGGACAGGCGGATGCAGCTGGATCAGACATGGATGAAGGCGTTAGTGACGGCGAAGAGGTGGATGTGGATCCGTTTCCATACAGAGGTATTTATAAGAATGAGGACGACCAAAAATAGTGAGCTTCATGTCGATATCCGCGTTGCAGGTTGCGCAGTCTGATGCTGACAGCGGCCGCTTCTTGCGCACACAGCATCGAGTCCCTCCCTGAGCTAGAAAGAGAGGAAATTCTAGCAAGTCGCCGAGATGAAAAGTCCAAGCGGGAGCAGAAGCGCTCGCTTTTGGCAATGTACCAAAATCAGCAGTCTACCTCGGCATCTACTACAAAAGCAGCCAAGCGGGGGAAACCATCCAAGCCAGTCAAATCTACCAAGAGCCTCAACTCAAAGAAGGAGAAGAAGTCTAGCGCGGAAGACTCGCGACCGACGTACGATGACGAGAGCGAGACAGAGGATTCAGAAGCAAAAGTCTCCGACTACGAGGCAGACCACAAGCTCAAGAAAAGGAAGCGGACTTCAGCTTCCAGTAAGCGCGACAAGCTCAAGGAGCTCTCCGAGAGGCGCAAAGCGAAAGCGGCGGGTAGAAGCGGGCGCCGGAGAGGCTCCGAGAGCGATGAGGATGAAGGGATTCGCCGGAAGAAGCGCGGTGGGGATTCAGACTACTACACGGACAGCGACGATAGCGAGGATGGTCACAACACCAGAAGGAGAGGAAAGGGCCGGCATGGTTCCGAGGAGGAGTCTGATCGGGAGGAGAGCGACGAGCCGCCGCCTTTGGACGCCCTTCGGAACTCGCAGATCAACCGTAATACGATCGTCAAAATCATGCATCGGCCCGGTTGGGAGAAGGCATTAACACGTGAGCTAGATATTTTATGTTTCTGAAGCGCTCGGCCGCTGATGGCGTTTCTTATCGCCTTTGAAGATCACTTCATCCGCTTTGCATGGGGTCCTCGAAAGGACGAGAAGGGCCGGAGTGTCCTCGACCGCCATGGCCGAGTAGAGGAAGTCTTTCGGATCCATGAAATTGAAGGTGGGTCTGATGCGTTCCGTACAGACCGGGGGACCAGGCACTGATGGATAGCGGCTGTTCCGAATGCGCAGGGACCTCGCGAGATGAGGAGCACTATTACCAGCTCGACGAAGGCAAGGCTACGAATGTCCACATCAAGATCCGCTTGTTCGGTAAGATCAAAACAATGGACATGCGCTTCATCTCGAATCAGGTCTTTTCAGAAGTGAGAAGCAGAATGCTCGGAAGCTAATGATTGACAGGCGGCTTATCGAAGGGGGTCGCTTTCCAGAAAGAATATGATCGCTGGGTAGCTGTGCAAACGGAAGGCAAATTCTCATTTCCGTCTAAGTCGGCATTGGAGAGGAAACAACACTCTATGCGCGATTTTTTGGACCACGATATGACGAGCGAGGACGTGCGGCTGTTGCTCAAAGAAAAGAAAGAGGCTCTGGCAACATATAAGGCATCGCGTGGTGTAATTGAGCGGCAAGCGCCTCCTCCCTCTTCTTCCGGCTCTACATCTGCGAACAGGACGCCCTCCGGCGATCGGTCGCAAGGTCAAGGCGCGCGCTCGAATAATGGTGCTTTTCAAGGACGCTCTGGCGAGGGTACAAAGGGGCTGGTGGATCTTGGCTTGAAAAATCGGATGGAGCAGCAGCGGCACATGCTGGAACTTGAAAGACGCAAAACGGCAGCGAGGCGCGCGTTGCAGACCGGCAGCCAGGGCACAAACACGCCGATTAAGGGTCAAAGTGGCGAGAACACTCCGGGTCATGCCACACCCTCGGCCTCTCAGGCAAACGGCGGTGGCGGTGCTGCCGCAGCCGCGAGCGGTGCCACCGCAGCTCCCAGTTCGGCGGATGTGGTCGCTTCCAAGCTGGAGGCTATCGGGAAGGCAGAGTTGGCATCGTCTGCGGTGATGCAAGTGGAAGTTGATCTAGGCGACTTCTAATCTAGTAGCCTGTTCTGTGGCCATTGCTCTGCTAATTACCCAGCTGGTGCACCCGCAAGGTCATCCACCTCTGCGCATGTATCCTTCTATCACTGCTGGAAACCTTCTACATTATCACAGATCCCTCCCCCTCCCCCAACCTTCTTAGCCCTTCAACTTCTGCTCAATACTTACCATGAACCGGAATAGACTGATCGCTGTCCCTTTCACTCCCTTAGACTAGGCTGGCAAATGGAGAGCCGGGTGAATAGATTCTTCAAGCAGCAATGTCCGCAAAAGCCGCAATGTACATATGTCTACCGTCCTGCAGAAGCGCACTGTGCAAAGCTGCGACTTGCAGGACGCAATGCCAAGTCTGACCCTCTACATGGAAATAACATATATTATCTGCGAGACTTTTTGGGCGTAGGCTTGCAGTCGGTGGCTCGTGCACAATGGGCCAACAAACCGGGAAGCGCGGAGTGCTTCCTGCTTGCGCACTGTGTGCAGAGCAATGCCCCAAATTTTGGACCCATCAACGTGATGCCAAGTAAATGCTGAGCGCGCTGTCCGCTCCACATCCCACGAGAAAAGGGCCTGATATGGCAGGCTATAGTGTGGGGGAATGGGGCTGAGGGGAGATCAGCGACTGCCTATTTTAGAAGATATATGAAAGGGAAGACCTAGACGGCAAGTCTCACTGCGCTGAACTTGCCTGGCACGCATCCTTCTGTTCGGGTCGTTGTCTGTTATTGTCAACGATCCCACATTCCCACTCGGATAGTACATAAATGGTCGGTTGCTCACCGCTCACGACTCTCTGCTGGACTTGAAAGTGCTTCTGTGTGCCATCCACCTGCTGATAACTGCGCGATTTATGTAGCCTTGCAAATGTCTAGCTCAGTGGCGGCGTCCGCACCTGCACCTGCTGCATTTATTTCGCTTGCCCGCCGCCCTCCACAGAACATCGTCCTCTTATGTGACGGCACCTGGCAGTAAGTTGCCGATACTAGGCACCGTGGCTCATGTCTTAGGACAAGACGTGCGTTATGATCAAAATACGCTGATGCTCTCGTGTGTGTCTAGGGAGAGGAGAGCCGTCGTCGCAGATATCGTCCACGGTACCCTCACCTCCTCCGCCGGCAACTATCTGACAAATATTGCCTTACTTGCCCAAGCAATCGCCCCGACTGCGGAAATACCCGAAGAAGATGGATGTTACCGCCGAAACGTCATATGCTACATTTCAGGCGTAGGCACGACTCTCGACTTGTTCGGCAACCTTGTCGAAGGTGGCACAGGGGCCGGTCTCGATGTCAAGGTGGAATTTGCCTATGCCTTCCTTTGCGACAATTGGCAACCTGGGGATGGTATTTTCTTGTTCGGTGTGTACTTCCCGCCTGAGCTGCAAGCGGTGACTTTGAGCTGATGCATGTGTGATTCTTCATCGTTCATCCCCTCCAGGATTTTCACGCGGTGCTTACACGGCTCGCTGCGTTGGCGGCTTGATCAACTGGGCGGGCGTGCTCAGCAAGAAGGAAGCACTGCACTTTAGCGAAGTTTGGCAAGCCTACAGCAAGCGAGACCCAAGCAAACCAGAAACGGACCAAGTCGCCGCAGACCTTTTCCATGAGCGCTTTGGACGTTGGCCGAATCGCGAAGCCTCGCAAGTCAGCAGCGTCAAAGCCGAAGCCGGATGGGCTGCAATGCCAAAGGAGAGCGCTTACGCAAATGAGCTTCTTACCGATCCGACCGTGCAGCCGCCTCCGATCAAAGTGCTTGGCGTTTGGGACACGGTTGGTGCACTCGGTGTTCCTGGTAATTTCGCGAATCCTGTGACCATTACCAAATGGAGCTTCTACGACCCTGGTCTCGGGAGCAACGTTGAACATGCCTTTCACGCATTGGCTCTACAAGAAGACCGCAAGGACTTCTTGCCAACATTTTGGTACCAGCAAGCTGATGCGCCAATGGAGCAGGTCCTCAAACAAGTATGGTTCCAAGGAACACACACCGACGTCGGCGGCGGCTACGGCTTCCACGGCCTGTCAGACGTGACACTTGCTTGGATGGTCGCACAGATGCGCGATGCACCTGGTGGACCACTTTTGAATGTCGACTTGGACCGCCTGCGCGAGCTGCAAGACCGACGGGCAGCATGGGCCAAACAGCCAGCGCACAGGAGCCGGATGGCGGTCGAGTGGCAAGGCACGCGAAAAGTTGGGCAGCACATCTATTCCCCAGAACAGCTGTCCAGAGTCGTCTGGAAGAACATGGTGGAGAGCGGTGCGCGTAACGAGTCCATCCATCACAGTGTCTTCGTCGGCGGGCATTACGACCCGCTGAAGTCGGAGCAATTTGCCGAGCTTAGGCGGACACCTGAAGGGACCGCGAAGCTCAAGGCGATGTGGGAGCAAGCATCGGACCCAGAGTCTCTCTTGCCGACTGAGAAGCTGCTACGATGGCATGAAGGCGAGGTATTTGACGCAGATGCCGCTGTCTTGGCAAGTCAGGTTGGCGCTGAGACGAATGGCGATGCCGGAAAGAAGCCCTTAGGCCATGCCCGTTCGCCAAGTACGGGCACAGAACAGTTCTTCAACGCGCTCATGAATGTGGCAACGTTCCCGGACAAAGTTGTGTCCTCAACGATCAATATGAGGCCGACGCCAAGCGAGAACCTGAAGCCTAGCCTCTTGGGCAAAGGCGTTGAGACGCTGCGAGCCATATTCTACAAGAATAGATCTAAGGACACCATCGTGCAGCAGGTCTTGGATGAGTCTTCATGATGATTATGTTTTCAAGTGTGTTCGGCTATTAAGTAAGGACGGGAAACATTATTTGCGCGCAACCCATGTAAGCGCCACGCCCTTCTTAGTGTGTGCCATTTGGTCCATATGTACTATATTGAATCCTATGAGGGAAATTTGCCTTGGCGATGCCGTTCTTAGCATTGACTTTTGAAAGAAATGAGGTCTGCGTAACAATGGAGGCATCAGGCGAGGGGCGCTGCTTGTGATGTCGATGGTCGCATGGCTGGGGTAGGCTCGGACCTAGAGTATGAGGAAAATACCAACATCGCAGGCAGATTAACACATGGATGACGAGGCGCGCGGATGCCGAAGGCATTTCATCAAACAGGCCTGCCCTAGTCATGAACCGGCTGAGCGCGATCTCTGCACGGTTGTTCGGGACTGCGCAATGTCAGACGGCGCTGACGGGGACGAGGACAAGGACGGTGACGGTGACGAGACGAACACCACTTTTCCTGCACCTGTGGCGGAGGAGCACGCTGTGACATGACGCCTGCGGCCTACTGCGAATCAAAGATCAATAGCGACAGTTACTTTAATTAAAAACTCGATCACAATCCGTATCCACCTAAAGATCTCGAAAACGGAACTTGGTATCCGCATACGCGTACCTATATCAATATATTCTCGAACAAATATGTACGTTCAGCTTAAGCCGCAAGCCACTTTAGGTCTCTAACCCGGGCTTAAGTGCGCAATGGTTGCGACTTCTATGCCACGGGGTCTGGGCCGAAGATCGACTTCCAGCTGGCACATGATGCTGCTAGCTTACCATAATTAGCCATTTTTACTCTCATCATCTTTCTTCGGCCCGTCTGGGCGTACGTGGGCCTGCGTAGGTCCATAAGCGTAATACGTCGGGGGCATGTACGAGTACGTAGAGTCAGTGCACTGTATCTGGCTACTGACGACACAAGCGACACTGCGACAGGTCGATAGGCATGCGCAGTCTTGAGCGTGAGGATGATGGCCACGCTGAGCTCCAATTAAAACAATTCAGCCGCTTGGTGTTTTGTGGGTTTATGAGTAGGCCCAACGATCCAGAACTTCATCAAGTCAATTCTTCTGGCGACTGGTGGGGAAGAAAGAGATCCTGCCGACGGAATGTAACGCCGAAATAGTTAATGTTGAGTGAGTGGTGGCGTTGCAGTGGAGAATATTTGAGTTGACGCCGTGCAGCAGAGGCTTGCGATTAGAAGGTTTCTGCTATAGGTTCCTTAAGAGCTTTGGCCTCTGCGTAGCTGTCTGGTGTGTTTGTAGGTCATGTCCGGCGCTCCCAATTTATCGTTCCATTAAATTGGACTTCGTATACGACGAGCTCTCCGGGGGTCAACTCAATTTGTTTGCTACCAGTCAAGACCTAACGCCTTATAGGTCGGAGCGGGCAAGTCTGATGTAAGGATAAGCTCACCTCCCACCACGTCCTGTCAACCTCCACCCACGCAGAACCTGAAACGGATTCGTTCGAAACGTCCACACGCATGCAAATCCTGCGCTTCATGACGACTCTTTACCAAGCAATCGGGAGCTTAAGCTGCATCCCACGACTCCGTGGCGCCTAGGTCCGACAGCCATCCTGTCACAGCCCCTCTCAGCTTTATCAGCGAATCTGACACGAAGAGTCGTCAGCGCTGAGCTCATCTCCTGTTCTTCGCTGGCCAAAAGCCGTGAGAGCAACCAACGTCGATAGGCGCTACCGCCCCTTGATTTGACCTGACCGTGGGGTCCATCTTTCACCTTTCCATTCTCTTCAGACTTTCAAGCGTGCTGGCTTGCTGCCAAGCAAATGCCTCTTGGAAAGGGGCTCCAGGAGAATAATCGATTACATCCTAGACATGTATCAATTGCCATCAGTAACGATGGGCAGACAAAAAGGTTCTAGCTCCGCCAGCAACGGGCGTCACGTCGTGTCCATTGGAGGCGCAGAGTTTGTGCCCCCGCGTAGTGTGGCTCCCCCACCTTCGTACCAGCAAGCTGATGAAAGAAAGTACGGAAGCAGTGCGAGCAGTTATCAAAGTCATCCTCGCCTCTTCGGCAGCCCGCTTCCCCCGCCACCTGCTGCATATGCACCCGCACGTGCGCATGCCATGCCTGCCGAGCACACCTACCGAGGCGCCGGACACAGAAGATACAGCAGCAGCATGGATAGCGGCGCAACATCAAACTCTCCTCCCTTGTCCTCTTCCCTTTCGAGTTGCGCCATGGCGTTCTCAACAATGTCTACCTCTGCAGCGTCATTCGGCACGAGCTCATCTCCGCCAGCGCTTGCGTCGATGTCGTGGCAAGCACAGCAAAATCTGTACGCCAAGGCGCTCTACGAGCATACGCGGCGCATGTGGCAGAACGAGCGACGCGCGATGGAGGCTGTTGCACATGGTCTAGCTCCAGACGCCGCGCCGCCCATGCGTAACAGCAGCATGCGTGGCAGCGCCGAGGTCTACCAGCAGGTTTCAGCAGCATCTTCCTCGAGCCAGAGTGACGGCAGCGGTGTCTCAGGAGGCGCTGGGCCCAGGAGAGCAAGGGGCGTCAAGGTCAGCAAGCATAGCGTCAGTCATATGTCGCAGGCTACCGTCAACGGAGACGGTTGGCTTGGAAGAGCAAAGAGTCTCAAGCGCTCACTCGGGATCGTGTGAAATGCACAAAATAATTTCTTCCTCGTCCTGTGGCCACCCAATGGTCCATCTCCCACAGTTCACCTTCCTCATTCTTCTCCGCATCAGCTAGCCTTGCATCGGAGTTATAGGCAGCAGCATCATCTCACTTCCACATCATCGCATACCCGGCATCAAAAACGCAGATGCAACTAGCACCCGCCTGCGCAGACCGCATTTGTCTATAGATCCTCTCTTTCGCTCCGATGTATCAGTAGTCATTTCATCTTCTATTTTTGTCAATTGAAACATACGCATTGCACCGCTCACGCGTCGCCACTATTGATCCATAACGAATCTACATTGGTGTCGAGTGCGCTGAGCAGAACTACGGATACGACAATAAAATAGGATCCTCGAAGTCGGGGGGAACCACGGTCACCTCCCGCTTCAGTGCAGCTTGCACCTCGGGAGTGTCCTTGACTTCATCCCATTTTGGTCGAACAAGCTCGAAACCACTACCACGGACAGCCATTTTAGTCTACCAAGGAAAGAGGTGGGAAAGGTATAGCTGCTTTAGAAGTGGCACTCACTGTGTAGTACGAGTGTATAGCATGCCTGATACACGCGTTAGCGGTAGCATTTGTGCCATGTTCTAGCCGTGCATGAAGGAGACGAAGTAGATAAGAGCGTTGTTACACTTCTTGCGAGGCGACCAGGCACTAAAGTACTCACAACAGAACCATCCTCATTCAAACAGTCCTCGCGCACGTGCAACACTACGACGCGCGCCACAACTATCACAGTCGTCAACCCGCCTTTGCCTTGTCCGTTTGCAGCTTCGTGCGTCAGGCTCGACACGCCGCTCCCGTCTGCGTAGTACTCGCGCCGAAAGTCCAGTTTACACTCCATACTGAACGGGGCTTCTTTCACGCGGGGCGGGGAGACAAGGCGCGATGCGACCGGTGTTAGTCCTGTCAGCGCATATTCAGATGTACCGTGCGGCGCATCGATGGAGGAGTAGTTGAGTGCTTCTGCGTACGGCTCGGATGCGGAAGAGATGGTGAATCTGCGCAGGATTCCGTGTGCGTGTGGGAATCGGTTAATGAGCCATATGCGAAGACGAGGTGGGCGATCAGCCACTGACTCACTCTCCGGTAGCTTCTATGTTTACCTCCGAGTCTTTCCGTCGGCCTTGGTCACCGCCGAAGGAGAGCATAACCAGTGGCGGATTGTGCGAAAGCATTTGATACCACGAAACTGGGCATCTGCGATGGTCAAGGTTAGACGACGCGATAAGCGAGTGCATATCTACGGTTTGCCTTCAATTCTTTTTACTCGCAAATTCAGCTGGCCCTCCTTGCTCTTAGTTGTAACAAGTGCAACTGGGCGGGGAGACTGGCACAGGCTACACGTCAGAAAGGGTGCCATCGATCGCGGTTCTAGCGCTACATGACTTACGATTCCACCGAGCATCAATTTGTACATGTCCATAGGCCCAATCTCCGTCTTACCAGGCACGATGATCTTGTAGTGATATTTGGACGGAGCTTCGTGGGTATCATTAGTGCCTTGCCCTGGCTTCCAATCCACGTCAGGTGCTTGCGACTTTGAAAAGGACGAGGAGAGGGAGGCGTCGAACGAGGGGCGACTTGCTTCGGTCTCTTTGAACGGTGGTCGGGTGTCAGTAGACATGGTGGCTGCCGCGCGTCCCTCACAGGCTACAGGCTCAGTTATGAGTAGCTTAAATGGGGGATTTGCTAGAACTATGATTTTATAACGTCCAAGGAAGCCATGGCCATCGAAAGCATGCAAGTGGAAGGGACGTGCTGTGACCCCTTCCGGAACCGCCGGTGGCCGGGCTACCAAGGGAGAGTCGGCCAGTGGCTCCCAAGCCGGCAATGCCGGAGTGCACGCAAGCTGCAAGCTCTTGTACATGACAATTGACGACTATGTCAGATTCACCTCACAGGCAACAGCGCCGACCATTTGTTCCCCGACTGACGGCTCCTCATTGACGATCATTCCATGGCGAGTTTGCAGCAGTGACTATGTATAAGGCTACGCACTGATGAGACTGATGCGTGCGTTATGTTACAATTACTGATTTCGGGTTGTAGTGGCGATCTTCTATTGCCAGGCAATGTCTGCCACCATCTTGCCCTTGTTTTTGCCCGCGAACAGGTCAATCAGCGCCTGTGGGCAGCCTTGAACACCACCCTTGACGACGTGGAAGTTTCTCTTGATTTTCCCCTCATTCATCCAGCCGACGATATCATTTGCCGCTTCTGGGTAGCGCTTGGCGTACTCGAAGACGATGAAGCCTTGCATACGTGCTTTCATGGCAATCAGCGACTGGTAGTTGCGCAGACCTTTCACATCCGTGTTGTTGTAGTCCGAAATCGAACCGCACAGGACGACATGCGCTTTTGGCTATAGAAGATGCGAATGGATGCACTTTAGTGTATGGTGTGAAGCCCAAGCTGACGGATCATTGCACTCACCTTCAAGCACAGCAGGGACATATCAAGAATATCGCCACCGACATTGTCGAACATGATGTCAATGTATCCGTACTTCTTGCATACGACCTCTCTGAATTTCTTCTGGAAATTCTCCTCTTTGTAGTCGAGCGCCTCATCGACACCGAGCTCACTCTTGAGCCAGTCGCACTTTTCTGCGCCACCAGCGACCGCAATCACCTTGGCGCCCTTGAGCTTAGCTATCTGGCACGCAATTGTGCCCACCGAGCCAGCGGCACCCGTGATCACGACCGTCTGGCCATTTCCCTTGAGCTCCCCGACGTCCATCAAACCCTTCAGGAGTGGGGGAGGTAGCGAAGAGAGAGTCAGCTACAGCTCCTTGACGTTTTTCGCATGGCCCTTGTACACTTACCCAGTAAGCCGTCTGCCCAGAGGAGCCGAGAGGTCCGATCCAATCAAGTAGCTCAACTCCAGGAATGCTCATATCAAGTTTTTGAAGCTCCTTGCCAGGGAGGGCTGCAAACTCCTGCCAGCCGGTAATACCATAGACAAAGTCGCCTGCTTGGAAAACGGCGTCATTGCTTGCAACGACGACACCGAGACCAGCCGAGCGCATGACCTCGCCGATCTGCACTGGCGGCAAGTAGGAACGAGCATCTCTCAGCCAACCTCGCATGGCTGGGTCCAAAGAGCAGTACAGAACCTTGACGAGTACTTGCCCGGCTGCGAGAGAGGATGCGTCGAGGGGTGTCGCCTTGCTTTCGAATGTCCCGCTACCGAGACCCGGGTCGATCGAGCCGATCGGCCGCTCGCGCAAAACGATCTGCGTATTTGTGCTGGGTAATGACATTGCTGGCGCGGTGATATTTGCTTTGAGCGGCATGGGGAAAGAAGAGACTACTTTGACTTCGTGGGACGGACGAGATGGAGCTGAAGGCGGGCAAGGGCTTATATATGTTCAAGGGGAACTGGACGGCCGGAGATTAAAAGGATATAAGGATGGGGAACTGAACGCATTAAAGCATGCTCTGTTCTAGGGGAGGCGAACGACATAAATGAATCGAGGATTGGAGTCGAGGGCGGGATCCGGGTGCCAGTGCGAAAGAGGTGATCATCGCTCGTTTGTGATGAACTCGTAACGGCGTTTACCGGGCGGATATACTCTCACCGGATGAGCTTCATAGCCGGATTGCCGCATGTTGTAACCGGATTCCGCGGGTTATTAGCAAAGATTCACTGGTGACAACCAGTACAGCTTTTCGCAACAGTTTTTGTTCCTGGCTTCGGCCATGCATCCAGCACCAAAAGATCGCATCACATCAGTGGTAAACGTTTGGTAGTGCACAGTCGCTTTCGCTTGGGGCGATCCTAAGCTACATGTGCACCGAATTTGAAATGGCAGATTGAACGAAAGAGTACAGGAGAAGCAGACAGCATGGAAGGAAAGAACTTGGAGAAGAAAAGGCGAGACCGAAATGCAAGCTGGTGGCGAACAGGATCGAGTGTGGGCCAAGTTGACTGTGAGCGTGAAGGCAGAATCGGTTCACGATGATGATCACAAGCAGCTTGCCGTTCAGAGTCGGCAAATCGGTAGATTTACCACTTCTTCTTTCCATCATTGTGGTGCTGCTTTCCCTTCTTGTGGCCTCCTCCGCGCTTGCTGATCCTGCCCCTCAGTCTCCCAAGGCGCTCCCTCTCCTCGCGGTCTTCACATTCGCGGCCTTCACGTTCGCAGCCTTCACGTAGCTGCCAGTCTGAGTCCGACTCGGCGACATCCTGAGGAGCAGGTGTGGGGGCGCGCTTGTTCATGGCCGTGCCCATTCTCTGACCCTCACCTTGGCGCTGAC